GTAAGGAAAGAAGTAAAATAGCAAAACAGGTACTTACTTGGAGAGTGCGACAGCATTCCCGAAATTAGTCGCAAATGCCCTGAACAGTTCATAGGTGAACATTTCGCCGTCATTTGGAGTAACAATCAAAACCACACAGACGTGGCCGATTCCTCTGCAAAGAGAACGATACTGAACGTAATCACGAGCGGTATCTGTTACTTTGATGCCCTCCCGGCAGGTGACTGTTTCCAGCTGATAAATAGCAAAAGAAAGGTTGGGTTCTAACTGGCACCGAACCAGCTATATGTCATTTCATATGCTTGATTCGATGTTCTCAACGTGGCATACTGGCTGCGCAGATAAGGCCAAGAGCTTGCTTATAGGAAAAGTCGAGGACGCGGACGTGCGAAAGGAAAACATTACGTCAACCATGAGCAGCTTGATTTAGGCATCACCGCCCGATAGCATTCCCCATTCCCAGCTTCTCAATCAACAAAGCTTCCAGGCTTCTTCTTGGTGTCAAGCCTTCTCATATCTTCTATACTACATCTTCTATTTTAATCTTAGTTTTCAAGACGGGACTCAAAGAGGCTTTACATTCGGTTGCCACGTATGTCCGATGTGTAGAGCACTGTTTAAATGGTGTCATAGTACAAGTTTTCGCTGCCCTTAGACCAATGCCGTATACTATCGCGAGTTCTGGAATGGATCTCAGAAGTATGAGTAGATCAAGAAACTGGAGAATCATGCATAGACAGGCTTGAGACAAGCGCACCCTGGATGAAGAGCGGGAATAGCACATGTGCGCTGCAAAAGCCAAGACGACACACCCGAATGCAAATCACGGCTGTGATCCAAGGTTAATCCGGATGCTATTAGCGTCTTCATAGGGTTTTTCTTTGACCATAGTCTTGGCTAGCCGCTACTCTGCAGGAGAATTTGTGGGGAACTTGTGGCCAGAGCAGTCCAGTAGCAGACTCCTTGTACGGATCCTTCTCAGGGACAGCGATCAGAATGAAACTCTTGCCTTCCGACAAGCATAATCTTCCGCCATCAATGTACCATCACTTTTTCTGTTGCCCCGTCGGCGATGTATTTGCATTTATCGTGGGTTGTCGTGGGTAAGACTTTACCTTATCGGAAAGCAAAACATACCACACCACACGGTGTGTTAACAATGCAAAGGCTCCTTTACCTCTCCGTGTTCGAAAGAACGGCAGAATTAGAGCAAATTTCGCCTAGGCGCATCATTTGCTGTGCTTATTACATACTGCCAAATGCATCGTAATTTAAATGTGTCGATCCCAATATGTGTCGGGTTAAACTGGCCACAAGTATAAAGGCGAGACATGTTGGACGTCAGAAAATGCGTCTTTTCTCCACCTTTTTTCCTGTGTCCTCAACAGCCAGTATCATGCGCTTCCATTCTGTCCTCCTCGGGGTATCATTCCTATCAGGATCCCTAGCGGCCGCTGCCGTTGTCGGTGGGAGACAACAGGATGATGGAGTGGAGACCCTTTCTCTCGATGAGCTGTACGATCTCGCCATCGCCGAGGGAGGTCAGCTCATCGTCAAGGCCGGTGGCGACGAGAAGAACCAGCAGGACTCTGTCATCCAAGCCTTCCAAGAGAAATTTCCGAAGATCAATATTACGCTTACGGTCGACCTGTCGAAGGTACTGTCGTCTTGTCATCGTTCATGGCAGTGGCTAACTGGTTATCCCTTGGCAGTATCACGACAGTGTCATCGACCGATCACTGAACCAGACAGGGATAGCAGGTACAGACGTTGCTCATTTGCAGACACTCCACGACTTCATCAGGTGGAAGGAAGAAGGACGCGTGAGTAGCCGGTATTAAGAGGTGGTGGTCCTTGTCCTGACCGACGTTTTTTCACAGCTCCTTTCGTACAAGCCAGCAGGGTGGGACCAGATTCCGGATGACATCAAGGATGCCGATCAAGCTACCTATGTGTAAGTCCTTCCAAACTTCTAATTCCGCAGCGTCGGCTGAGGAAAGAACGGTTTGACGTCGTAGAGGAATTGCGTACTTGATATTCACCAACAACTTCGCCACAGCGAAAATTGACGTGTCTGAGGCGCCTATTGAGTTCCTGGATTACCTGGATCCTAAATGGAAGGGAAAGATCGTGTCAACCTATCCTAACGACGACGATGCGGTCCTTTTCGAGTGAGCCTTCTCGGGCCATTCTTCTCCGAGCTTGTGACTGATGAATTGGCAGGTTCTACAAGATCCAGCAAACGCACGGCTGGGACGCCATCAATAGCTTCATCGCGCAAGACGTTCAGTGGGTCCGTGGAACTGCTACTCCCGCCAGTATCCTTTTGGCCGACAATGACCGGGCCGTGTCATTTACCACAGACACCGGTTTCACAAACGGCAGTTCCGGGGTGTTCCAGCAGTTACCAGAGAGTGACTTTAGTCATAGTATTATTTGGGCTCAACGGGCAGCGATATTTGAGACAGCAGAGCATCCCCACGCTGCGAAGCTCTACCTCAACTGGCTTCTCTCGGAGGAACGCCAGACCGCCCTCGGTGGATGGAGCGTGCGCACTGATGTTGCCCAGCAAGACGGTCTCAAGGGTGCGCTCAGGCCGTTTCCTGATACTTCTGGCTCCAAGCTAACCTTGCTCTTCCTGGCAGTTTTGTCCGAATACAGTGGGAAACTGGACCCGGCCGCCTTTGAGATGTTTATGGTTGACCGAGCGCTTGTCGAACGGTATCGATTCCAGTTCGAGCAACTGCTTGGCACGGCGCAGGGTCTTAGCCCGCTGGACGACGGTCTGTAGTAATGTTTTTGGTGCCCTTAGAGCGGGAGTTGTCACTTGTACTTTGGTACAGCATAAATCTCCAAGGCTGCTACCATTGTCAAATTCTGGGTGTGGTGAGGGATTTTGGCGATTTGCCGTGTTGAGATAAAACAGGTCCCCGTGTCAAACATATATGCGGCCCGGCTTCCTCCTGCTTGGTGCGGCAAGGTCCGGACAAACATTGGCAATCTATAGTAACTGACGTTTTGCTCAACGCGTAGCTCGCCTGAACGGTGCCAAAAAAAAACACTGCTCCATTTTGATTGTACAGATATTCAACCGCTATACATCAATACACAGATCACACAGACACACAGACAACAAAAAAAGACGCTGAAGATATGTACATATGAAAAATAGTTATCAATTCAAAGTATCGTCCGTCCCTGAGTTTCAAATATCATTGTTGTGCCGGGAAAAGGGCATCATATGCAGGGCAGAGACTGTCCCAGACCGCGTCAGGCTCAATCTGGTTGGCGGCGTCACCTGGATCCGCCAACATCACCGTGGCGAGGCCGGCTTGCAAGTGCCAGAAGATGTGACAGTGGAAGAACCAAGGGCCTGAGGGGTGGCAGCTACTTGTTACCAAGGCGAAAGAAGAACCAGCGGAGAAGAAATCATACCGGGCTTATCGGTCCTGAACCGAATCATAGCACCAGCAGCACCGGCGGCAACAATGTCACGCTTAATGGGATCCTTCGTGTTAATCTCGTCGGTGCTGTTGGACTTGATCAACCAGAAGTTCATCTAAAGACATCAGAGTGAGATCGGTGATATCGACAACATGTGACCAGGAACGTACGCCATGCATATGAATCGCTACGCATAGATGTCAGTGCCAAGGTCGTAGAGCAGACGGCGTAGAAGAAACTTACGATGCGCGTCATCATCATCACTATCAGTCGCCATCAGCACGACTCAAACAAAGGATAAGAATAAACTCACTTCGGTGGGAATGTAATCTGAATGGTCTTATTAGCCGGAAGGATAAAGGTGTTCTCCGTCTCATTGAAGTCGGAAGTCTCAATGTCGCCCTCGATGACCTTCATAAGGGTAGGAACCACAGGAGGAACGTATGACACATTGTTGACGTTCCAAATTGCTTTTCCGGCAATGTTAACAAACTCAAGGGTTATGTTCACGTCAGCGGGTGGCGCCTGGGAAGGACGCATCAAGACGCGTGAATGCATCGTGTGTAAGCCGAAAACTCACCGATTCTGGGACTAGAGGGCGGAGGTTGCCTTCAATCAAAGGAACGCCGTTGACTGGGCCTTGAGTCATGGGAGCAGTAGGGTCTTGCCTAGGCGCACCTGCGTATCGCAAGATGGCTCGGGACAAGGTAGCGTTTTCTGGAGACGGTTGAGTACTACCATCCTGGAAGAGACAAAGACGTACGGTTTAAATTGTTCAACGCGTTACCGCCAACCTGAATTACAATATGTAAGGTAACCAGACGTCCACGCGAAAGGGCACCTACATATGGCGCATTAATCCAGTAGTTGTCAACACGTTGGTCGGCGTGAACCTGTGAACAAAGATATTGTCAAAGGTGATCATCTTCGACAGTTAACGCAAAACGTACAACAACGGAGTATCGTTGACCAGCTAACATCTGAACGGTGTCGACTACCGAAGGAGTGAGCTCCACTCCGTCGGCTTCAATGACCTAGGCAGATATATACATGAACATCACAGTTACAATCTAGTCTAGAAGGACAGACCGTTAAGCTGTGCTTATCAATCGAGAAAGTGAAGACGTTCCGCGCCGACTCGTTGATGATGCGGAACCGGTATCGCTTGCCCGGCACGACATTAATCACCGACCAGTCGATTTCGGGACCGCCGTTGAAGCGGCCAAAGCCGTTTACTGTGCCAGAGTCGGAGACACTGTGGGAGTGGCTTGTCAGGGACAATAGGGTAGGAACGAAAACCCGACGAGCTTACGGGATAATTCCAGTGGCCTCAAATTGCTGGAGCATTGGAAGTGTGCTGTTGTGCCACCAATCACCCAGTTGGATGATCTGGAAAGTAAAGTAAGTGGCAGGGAAAGAATCTATGACCAGTCGGTTCTACCGTGGATTCATCGTCAACATCATAGAGATGAGCCAGAGGATCCTCGGGATCTGAATATCGTTCTAGGAAATAGATCTACCAAACATACACAGACGGCGTACCGTAGACGATCAATGGGCCACGGAATCCCTGGAAAAGAGAGAAGTTATGAGTATGGTTAAACACCCTCAGGCAAATGCTACCTACATCAATATACTGAATGCTCAATTGACTGCGCAATACATGATCAGGACAGTTTGATATTGCATGAACCCAGTGGGTAATACCTATGATACCAGAAGGTCCCGGTTTGACCGAATTCGCTGAGATCAACAATGTAAGTGTAAGACGCGCCCGGCCCGATAGGACAGGTAGTGACAAAAGGAGATCCTTCGTTCCACAAGTTCTCTGTCGTGAAGAAGATGCCATCCAGATCCTAAAGTGACGATTATTAGATGCGCGTCACGTAATGTTAAGAGCTTACCAGTGAAGTGGAAAGACGCATCGAAGGATCGACCTGATAACGTGTGAGACAGATGGTAGAACCAGCGACGGGGTACAAACCAGGTCATTGTGAAGCGTGATCGACAAAATGTCGTTCTTGTTAACCAAGATCGGAGGCCCAGGGTAGCTGAAGATATCTTCAGGATATATGAGACGAAGAGACAAAGAATATCCTTACGTTCCATTGGCAACAATTGTGCCTGTAGATTGAATTTACACGAAGTCAGTTTGGCAACTCCGCAGAAAAGGTAAGCCTTACTCCTAAGAAAGCCGTCAGGCGCCAACGCGTTGTTGACAAGGTCGATAGTGAATTCTTTCAAGTTTGCCTCACCCTTCCCGCCACCTTCGGACGATGCAGCGACCGCCACGCCGGCAGCAGGATGGGGGCGCAAGAGAGTAAGAACAACAGCCGATGCGAGCAGAGAGAACATGGTGCGCTGGGTTCTCCTTGACCATCTCTAGAGTATTTATACGTTCTTGCTCTTCCACGTTCGGGGCCGCCCGCGAAAATGCAGCAGAGGCATTAAACCCTCCTGTGAATGGCAGAGACACGAGCCGCATGGAACGGCGCGCGTAGGAAAAACGATACAGTAGAGTTTGACTGAAGAAAGTGCGCGTTTCTCATCATCGTGAGCGGAAAATGAACCAGCTGGAGGTCATGGTAAAGGAAAAAAAAGTAAACAGGTAATGTGAGCGTTAGGCGTGCGTAGTGTCTGTGTGAAGTCATAGAATTATGGTGTCATTATTGGAAACCTTTCAAGTCGGTGGTCTCGTCCAGAGTCTAGAAGCGGAGATTTCAGCGCACGGCGGCAATCATCTGAAGGGCAGTTGCCAGGACGTCCTAGAGGTGCAAAATTGCGATTAGTGGCAGAGCATGTACAGGCCATGTACCGAAGCGGTGACGTTTTGTGGCATCTGAAGACACGACGACCAGACAAAGAGGCCCTAGCACTCGTTCGAGCACACATTGTAAATATATGAGAAGTTAAAAAACGCTCCAACTAAGCACAAGGGAACGGAGCTCTAACATACTCACCACAAACCCATCGTTTCACCAGATACGTGAAAAAGGCTTCCAAAAAGCCAAACATATGTGGGCATGACCCAAAAACTATTCCACGCCAAGCTCGCTTGGGATAATAATCAGAGAAAGAGTTGGATGTAGGACCAAAATGGTAGCAGATCATGAGAAAAGTAAGGATGTTTAGGCTGGTGCCGGTCTTGAAGCCGAGGAATTCTGAGGGTTCAAAAGCAAGTTTCTCGAGCACCAAGAATAATGTGTTTCCTTGGCGCCTCCGTGGTATCCAGGGAGCGAGCATGTACGAAACAGGTCATGATGGCACTTTTCACATTTCACATGGCCAGGAAAACATCGGCCTGCAGTTCCGACCTTCAGGCATCAAGTTGATGGTGGAGGTAAAAGAAAGTAAATTCGGACCAATCTACAAGCCAAATGCCGCAGAGTAACTACAGGCCACCCGACCTGTATACGTTCTGCTCATTTGCTCGAAACGGATCATTAGAATTCCAAAATCCTTTCCCTACGGACTACAACACGTCGAGAGTGCCGTTCTCAAAGGCCGTAGACTAAGGAGTGCAACTGCAGCCTGACCTTGTTAACGGATCCCTACGACGTTCTGGCATGGCATAGCAGAAAAAGAATCTGGGAGATGCCATCTTCGTCCTCCGATCACACCATCATAATCTCCAAAATCCCCTTCTCGCGCAGCCTCGGGACCTGCAATGAAGATGCGACCTCTTCTTGGGCAAACGCCGCGATGCCTTCCAGGCTGATAACTACCTTTGACGTTGCTCTGATGGCTGCATCGTCAAACTGCTCCCACCCACAACTGATGACAGGTTGGTGCTCTACCCTTTTCGCAGCGTCGCCCCGTAGGACGATGGACCTCAGAGGAGCCTCAGAGGGGATGGTATTGATGGTCATCGCAGCCCAGGCGACAAAATCCGAACGTGTGTTCCCGACAAACTTGATGTCCATGCAGAGTTCAAAGGTCTCGAGTTTGTGGTTGTTCGTGAGGTGAATGATGGAGTCATTGCTGGGATTGTATCGCGCTTCTACAGTTACTATATCAGCGTTGCGTGGGTTTGGAATGGAAGGCGTTTACGGTATGCGATGGGAGCGAACACGAGGTTGACGAGGTTCGGAGCGGCGCTGAGGATGTCGTCGGAAACGCGATGGAGGTGAAGAGGAAAGGAAATGTTTTGTTCTTTCGACGGCCATAGCGTGAGGCTGGTGAGGGAGGAGAGGCAGCCGGAGGCTGTAGGGGAGGATAACCATCTCAGCAAGGTCATGGAAATGTCGTGTAAAAGGAGTTCTTCAACGGGCGTCGTCGTTGGGTCTCGATCGAGAAAGAGACCGTCGCAGTGCAACACGCCGAGATATGTCAAGGACCGGGATGATAAGACGGTGGAGATAGGAAAGTCGTTGAACCGCTGGACAACGACAGAGCGTAGAGTGGGGAGTAGCAGGACTGTGGTGATGCCCTGCTTCACGGCGTCCGTCATGTCCTGCCACGACAGGTAGTCATTGTGGCCGTCAAGATGGAGTGCTTGGAGCCTGGGTAGAGAAACTAGCAGGCGCGCCAGGTCCTGCTCGGTATGCATCCAACCTCGCCTATATTGGCGTCGCTGGAGCTGGGTCGCCTCCTCCCACAGGATGAGCTTGCGCACGTACAAAGCGATGTGAGGCGATGCCTTGAGGAGGTCATAGAACCGACGGAACCGCCTGACGATGTAGGTGCCAGAGTTGTCGAGGATGGTTGCTGGTTGGACAATAGGGATTGTGCGAAAAACCTGAGTATATGCGGCATCCTGCATGCATCGGTGAGCCTGCAGGCATGCTTTGCACGACTGGAGGTCGTCATGAAGGTGGCAAATAATGTAGTCAATCACTTCCTGGGGCAGGGTCGACATAGGCGTCTGAGTCTCACCATCACATTCCCACGCTTGCGCAGCAACTTCGAGTCCTCCTCACCGACAGCACTCAATCGTATCAAAAACTATTTTTAAGAAAAAGGGAATAAAAATAATAAAGAGTACAGATACGATACAATACAAGTGCAATACAAATCCAGAGATTACTTGGCACCTGCCGAAGAGAACTGAACGCTTGTCAGACAGGTTGACCGTTGCAAACAGAAGATGACAAACCTTGGTCACCGATTTAGTTCCCTCAGAAATAGCATGCTTGGCCAGTTCACCAGGCAGAATCAGCCGCACGGACGTCTGGATTTCACGAGAGGAAATGGTAGACTTCTTGGAGTACGCAGCGAGTTCTGAGCACGACATCAGCCAGGGTGAAACGTCTCGAGACGAGTCGACGTACTGGAAGCCTCAGTGGCAACCCGCTCAAAGATATCGTTGACGAAAGAGTTAAGGATGGCCATTGCCTTGTTGGAGATACCCGTATCAGGATGTACTTGCTTCAGCACTGCAAGTACAGGTCAATCAATGAACGTGAACATCAGCAACGTCAACATCCACATACCCTTGTAGATGTAAGAAGAGTAAGTCTCTTTTCGTGACTTTCGGCGCTTCTTCTTCTCGCCGTCAGCTGCTGCGGGCTTGGAAGTCTTTTTGGCAGCTTTGGAACCTTCAGACTTGGCTGGAGCCTTGGAGGCGGTAGAGGCAGGAGCTTTGCCAGCAGTGGAAGCAGGTTTGGGAGCCATTGATGAGGTGGGAAGAAGTTAAGGTGGCGGTGGTAGTGAGTGCTAGAAGGCAAGTGAAAGGCGGAAGTCGACGATGATGCAGCGGGGTTTATATCAGAACGCGTCACGTTGTCAGTGTTTGGCTCCGACGCGTCTCGTTGTTGACCAGAATCAACAAAGAGAGACCACACGTGATTGAACCTTATTTGCACTCACGGTATAAATACTGGGCGACCACCACCTTGGCCCTTGTTCACTCCCACTACCTCAAGCGCTTCAAGCCCCTCGAAAACTACTTACCTTTTCGCTCAACCTCCATTTTCACTTACATAACAATGTCTGGCAAAGGTGGCAAATCCGGAAAGACTGGCGGCAAGGCTGGTGGTGAAGGTGGCAAGTCGCAGTCGCGTTCGGCCAAGGCGGGTCTCCAGTTCCCCGTCGGTCGTGTACACCGTCTCTTGAAGAAGGGCAACTATGCCCAGCGTGTTGGTGCAGGTGCTCCTGGTGCGTGGCTGAGTTTTTACAGCGTCTTATTTTTTCAACACATGTTCTTCAGTCTACCTCGCAGCCGTCCTCGAATACCTTGCAGCTGAGATTCTTGAACTTGCTGGCAATGCTGCTCGTGATAACAAGAAGCAACGTATTGTACCTCGTCACCTGCAACTAGCTATCCGAAATGATGAAGAGTGAGTCAATTTCATCCCATGTCTGCTTTTGTTGCTGACTGTCCTTAGGCTGAATAAGCTTCTCGGTGACGTCGTCATATCCCAGGGTGGTGTCGTCCCCCATATCGAATCACAGCTGCTGCCCACAAAATCTGGCAAGGGTAGGAAGGAAGATGGCATCAGTCAGGAGGTTTAAATCTTGTCCTCGGTGGGCTATCGGATTTTTTCGTCGTTTTGTATCAGCAGATGTATTATTTTCCCTATCATCTATAATTATTCATCCTTCTACGTTTTCAAGGCTATGCTGTGTTCGATGTCTGAAATTCTCAACCTTCGCGTCTGGTTTCCGTTATCTGGTCGTCACTAACTCGATGCTGAACCAGGATGTCACTGCAACTATCAGGCTGCCTACCGTACGTGCCGATTTAACGTGCATGGATTTTTCCTTGCATGTAACCGTAGGTGGACATCATAGCGTCTATGCGATTAAGTTTCTGGACGCAGACTTGCCTCTACTTGACATCCAGTGGAAGGATTTTACATGATTTCGTCGAGAAATTGCGCACATCGCTGCTGAGCAGAATTTCATTCATATGCTGAAACCTTGCGTTCCACCGATGGCCTTCAAGAGTGTCGTGTCTTCATCTTCACCCCTAATACCACATCAGGAGAGAATTACAGGTCAGGCTATCATCCTTGATGTCTGCGGGGTACATTTATCGTTGATGCAGCCGTGGTTGTGTTGGCATTCAGGAGTACCAGTGATGGTGAGGAGGTATGCATTAAACAGCTTAGTTGAGGCGAGAAGACGGGGATGATGATGGTAGTATGCGCCGTTTTCAGAAGTGTCCTCAAGTTCGTCGGGGACTCGGTGGGGAAGCTAATGAAGGAACCTTACCACGGTGGATGCAGAGCTGCCCTCCCGTTGGTATTCTTCTCGATTTTGTTTCCTTGGATAGCATACGAACTATTGACCAGCCCTCCTAGAGCCTTGCAGCTTTGACGGTTGTAAAACAGACTTCCGGAATTTTCCGGCTAGCTTCATCATCCTTCGACCTCTGTTGGATTGTTCGATTTGACTCAAGATACATGCGTATGTCTTTGTGTGAGTCTTGTTGAATGCAGTTGGCCTATACGTGATCCTCGTTATAATTGGATATAATATATATAGGTGGTCTCTACGGGATATCAAAATCATCCGAGGACAAAGGTGTCTTGAGTTGCAACGTCATCTCCAAGATGTTGTATGCCGCCTCCGGTAGTTTACGTTGTCATGGTATATGTGCGGTATACTGGGGCTTGCGGTTGCCCGGATAATGAGCCCTGAGCCCTCTGTCAAACGTATCTCTCATCGAGCAGGCATCTCTCCTTGATCGTAATCCTGAGCGATCTTTTCGAGGTGCCCGGTCACTCTTCTATGTAACTTGATTTACCTGCTTCCCGTCAATGGTGTTGTGCTATGTCAACATTGGCCTCGACGTTGATGTGTGCTTCTATGACCCGGCAGTCTTTTATTACATTTCCTGTGGCCCATCCGAGCGTTTAAGTAACGAAGAACTAATGCGTACAAAAATGGGTCGACTCAAAGTCGATGCCCTTGACTTTTCCGGGACTCAAATGTCTAGAATCCACTATACGTACGTCGCACAAAAACTCCTACCCGTTTTCTGTCAATTTTGTAGCAACATCAGCGTGATGTGATCTCACAAATTCTTTCTATCTCTGGCATTTTCTTCTATGATGTATTCATTTTACTATCCGTTCTTATAGTGTAGCTCCCTGACACTTTCGTCCTTGCTAAATGACCCGCCAAAGATCTCCATTAACACCAACACTGATTATGCAATTACCATTTTTGGACTTGATACCTTGTCTTTTGACTATGATCGTCCTCGACCATGCCTCCGCATTGGAATGATCATTTTTCTAGCTGAGATGTTTCAAACACGACGGACTGATAGATCACTCTCAGCCTGCTGCAGTCACTTCTGTTGATCTTCGCACAAATAGGAACCTAGACTGACACTCTTGGTCCTAGGAGTTCTCTCCTTGGAAACTGTTCATCTTGATCGATATCATACCACGGAACTGAGTCCTGTGCCGGAATCAATGCTCTAACTTGGTCCTTATGCTCACAGCTCACGCAGTCGTAACTCTATTGAATCATACTCCGGGTGGATTTAACTCGCTGTTGATCACTCATACACTGACATTGGTCATCATGTAAGGTCGCGGAACACGTTGGAGGTCAAGGAGTTCAAGATTCGATGTTGCCATAGAACTCAAGATCTTCGCAGTGATCAGACTACCTCGACGGATGTATACTATGCTGTATTATATAACGAGGGGTATGGTTTATGTCACCCTCCATATCACTTTACCGGTTACTTGTTCCTTCTATCAACTGCCCCCATGTCTTCTTCACCAGACCCCGCTAAAGTCGAGGCGAACGTGTTTCAATATCTTGATGCTCAGTTGAACTCAAAGGTCTTATACGCACTATTATATGGTGGGCAGCGCCTCCCGGTGTCTTGATATGTAGGCTTTAACCAACAAGGAGCATAGGCATATACACTGGTATTCTTGCTGTCACACTGTGGAATATATGTGAGCCGGTAACATCTGTACTACGACATCCAAGCCAAAATAAATCCAGTCATCAACAAATGTTGGCCCATCCGACGAGCATTAGTTGTAGTTGTCATTCTTCTACATGCTCTGACTACCGTCGGTTTTGCTGCCGAATGGCAGTATTTGCGCTCTGCATTCATCGACAATGGGCAAAATTTTATGACCATATATTTGACGCTTAACAGTGGTGCCCAAGCGGCCTCTTGGGTGACAGGTATCGCGGCCTCCATCACTTCTATTCTCGCAGACTTAATATTAGTGTGTAAAGTTTCACTGGGAATCTTCGTATCAGCTCACCATCATTCCAACTCTAGATTTGGTATTGCTGGATGATTTGGGGGCGGCGTTGGCTGGTTGTTCTGCTTCCAGTCCTTTTCCTGATTTCCGCGATCGGTAAGGTGTCTGATCTCATCTAGTCTTTTCATTTGTCCAACCATCTGTACAGTGTCAAGAATAACAGAAACATATCGCGAATTCCTCCAAGTATCCCTCGAAGTATTTCCTACGTTCTATATATCCTTCACCCTGGGAACGACATTATCATGCACCTTGCTCATCGTTTGCCGCATTTTGACTGTTGCAGGGACTAAGCGTAGAACAGAAGGGCGATTGGGAGTTTATCGTCGTTTCGTTGAAGTGCTGGTCGAATCCTCAGCTATCTATTCAATATCTTTGATCCTATATTTGGCTTTCACGATTCATAACGATGGGGAAATCTATTATCTTGATGTCATAGCTGCCATCGCAAAGGTGCGTTCGCAATGTCAGACTCCCTTGTCATCCTATCGAAACCTTATGTAGGGAATTGCTCCAACGCTCCTCGTAGGACGCGTCACGGCCGGGCGCCGGGCTCGCCCAGGCGATTCCTGGCAGGGAAGCGTGATGGCATCCGCTTCAATTAGGTCGCAGTCGCAAGATCCCAACCGGACGAGCTTCCAGGAAGATGGCCGGACAAGTCTAATCCTTGATGGTGACCTGGAAGCCCAACGTGAGATGTTTGTCAGGGTGAACTAATCTGCTCCTGTTGCCTCTGTCCCGCACTGAAACAAGATTTTTACTTCTTAGGAACCTTCTCCAGCACGTCGCTCTCTCTGCCTTGTGGCCAATAATGCCACGGACTACCCAAACACTGATGCTCCGGGGAGTGTAATGTCCTCGCCTCACTCAGGTCATTGCCCGCTCAGCCTGGATGACAGTTATACTCAGCCGAGCGCTGTTGAGCATGTTACCCGCGGTCCTACCGTAGTTAACGAGGGGCTTCGGGTCGATGAAACGTTACGGGCAGATGGTCAGCCCTTGATGTCGGAAACACGGTTGGTGCCTGACAGACCCAACAACATCCCGACATCGCCTCTGGATCAGCGACCTCTTCTTCCTAACAGGCCCGCCGATATTCAGCGACCGGAGCCAGCTCACTCGGAGTCTATGTTGACTGCCTCGACCTTGGTTGCCGAAAATGGGTCGGATGTGAGTCGGTCGAATACCAGGATGATGAAGGTTGGTATTACCTCTCCTATGTGTTGAAGTACGGGGACTGATTCCGGCTCTAGTTCATGATGCAGTGGACAGTGTTCCGTGCAAGTTCTTTGGCGATTCGATCACGGACGTCAGACTCTCAAGCACAACTCTTGACCAATGTCAACGAACCTTCATCTTTACCTGTGGCGAATGACACCGCACAACAGGGATGATTTCCTTGACGAAGTTGATTCTCGATAATTCAGCATTCATTCTTGCTTACACTACGATGTGGACGTTCCTTGCACGATAGAATATACCAGACTGAACGGTTTTGCAGGTCGAATTGGCACCGTTGCTGGTTGCTGGTATTCATACACGTCGCACTCGTGAAGGCTAAGTCTCTGAATAATTCTGCAAGTGTCTGTGGTTATATAAACTCGTCCTCGTCGAAGGGAGGGAAGCCTCGGCGCGTCTAAGCTCGATATTAGCGGGGAGGCGGGGAAAGTTGCCTAGGGCTGTACTCTGAATGGCAGAACATCAGACCCTCTATGAACAGGGTCACGAGCACAGATGGTACCCACATCAGTACGGTCACTCATATGAACGTCGTCGTCGCTAGCTATCCGTCCGCCGTCCGCCACTTGTATACTTGTTCCTCGAGTTGGCTGGACAAAATTCAGTGTTGGCCATTGAAAATGCCGAGCAATGGTCGAGTCGTCGCGCCTTCTAGAAACAAGCATGCCACTATTAAGGATGACAAAGAAGCTATTGCTATAAAGCTTAGCAGGAGCAAATGCAGGCGTTATGTGGAAGTTTTTATGCCGGAAGATTAAGATTCTGGTTGCTGGTAACTACAGGTCAAACCAATTGTACGGCATTGATGTAACCACTTACCAGTTATGGTTATCCGAATACATTTACTAATGACCGCCTAAGCTTCCTTGTAACTTGATATCAAAGTTTCCGGTTAGCCATATCTGCTAATAATAAGTATGAACTCGATTTGAAAGAACGGTGCTATTTACGGTGGTATCAACGTCGTTCTTGAAGATGCGAGACATCCGCAACCATGCGTGCCTGCTACAATAGATGAAGTGCTCTGAGTGAAAGGAAGTGTAACGAATTGTTGGGAGAAAGCGGACGAGAGAATTTGAGAAGAAGACGGACAGTTGCAATGATTAACCTGATATTCTGGATCCAGAGAGGGCTGAAACGCGATGCGCAAAATAGATTTGGACAACGTCGCTTACTGCCATGTGTCCAAATCATAGCTATAGAAACCATACGCTTCGTCATGGCACTTACCTATCCCGCTTAGAATAGGAACTGCAAGGTCGAATGAGTGTTTTGGTCCGCGTAAGGAAAGAAGTAAAATAGCAAAACAGGTACTTACTTGGAGAGTGCGACAGCATTCCCGAAATTAGTCGCAAATGCCCTGAACAGTTCATAGGCGAACTTTTCACCGACATTTGCAGTGACAATCAAAACCACACGGACGTGGGGGATTCCTCTGCAAAGAGAACGATACTGAACGTAATCACGAGCGGTATCTGTTACTTTGATGCTCTCCCGGCAGGTGACTGTTTCCAACTGATAAATAGCAAAAGAAAGGTTGGGTTCTAACTGGCACCGAACCAGCTATATGTCATTTCATATGCGTGATTTGATGTTCTCAACGTGGCATACTGGCTGCGCAGATAAGGCCAAGAGCTTGCATATAGGAAAAGTCGAGGACGCGGACGTGCGAAAGGAAAACATTACGTCAACCATAAGCGGCTTGATTTAGGCATCACCGCCCGATAGCATTCCCCACTCCCAGCTTCTCAATCAACAAAGCTTCCAGGTTTCTTCTTGGTGTCAAGCCTGCTCTTGCCGACTGTTGTTCGTATAGACTACAGTAGGGTGAGGCGCGTCATGCAGAGACCGCTACGAAGGGACCAGAAGCCAGAAGGGGTCTCATCGGGAAGCATCCTCCACGGGACATGCTCTCCTCCTCCCATCCTTCGCCCCCGGCGTCTCCGTGGAAGAGAACTCTTGTGTGCGCGTTTTTTGGCCGTGGGCCCGGGGCGAGACGAAGTATTCGTAAAGGCGAATTTGAGCCCAACTAATAATTTTATTTATGCATATTTGTCACATTGAAACGAAATCTCTTTCCAGCTGATCCTCAAATTTCGCGACAGTTGCGCTAAGGTCTCTCTTGGAGAGGCGCGCTGATCTCCATGTTCATCTTTCTATCCTGATACAATATCACGAAGGAATGCTGTGTTGTATTGCAGTGCTCCGACTGCACTTGTACTCGCTATTCATGCGGTCTTGCTTCTAGTGCCCGCAGCGCCTCCGTGTTGATCACTGCTACTGCTATGCCGCTGACATGGATCTTCATACGATTACGATAAAGTTCAAAAATCTTTTGAACATCACGGAGTTGAAGGGAAATTTTTCTGGTTTTGATATTGTCATACGAACTGAGGGTGGTAGTGATCATCTTTTCCAACCTTGACGGACCTCTAGTCCTCTCTATATAATGGGAGGTTTGATATATGTTATTCTCATAAACCACTACCTTGTCACTGTTATCATTCCCCAATGGCGACTCCAAGTCAGACGAATATTCCACCAGATCTTTCCGGCGACGACAAAGCTAACCTTTTTGAATTTCTTGATGTTAATCTCAACTCTACAATTCTCCATGCGCTGTTGTATGGTGGGCAACGATACTCAGTGCCTTGACATGTAGATGTTGACTGATGTCAGGCATATACACCGGCATTCTTGCTGTTACGTTGTGGAATATATGTGAGCCGTGAGGTATCCACTATGAGGTCCAAGCTGAAATGAATACCACAGTCATCAACAAATGCTGGCCGATCCGACGAGCCATGGTCGCCGTTATCATTCTCCTCCATGCTCTAGTTACGATCAATTTTACTGCCAATTGGTCATATATACGCTCCGCATTCATCGAAAACGGACAAAGCTTTCGGGCCATATATTCGAAGCTTGAAAGTCCAGACCAGACATACTATTGGGAGACATCAATCGCAGCATCTATGAGTACCATCCTCGCAGACTTATATATGGTGTGTGGGACTTATGCTGGGTACTACCTGCATCAACATATAACTATAGATTTGGTGTTGTTGGATGGTTTGGGGACGGCGCTGGCTTATTGTTCTGCTTCCAATATTGTCCCTGGTTTCCGCGATCGGTATGGCCTTAGATCCCATCTACTCTTTTCGTATGTCCAACTTTCTGTGTAGTGTCGAGAATCATTGAAGTATATCATGCATACTTCAATCCATCCACTAAGTCAGAATTATTCCAAATGCTTTACATATCCTTCATCCTGGCGACGACATTATGGTGCACCTTGTTCATCATCTACCGCATATTGACTGTTGCCGGGATTAGGCACAGAGAAGAGGGCCGACTGAGAGTTTATCATCGTTTCCTTGAAGTTCTAGTTGAATCTTCAGCTCTTTACTCGATATCTCTGATCCTAGATTTGGCTTTCACTATTCGGTACAATTGGGGGGAGTTTTACCTTGACGTCATCGCTGCCATCGCGAAGGTGCGTCGATGGGATTAGAGTATGCATTTACCGAACATCTTGTGTAGGGAATTGCTCCAACGCTCCTCGTAGGACGTATGAAGACTGGGCATAGGGCCCACCCAGATGATTCATGGCAGGGAAGCATGATCGCATCGGTTTCAATCAGGTCGTGTTCGCAAGAGGATAGTCAGACGAGCTTTCAGGAAGATCGCTCGACGAATCTAGTCCATGATGGTGATCTTGAAGCTCAGCCAGAGAGCGGTGTAAGAGAAAACTGATCCTCCTCCTTGTCCGGCACTAAAACAAAAATGTTTTGTTTTTAGGACCCCTCTACTGCATTCTTCCCTGGACCTAGTGCGGTTGATCACGCATGCTCAATCGCAGGACATGGCGACTGTCTTGTGTAACTTTGCGAATTGGCGCGCTCCCTCATGATGGTGATCTCCGAGGACTCGGCTTGGGTTGCTGGGAGTTGGGCTTTGCTAATTTTTGAGACGTCCCGCAGCGTAAAGCAGTCGAACACTCCTTCTCTCAGATTTTATATCAATTTTCTCACACTCCTCATCCATCTATGAATCATTTGGATTTTTATTTAGTACATTATCTCCTCTTATAGTTATATTCCTTAGATCCTATTGCGTCTGTATAATGCACTAGATCTTTTTCACCCTATCTCTGCGTTCGCTTTTGTGTCCATCGCTCATCGACACTTCATGGCTCATGATGTAAGTAACTCATACTAAGAACCCCACCCTTTACCCAGAAGTATAAGCTACTTTTCAGAAATTTCCGTACTTTGAATACCACTAATACTTAGCTTTGGCGGTGATTGCCATATGTGGACAGCCATTTTTTCGAACCTTTCCGCGACCACGACCGCTGGCAATTTTTCGCGCTGTTCTCCCTGAGAAACATATGTAAAAACAACGCATATCTCGTTCTGGAACGTCAACTTCGCTTCAGGATGGTCACAGTCCATGGAAGACCCCCCTCCGGATTGCCCTATCATTGAGAGCATACCAGTGGATTCGCGGAGGGCTGATGCGAAAGAAGCAAGGAACTGAGGCAATAACTGTGACCTTGCGGGGCCTTCGGAGAATGATCACCAGTCACAGTGTCGGCGAGTACGCTCTTGTTGCTTATCTTTTGCAAAAACCTTGTTGATGTGCCTTATAGCTGAAGTCAGGCTATACCTATGGCATCGAATTCTAAGAAGGATATGTCCGGCTTCGTTATGGAATCATAATAATCTTTTGCCCTTCATTAGTCTCCTGGATAATGGTGTGCTTATAAGACGAGGGTAGTCCCTGCCTATTGGATGACTGCTATCGTCACCTACTCTGTGCCACTTTGCGACCATGGTTATACGTGCGCTCTGAATTCATCGGCGATAGACAAAACTTCTGGACAGCGTATTTGCAGCTCGAAGGTTCTAGGGAAGCGGCGATAAAAGCTGGTTATGGACGGGTATCTTTTCACAGGTTCGTTGTTGGTAATATTTTTTTAGCTCGCTTTCACGTCGAATTGAGATATGGCGTTGCTGGATGGTGTGTGGCTTCACAACGACCTTGCGACTCTTCTTCTACTGTTCCGCCAAGTGTCATACCATCTTATCGACATATCTCTGTCACAGCCTTGAAGTCCGTCACGGTACACATGGAAAACGTGAAGCTCTCAGGCTTGTTACTGGATTCCGGCCTACATATCCCCCATCCTTGCAGTCATGCTACTGTGCACACTGCTTATTATCTACCATATTGTTACCATCGTTCGGGCGAAGGACGGATCAGAGAATCTACTGTTAGTGGAACCCTTGGCGTTTTACTCCGCCCACTTGGTCGTATATGTGGTCTTAGTGGTTCGTAACAACTCCGCCTGGGCAATGGTTGTAAAGGTGAGCTATTAGTTTCTCTACCAGTGTCGCTCTCTTGCAGGCGCTTAGCAGGTTTTTAGAGCTTCGCTTCTACGGGTGCTCGCCCGAATGAATGACATCTAGAAGGGAAGCATGATATCCTCGTTTTCCTTTGGGAATCGTTCTCCCGCTTGCGCTGAAGTGAGATCTGGGTTAGGACCCAAGAAGAATCGAGGGAAAGCTTGAGTGTCACGTTGGCCGATGATGTCCAGGGCCACCCAGTGGATCATGAGGCCGCAGCCCCGCCTACATGGCGAATATAGCTGTGGTTTTCCGCGTTTAGATGGTCTGGTGATGGTTGCACGAGGTATCCAGACACAGACACGTGTGAGTTGACACTTCTCCTTCACGTCACTGATATTGTCGCCCTCTCTACGACCCTTCATTGCTTTACTTTTCGGGTGCAATGGCGGTCATCACCGTGCACGGATTCTTGTGCCGTGGGAGAAAGCTTCGAAGCACATGTTTTGACTTCAGAAATATAAGCCCTCTCTGTGGGAGACCCAGTCCCAGCCAAGCATGTTCTTCTTTCTGCTCTCGCTCCTCATCTCGAGCACCAGTGCAAGGTTTTTGTATGACTTTGCGGACCTCAAAGGTCTTGACGCATATGACTTTGTCGTCGTCGGAGGTACAAGTACCTTGTGTTCTGGCATATGCGGCCCGTACTGACGAATGGAACGGCTATAGGTGGTCCTGGTGGAAGCACAGTGGCCGACCGACTGAGCGAAGACCCCACTGTCAACGTGTTATTACTCGAGGCTGGGGGTGAAAACGACCCAGCCGTAGATCCCGCCCTTGCTATCCCGCTGTTCTGCACGACGCTGACGCCAAATACGCCTTACGATTGGAATTATACAACCGTCCCACAAGAAGAGCTCAATGGCAGAAGTATTCCGTACCCGTTGGGTATTGGCTTGGGCGGATCGAGTGCCGTTAGTGAGTGCCATGCATAAAGGATTCGCCAATTCGCCAAGTAATTTAATTTTCAGACTGCCTGGTATACACTCGTGGCTCAGCAGACGACATCGACACATGGGCCAAGTTTTCTGGAGACGAAGGCTGGTCATGGGACAGCATGCTGCCGTACTTCAAGAAGGTATGACTCCATCCCATTATATGATTTATACTAATACCTTCATTAGGGTGAGAAATTCAATATTGTTCCTCGGGACGGACATAATACTACTGGTCAATACCTGCCTGCCTTCCATGGCACCCACGGCGTGATCGGTGTTAGTCTTCCAGGATACCCCTTCCCCTTCGATGGACGCGTCGTCAACACTACACAGGAGCTGGCAGAGTTCCCATACCGAGTGGACATGAACTCTGGCGAACATATAGGTATAGGATGGGTTCAGTCACTTGTGGACGGTGGACAGCGCTCCAGTGCAAAGGCACACTTACTTCGCGCCGAGAATGAGGGTAGGAAAAACATAGACGTGCTATTGCATGCCCGGGTATCTCGCGTGGTGCCTGCTGTGGATGGTATGACGGACTTGAGATCAGTGGAAGTGCTGGACTCTGCTGATGGTATGCATATATGTGCATTAACGTTGGCCAGCATTTAATACTGCTTCATAGAGTCTCTCAAAATCATCACTGCCAAAAATGAGATAATTCTCTCCGCTGGTTCCGTTATGACGCCGACTATCCTCCTTCATTCTGGAATTGGTGACCCTGGACTGCTCGAGCCTCTGGGTATAACCACCATCTTGTCCCTTCCATCTGTAGGAAAGAACCTCACCGACCACATCGGCGTCAGCACGACCCTGGTTGTAAACTCGACCAACACGTACGACATTGTCCTCAGAAACGAGACTCTCCGGAACGAATGGATAGAGGAATGGACTACGAACAAGACAGGGCTACTTACAGACACATCGGAGAACCATGCTGCTTGGCTTCGTCTCCCGGACAACTCGACTGTGTTTGAGAATTATTCCGATCCTTCATCAGGGCCTTTGACTGCACATTATGAGTTCTTATTCCAAGTATGTCCTATAACACAGGTATGTATGCATATTCTAATCCTTTTTTAGAACGGATTAGCTAGTGGCGGAGGAAGCGGCAACTACATAAACGTTCCAACAGCATGCGTATCACCGGCCTCGCGAGGATCAGTATCCATCAACTCCTCCGACCCCTTCTCCAGACCCCTAGTCAACCCCGCCCTCCTCACTGCGCCAGTCGACATCCTCATCGTACGGGAATCTATCCGGGCCGCCCGGCGGTTCTTCAGCGGCCCCGCGTGGGAGGGCTACATCTTAGGCTCACTCAATAACAATGCGACCACGGACGAGGAACTCGACGAGTTCATCCGTCAAAATGCGGTGTCGTTCTTCCACCCGGTCAGTACGGCGAGTATGTCGCCCGAAGGAGCGGATTGGGGTGTTGTGGATCCAGATTTGAGGGTGAAGGGGGCGAGTGGGTTGAGGATCGTGGATGCGAGTGTGATTCCTAGGTTGCCGGCAGCGCATACGTCTGCCGCAGTGTACGCGGTGGCAGAGAGGGCAGCGGATATCATCAAGCTGGCATACGGTTTGCCGGTCGAAGCTCCGTGAGGGGACCCGTCAAAAGGTAGTGTTTTGGGGATCAGTATTGTAGGGAAGCTTGTCGGGTTGGAATCTACATCGACGTACTACCACCGACTACTGACATTTCGGTACTTTTTTATCGTCGGTAAGATGCAGTGGAATGCTTGTCTGAGCGGTCATAGTCAACGTCTTGGGACCACGCTGTCCTTCCTTATATAGGACCCGTCGTCCTGTGAGACGTGTAGGATCTTGATTAACCCCAGTGTTCTTTGCAATGAAATTAGGGGTCATTGCATGGCATGAGAATTAAATCTGGTCCTGCTGGAAGTAAAACCTGACAACTGGCAATAGAATTGTTCACTTTGACCGTCGACATGATTATACGAACTGCCATCAACGTGTTAGCTGTCGATTCTTGTCGAACAAAGCTATTTGGCCAACCTTATCGCCGGCAAGAGGGAAACGTGAGATATAAGATGACCATCGCATGGTTGGCGGCGTACAGGCGCTTCTCACAGCAAGATGAATTTTCCGTCACCATGCTGCATTTCACCCTTCAAATAAGTTTTCAGCACAGCCGAACTCGACGACTTGTCCTTCCGAGCTAAGTTATATCCAGGGCGATCATGTTCAAAATGCAAGGACGACGTGGCTATGCAACTGTGGGTTGCCAATTCTCGCTGTCCATCAAGATCCCGCTCTTCGTTGACCTTGCACTACCTAGGCAGGCGTGGCGCGCTCAACCCTAGAGCGACACCGACTTCTTCCAACTCGTTAAGATTCATATGTTGCCGCTATATGATAACTGTCTGGAAACTACGCGGGTGGCTGAAAGAGCCACATATAGACCGGCTGCAGGTCATATCCCACAGACCTCGTAAGGCCGTAGTTTTGACGACAACGTACGTCGGTGTTGTTTCGTGCCTCAACTCTCCAGTAATGTCAATAAATATGATCCTTGAATTTGGAGGGAAAGTACACAGGTAGTCTAATTTGGAGTTGTAGCGAAAGCATTTCAGATGGAGGACGTAGAAACACACGATTACTTTATATAATATACTAGACGGCAAATGAAGGAGGAGGGAAAGTTTCAGCCGCTTTTCCCTGTAACAGCCGGGGCCGGATTCGCATTCTCAGGCTGACTCTGAGTGCGAACTTCGTCAGCAAACGTGACAGTACGCGTGGCAGAGCTGATTGGGTTTGTCTGAGCCTGAGGCTTCTTCTCCTCAACGGCCTTCGTAGCCGGAACGCTACCTTGCCAGGAATCGTAGGGGCGCGCAAAGCCCGTCAAGATGCGTCCCAAGAGGAGGGTGGGCGCAACTGCCTATTAGCAAACATTCCAGTTAGGATGAGACGTAAAGAGATCGAACGGAAATGTACTCCTGAAATCTCTGCTACTGGTTCAAGGTAGTAGTAAGTCCACTCGGTGCGAGCGACGAAGACTGCGTAGAGGATGAGGCCAACAGAGTAGACAATGGCGGATTCGACGAAGAGCTCGACGGTGCGATGGTACAGCGATGGTCCATCCTCTGTTCCGTCTTTCTCCAGAGGGGACGTGATAAGGCGGTAAGTGATAAGTACGGTGCACCAAAGGGCGGTAGCCATGGCGAAGGACACGTAGACCATGAGCCAAGGTGTGTGTTCAAAGTTGTCGTGCAATCTGCCGTGGGTTTCAATGATTTTGAATGCTAATTAATATATTGTTTAAGTTGGCATTTAAGCATGTTACGACTTGAACGTACTGATGGTGCAAATCAGAAGCACAATGGGAGGCACAATCGTTGTCCAGCGCCGGCCCCAGAGTACAAAGCAGCGCCAGATCTAGAGCCGATAAGACATTAGTTGGTGTAGAGGAAGAACCAACAGAGACCTTACGAGGGTAGCGTCCGCAAAAATGGTACCAATGCAGCTGGTGACAGTCATCCCCACTCGAGTCGCAACCAGCGACCTTGAGTGATTGATAAGAGCCTGATATACGGTCCAAAAGGTTTCTCCGTTTTTGATGAATGCATAGCGTGTGAATGACCAACTGAACGCTAAGCTGATTGTTGCCATAACGTAGATAATGCCGATGACGATGGACATGTTGCGCTTGGGACCCTGGTATTTGCTTACAACTGCAGAGGACGTGTTACGTCACGTTGCAGAGATGACAGAAGAGACCTTGTACTCACGAATTTTCCATCCAGCGACGGAGATTATACAGGTATACAAGCCTATGTAGCGTGTTCATGAGCAAGTGTACAACGAGAGGAAGGAACGCACCATGCAAGAATGCGAAGAGAATGGTCGGATTCAAATTAGAGTCGAAATCACGGAATATGAACGCAATTTGGGCGTCGCTGAGATTCGGAACATCCGTTTCATTAGACATTGCCGGGGATGTCTGAAAAGAAAGGGAGATGGATGAACAGCTGGGAAGTGGGGATCATCCTCCCAGCTTACTATTTATATAGACATCCACTGTACAATGGCATCAGCCCCTTCACGAAACACGGGAGTAGGTTCTTTGAAAGATGACTATGTTGATCTTCCTAATTTGAAGATAACCATCTGCACCGATGATGAGTTCCCACCGATGGCAGTTGCATTTGACAAAACGTCCGTCCGTACCACCAAAAGGGCAACTGTATCTGGAACATGTTTTGATGAGCTCAAGACTCTATCGAGCGTTCTTCATTCCGAATCTATGAGCAGCTGTAGTCAAGCGAGATAGAGTCTGTAATTTGATGCAGTGCGGACCGGTTCTGCCTCATTACCGGGATTCCGTAAATCACGAATCCACCACCAAAAGGCCGGGTTAATGAACAGGCTAGACCTGTGTGAAGGGAGTCAGTCTTTCGATGGAACTTGGACATGTCCGTGATAGATCGGGAGGAAAGAGAGCTATATGATTCGCCAGTCTGATCACAAACGAGGCGGAGTTCAGGTCATCTCAGGGCGAGCCATTCTATTTTCACTTGAGATGCATTGCAAACACATGGAAAAAGGGAGAAGACGTACCTTTTCGAACTCATTTCGAGTGATCAGATTGTTCTTCATGTTGCATCTTCATTGTGGTTGCAGTGGGATACGATGGTAGCTCCGCATCAACGAGTACCTCGCCATTGCACCGTTCTATCAAGCCTACGCTGACGGTCTTGTTTTGTTCAGAGCGACAGATTTCCGATTCAAAGGATGCCTAGCAATGTTGCACTTTCATTGGTGTTGTCTCTTTAGAAATATCAGTGCTTCTCTGATCCTAACCTTGGGTGACATACTCACTCAACCTGTCTCTATCTCGCAAGCGCAGCCGAGTCTTTGCTGACCATCACGATGTCTCTATGGCAAACGGTAATTGCGACCAAAGAGAGGGTCGGAGATGATTTCAAGAAGCAGAAATATATGGCACGACGGTTAAGAGCAAGTCGAAAAATAGCAATCACTTGCTCATCCTCTCAGTTTTGAAAATGACACGGATTATAGTCACCTATCTCCAAGTTGAAAAGACAGTAGGCCATGCGTTCCATTTGTCTGAAACATTGTTACCTTCTTTGAACAAAGCGAGTATACTATTGTACTATTATTTAACAATCAAACTGGCTACGTCCCCGCCATTCCTACGACACCAACATGATCTCTAATGCGCGCGACCTCGTTGGCAGTGAGAGCCGTCTTGCCTGCGCGCAGAAAGTCTTCGAAAGCCTGTTGGGCATCCGAATCTGTGGTGAATTCTGATCTGCAAGACCTCAGTAAACATGGTGGGTGAACAACGATAGGCCCTTACCTCAGGAAGGAATACAGCCGGTCCCACATCTCTGGTTTGGCAAGCGTGTGGTGATATGTAGAGGTAGAAGGACGTGTGGGTGAAGGGGGGTTGGTATCGAGGGAAAGGGAGATGTCGGCAGGCCTTTCCGCCGATGGAGATGGAGAAGGCGAGAGCACGACGGATGGGATACGGGTATGACGAGAGGGTGCAGCGGGGGTGGCGATGGTGATAGGTGCTGGCTTCATTGGAGTGGGTGCAGCAATTACAGGGGGAGTGTCTTTGAGAATGAGATTGACAACGTCGCCGTCGTGAACAGGGTACTCGAGCAGGAGCTTATTGTCAGCGAGGGCCTTGCCTTTGAGCAGGAGACGAACAGCAGCTGGATTTGCTGGAGAGAGCTGGGATTTGATAGAAAGAACGGTATCAGAGGGAAATACTCTGAGGGTTGTCGATGAAGCGGGTTTGAGCGATTTGAAGGTGAGGGTAATCGCTTTATATGTAATCAGACAATGGCTGGCTCCTAATAAATGACGCTCTCACCCGATGATGACGATCCTGCCTCTTCTTGTTTCCGCTGGGGCAGTGCAGGCAGCGGTACCTATATTCAGGCTCTTCAGTACAGAACGACGACCAGCATAGCTCCTACCTGTAGCACAGGCACCTTCTTCAACGAGTTCTCAGGCGGCTGGTGGTAGTCATCAGGGTACGCGACGGGCTGCGATGTTATCGTGTTTAGAAATGTTGTCACGAACGCAAGTTCAGCCTGCTCAGCCATAGTGGTACCAAATCACAAGGTTAGGTGGCTGTGCACCTCACAGGGCTGTCTTCTGCTACATATTTCATCAACTTTTACCGGTAAGAATACGGCGAAATATTCTGTACATATGCCACAAACAAGTATCTCGCTCATCTGCAGCCCCATTTCACAAGTGCCTCCGACACTTGACCTGCGAATAAAATGGTGGTTGATGAGTTGCAACAGAGTGCCTGCCGAGAAAGGTATTTATCCAGGAGCTCCCTCAACTTCAACGTCCAGATCACTGAGAACGTTGATAAGTCCTCTTACTCTAACCTTCTCGCAGCAATTGAGGGCGGTGCTGAACCACGTATCCCCTTCCCTAGGCTCTTTGATTTTCTTTTCACACCCCTCGCAATACGCACGTAAGCAGACAGCACATGCTGCTAAAACATATCCCAATGATTTAGGATCAGCCTGGGCCTCTGACATGTACGGCGCTTGGGCAGAAATCGGAAGGCGATGAGGTTTCATTAGCGATGACCGATAGGATGTACATTTGTGCGATTCAGTAACCATTTCTCTATGGGAGTCGATTTGGTGTCGAAAGAGGTCGAGCTGATCGCAATACCCGACCAAAGCTATGGAAGGGTTGCTGCTAGAGCTCGATGTGGAACGTACTGACGGTATCCCTCTGCTGAAAGAACGCTTCTCGGATAAGGACAGAGGCGTTGTTCGGGAAGATGAAGATGTCAGTTTGGAGGAAGTTGGAGATTTAGAGGACGAAGGCGTTGACACCATGTCTGGTTGTGGAGGTGCTCTTTCGCAGAGCCAACCTGGATTCCTGTTTCCATCAATGAAGTGAGGGGTTGAGAAGGGTAGAAAGGACACGACGTCACTTTACTCTGACGAGGGCAGATCTGGGCCGAAAGAAGAGTGAAGCGCGGGCGAATGCTCGCGCCGGACACGGGGATCGCTCGAAAGCCTACTAGTGCGGCTCATGTGAGGCCGGCGGGGAAACATGTTGGTCGGGAAGACTCTGCTCATGCCAGACCTTTGATTTGTCGGCTGGGATGCTGATGCAGGAGGAATAATACCTGAGAGAATCTTAAAATTAGTATGAATTTTCAATGCATCTCGTTTGAAGTTGATCTTGTGTACAGCAGCCCTCTGGGCTTGTCAAGGTTACTCCGGGTTCGTTCTGAGGTGGCAGTGAACGTCCAACATCTAGAACGTCCTCGTAATTGTGTTGTCTCTCAGTATCTTGATTTTGAAGTAGTCTTGAATCCTGATGAGGAGCGATTGACCCGACGTCAGGGCTAGTTGGCATACGAGTAAAAGACGGCTCGACAGTTCATTTCCAAAAACTTCGACAGACCTTGTGCCGAAGACGGTCTTTTGCTCGACTTGGAGACTCCTTTTTTTGAATTTATCAAATACTAATGTCGTTCATTACCATAACAGTTCTTGGTCACAAACGATGAACATTAGACGTACAGGTTGTGGAACGAGAAGCCATTTACAAAAAGTCGACGTGATAGTTAGCTTGACAAACAAGGTCATCGTTGAGATTGCTTGATGATCACATCCATCGAAAGCCCTCGCAACCAGCAACTCTTCGTTCAAGAGGGTGACTCCAATATTTCGAGCCCAAGCTGATTGATAAGGAACAACAAAGTCGCAAAAGAAGCGCCTTGATGGACATAATCGTCCGCAAGTTCCCAGCGCTTTGCAAAATACAACGCCAAGGTCGAAAACAGTATGCAGGAACAACATCCATCCCAAAGATACGTTCCTAAAGCCTTCTTTAGATGAAGAACAACAATCCAAACGTAGCTTTAGAGTAGGAGCTCCGTAGTTCCTGCAAGTAGGGAGGCGCACTACCAGTGAAAGTAATGCAGCCCGGCTTGAGCAGTGCCACTTCGCAATCCCGGCACCGATGACCGTTAATGAGCAGGCTAATGAGTGGACGTAAGGCATCCCGGAGTTGGGTTAACATAGTTTTGTATCCGATTGAACTAAGACTGTTTTCGGATGATCGACTAGTAAAGCTCAGAGACGGGGATAGGGATAGCGTTTGGCTATCTCTAGACACGAACCTAGTTCGTTCATGATGTCGGCCAATTCGTCAATTAGCTCCAGAGTACATGGTGACTGTACGCGTGGTAACAGACCAGGTGATCGGCTAGACTGGGAACCGGATGTTGGTGTACCTGTAAGTAGAGGCCAACATCAGTAAATTCGACTCTCACGTTCAGCGCGAATAGGATAGGATCACATACCTGCTTCAGATAGGACATCACTTGTTGACTCCGATATACTTTCAATCCGGCTATCCGGAACGAAGGCTGGAGGAGATAGATATGAGATGTGGACACATGGTCGGTGCAGTCTGTCAGAGCTACTGGCCACAAGACTTAACGGGAAGGAAGAAAATGGTTCTGGAGTATGGAAGAAAGTGAACTTTCAACTTTATAGACGGGAGTACAACTACTTCCTTATTTGGACCGCTCAAAGAGAAGCTCTGTGCCGGTGCTAGAATTGCTGGATGATCACTTGAATCGTCTTCGAAACGATTGATGCATTGTCCTCTAGAGAGAAAACAATCAGACAAACGGTAGGATCCTAGATTGAGTTGTTATCCAATATTTCGAGTCCAAGATGATTGATGGAGAACAAGAGCCGCCTCTCCTGGTTCAAGTGCGTGGCCGTAGCGTTCCATGGTGTTATGTGACAGAAAGATAATAGCGCAGCTGTTGAAGTAAGAATGCACCGCTATGAACAAAGTTTGCACTGGTTGCAACGGCCCAGAAGGGTTTATCAACCATACACGTCGTGCTGGTATTATGTTTGTCCGCTCCTTCATCTTCCATTCTGTGGGAAATGCCCAAACTTATACATCTGACGTTCCATACCCGCCCCCGCCGGGAGTCATAATAACTATGCGATCTCCTTTGGCCATTGGGACTGTGTTCTTACCGCCGATAGATAGGGTCCTCTCCCTCCCCTGAGCATCCTTCGATATCCACAGATTTACTCCCAGCTCACCCGGGCCACCTCCCATTAATCCATAGGGATGATAAACCCTCCGCTCACTCAAGATACTGCACTGTACGGGGCGACGGAATTCAATATCTCGTACAACACCATCCCCGCCACGATATTGGCCCTTTCCACCTGAGTCGGGGCGCAAGGAGAATTGTCGAAGGATGACGGGGTATCTCCGCTCCATAATTTCAGGATCAGTGATTCGTGTGTTTGTCATATGTCTGGAGAAGGGTCAGCTTTGGGTAATCGCATAACATACTTCACTGACGTGTGAACACCAGAAGTCCCGTGCCATCCTGGACCCGCACCACCGCCACCCGCTATCGTCTCATAGAAACCAAACGACTTCTTCTCTCCAGAGGCCGTAACTTCTTCGTCGTATCCAAAGGTAAGATTGTTCATGCAGCCTTGCGAGGCTGCGCATGCTTCGAAGGCCCGGAGTACGACGTCAGTAAGTCCTAAGAAGAGAGACAATATCAGGACGGAAACACCTATGTAAAGAGGAAAGTAGTAATACGTTGACTAGTGAGTACATTTCCCGCACAAACCGCGGCGTCTGCGCTTGGTTTCAGGAAACATCCATCTGGTATGATCACATTGATTGGGGTCATACACCCTGCATCATCAACACACTTCTGTGACATCAAACTCAAAGAACGACTCACCCTGGTTCAACGGAATATCACTCTCCAACAAACATCGCAACGCGTAAATGATTGACGAATTCACTATCGCTCTCGGCGCGTTCCAATTCCCATACACCTCCGGACCGGTGCCCGTGAAGTCAAAAGTCGCTGAGCCACTCTCCCTATCGATGTCAATTCGCAGTGCTATGGGTGATCCATCATCCATGCGATCAAGAGCAACCAGCGCTTTACCGCTGTGCTTCTTGCTGAACTTTCGCAAAAGTTGCCGAACGGCTTCTTCAGCTGTCTCCTGAATCGCATACATATACATCTGTACCACCGGTAACGTATACTTTGACACCAGGTTCTTCACCAGACCAACGCCCTTATACTAAACAAGGAAAGTCAGCCCCGCAATTCGAGAGGTAGAATAGACAAGTGCTCACAGTCGCAGCGATCTGGGCGTTGATATCGCTCAAGTTGTCCTTCAGCGTCCGTGTCCCTTTCCCACCTGGATACTTCAATGGCTCCTCCACCAGGAGCTGTATAAGCTCATCTTCGTTATACTTCCCCGCGCTGATGACCTTGAACGTTAGAATGGATGCTCCCTCATCGTATATCATCTTCGAGAACGGCGGCATGGAACCTGGAGTTTGCCCTCCAACATCAGCATGGTGTCCTCGAGAAGCAACATAGAAAATGATTTCTCTTCCGCTATCGTCGAATACGGGGGTAACGATTGTAATATCAGGAAGATGCACCCCACCACTGACAGCTGAGTTGCTAAGAATAACATCACCGTCATGAAGTCTTCCCTTCCAGTGTTCGTGCTGCCAGCGAACTGCAAATTGCATGCTACCCAGCATAGCTCTGATGACAAGTCAATAACTGTGTGTGATAAACCATGAAGTCGAAGGCCTACGGTACATGAGGTGCATTAGCTACCAGCCTCCCATCAGGGTCAAAGAGCGCACACGAAAAATCAAGTCTACAAGAAGGAATGAAGTGACACCGGTCAGCAGAACTCACGTACTCACCTCTCCTTGATATTCACGCTGACGCTTGTCTTCTGTAACGTCCTTCCCATCTGCTCCGCTATTGACATAAATCGATGCCCAAATACTGATAAGCGAATAGGATCAATTCTCAGCGGATCATCCGTCTTGCTTTTCGAATCGACATTTATAGGGCCGATATCCACCACGATGTGATCATCCAGCACCATAGCAACTGCGTTTGGCGTAGCGACTATCGTCTGTGTGGCGTCAATGATTATCGCCGGCCCTTTGATAACCGAACCAGGCATTATTTGGTCGAGCTTATAGACGCCAGCGTCTGTCCAGCCAGTTGACCCAAAGTACACCTTCGACTTCTCGAACGGCGTTGGAGTGAGAGGTGCCAACTTTAAGTGGGTGATTTGCTCAGACAGAGTCCCGCGCGACGCATCGCGACCGTCGTCTTGGACGCCACTGACGCGTACCCGAAGATCATCGACCCAAACACTCCGTCCCTCAAGAGAAAACCCAAATTCTTGCTGATGCTTGTCCTTAAATACTTGGACAAAGTCGTTGGACGGGTCCACGGTGATCATCAGGGTGGCATCGGAACCATCATAGCGCTATTTCCAGATTTAGTATGCAGCAACTCGATAGAAAATAAAACGCGAACCATATTCAAGTACGACGTGGATGAAAGCTGGGACTTGGTGAACCCTTGCGCAATCAAGCGCCCTTCGGATCTGACTCGAAGTACAGCTAGACGGGAGCGCAGAAGATCGGCACTCGAATCATCAGCAATGATAGAAAATGATTCTTGACTCTCATCCACTAACTCGGCTTTCGCCAGTCCAAACGCAGAAAGGATAGCTGACGACTTGTGGATGAGAATGCGGCTCATATCCAGCGCCGCAGCAACATCGCAAGCTGACTGCCCTCCCGCACCGCCAAATACCGCTAAGTGATGGCTAGATGGATCATACCCTCTCGCTTCGCTGATAGCTCGAATAGGCAGACACATGGCTTCCGTTGCAACTGTCAGAAACCCAAGAGCAATCTCTTCTGGAGTTTTCTCTACTCCGGTTTCCTTTGAGATTTGTTTGGCGAGGGTGGCGAACATCTCCCGGACAACATCAGCATCAAGGGGCTGATTTTCATTCAGTCCGAATATCTTGGGAAAATGAGCCGGAAGAAGTCGACCTAAAAATACATTCGCATCCGTTGTGGTGAGTGGGCCTCCCTTGCGATAACACGCGGGGCCGGGAGAGGCACCGGCGGACCGGGGACCCACTTTCAAGAGCCCGTTCTGCCAAAGGAGAAGTGACTAATGAATAACACGGCCTGGTAAGAGTGATGACTCCCAAGTGACAGATTTAGATTTACTCACTCCTCCACCAGCAGCCACAGTGTTGATATCGAGTTGTGGACTTTGGATGGTAACGCCAGCCGTTGTCGACTCCATAAGGTACTCAAACCTCCCATCGAAACGTGACACATCCGTGGACGTACCTGTCATATGACATATTAGGTATAATCAAGAATGAATGAAAAATCAGTTTGACTGACCACCCATGTCAAACCCGATCAACGGTACTTTCAGTTTCTCATCCCAACAGGTCTTTGCGATACCAACGACCCCACCGGCAGGACCGCTGAGAATTGCGCGTAATCCAGAGAATGACTCTGCATTGACCACTAGGAAATGGAATTAACATCTGTCAGGAACCTATGAAAGGCACACTCACGTCCTCCGTCGCTCTGCATAAATTGAAGCATCCTAGGTCGAAGATTCTTGAAACTCTTTTGGAAACTAAAACACAAAAATCAGTCAGGCCTGTTGAAGTTAAACATGGTCAGCAGACGTGTACCCTTGCAGATATTTTTGAAGCTCTGGCGTGAGATAGGCGTCTGCCGTTGCCGAGTTCGCACGAGAAACGATACGAATCATTGGCGACAGCTGGGATGATAGAGATACGTGCGTAAACCCAACCTCTCTGGCAATGTCAGCGACCAGAAGCTCATGCTTAGGATACGTGTAAGAGTGAAGGAAAGAGATGGCCAGGGAGCGAAAACCGTCATCGTAGAGGCTCTTGAGGTGTTTACGGCATTCGCCGGCGTCTGTTAAGAACGTCGGTCATCATTTAAGACTGACGGATCAAAAAGCTCTACCGGGGACATGTTCAACCTGAATCTTTTCTCCGCTTGTGCCTAAGACGATTGGAAGTCCTTCCAGTTGGTACGCGTCGGCGAGCAAGACTCTCTCTTTGACTTCAACGACTTTCTCGTACAGCATCCCAGGCCGTTTGGCTGCGAGATCGAACAAATCTGGGCGGCTTTGATTGCCAATGTGCAGAAGGTCCCGAAAGCCTTCCGAGACAAGGAAAGCAGTCTTCTCTCCCTTGCGTTCGAGTAAAGCTATAGCGAGATGATGAGCAACAATGAGGGGAGGTAGATAGAAGATAGGATACCACTGAGCAATAATTAACACAAGATCCCCCGGAAAATGCGTATATACTCACTTTGTCGCGACTGTCGTCCCCATCCTTATGACCTCTACACCCGACAAATCAAGAAGCTCCCCCCTTGGTATATTGGTGCCATAACCAATCTCCAGGACACGTCGGATAGCCTCCGTAGGTGCGTCCGGGTAGGCCGTATCCACCGATAAAACCTTAAGGATGACGGGCGGATGATGGGCAAAGGTCGCATATACATCGCAGAAGGTGCCACCTATGAGTAATAAGTAAAGGAGGGAGTTTTGTTTTCCTTGCTTACCTCTGTCGATGGCAATACGGATGCCTGCAGCGCTGCGAAGGGTATCCAGAGCGATTGGCATGACAGGAAGGATAAGAACTGACAGAGAGATGAATCATCATCATATTCATATTCGAAGGTTAGCAAAGAGTCGGAAGGTGGACGGAAACAAAAGGCATATCCGGATTTGAACCGGAAAACATTGCCAAGTACGAAGAAAAACGGGATGGAGTGCGCCAGTTTCTCGGCATCTTCCACGCCGTGGCAGAGCCGTGGTACTCCTGCGAGGCTAGGGGATCATGAATCAGAGTACACATACTTCAGAATTCCGGAATTCCGTACTTGCCATAGGTTAAACGCCCTCTGATTTATATTCTGCCTATCTCGCGTTTCAAGTCCAAGATAAGTAAATCCAAAGTAAAAGCCTTTGATTGATTATGCCGTTAACAACTTGCCTTCGTCTGGAACCATGGATGGAAAATAACCCAACACTCAGGGACGATTGTTGGTACTTCAATTTGGCCGGTAAAGACCTTTCGTCGACATAGTCCATCGTTTCCGTATACAACTTGCGATTGATAGTTATTCCAGGCTCAAGTGCGAATATGGTCAACTCAAGAATCAGTTACAAATATTTAAAGGCTCAAAGGAGAAAGAAGAAATACATGAAATTAAAACGACACACACACATCTTCATCTTTGATATCCAGCATCAGCATGCGTCCAGGCGTGTGACCAACTACTTCCCCGGAGATGCCACTGTCCATAACTGACAGCTGAGGTGTCACTCCACACCCAAAATAAACAGCTATTTCTCCATCTTGAATCTCGGTAGGATCGCCAAAGTCGGGATTTGTGCCATCGAGATCAGTGATCCCAAGGGATTTGGCGCCCTCCGGACCCCAGGCGACAGGTTCTCCATGGGTTTTGACGAAAGGACGGGTAATATTACGGACACGCTCGAGATCAGCTAAACGGTATGGCCTCATGGATACTACCATGTGTCCACCAAAAACTACGGCAGAATTGTAAGTGGCAAGTAAATATGTCGTAAAAGGGAGTCACCTCCAGCGGGACAGAGCCGGTACTTTGTCTTGTACATAGGGACGGCACGGCCTAGCTGCACGTGTCTCGGAGTAAGCCCGTTCTTGGCGAGGGCTGCCTCAAAGGAATAAGAACAGCCAATGAAGAAGGCAACACTATCGTCGCGCCACTCTTTCTCTATGCTTTCCTTTTGCTGAACAAATACGCCATCACGATAAATGTTGTAGGAAGGGCAGTCGGACCGAACATCGCTATCTGTCGCAAGCGCTTTGGGGACTTGAGGGTTACCCGGTTTCGTCTCACCAAGGAGAGGGCATCTGACAGAAAAGAGTCAGCTCCATTACAGAAGAAAAAGGAAGCAACTGACGAAACGGGGTTTCGTGCACAGAGCAACCGAAAGTCGGCAGCAAATTTATTGGGCAAAATTATAACATTTGCCTGCGAATATCCGGGACAGAGACCCGCAGTACTTGGCGCAGTGAAGGTCTTGGTCCTGCATTGGATGCGAACATCATGAGGAGTTAGAGCCTGAGAGATAGACATAGGTAAGGGTATCCCTGGGATAAGGAACAGACTTTCAAATTGGAATCCATGGATTAAAAGGCCAAGGTTAATCCTAAACTTAGACGCACACAAATGATCACCGTGCCGCGTCGCGTGCCGAATTAAAGGAGGAATTTGCCGAATCCGGTAACAAGGTGACGATACGGGATAATTCCGAGGAAGCATGAGATAACAAGTCCTGAAAAGTCTCCGCGACCATGGATGGCCCTAGACGCTGCAGATTTCCAATCAGACTCTTTACCTCCTTTTATAAATGAACTTTCAATGCCCTGAGTTAGCTCAACCGACCTCGTTGTCGTCAACTTTCATCATCAATGAGCTCAGTTAGTGATACGTCAACTTGCCACATCTTCTCTGAAGATACTGACTTCATTCTAGCAGTATTCTGCTGCAGAGAAGTCTTCTGAGAAGGATGTCGGAGTCGTGGTTGCTGCTTTTGAAGGGGAAAGACAAAGTTCGCCTATTGAGCCCAAAACAGAAGCCAGACTCTTGAGAAAGGTTAGCTGCTCATGTTTGCTCCGTTTCAAAGTCAACTGACTGACGTTTAACCAAAGATCGACTCGTTCTTGATCCCGATGCTGGGTGCTTTGTATTTTGTCTGTTTTTTGGATCGTGGAAAGTGATGGCTTCTTTTCGCTGCCCGGTTCCCATGACACTCATAACACTACAGTATCGGCAATGCCAAAGTTGCCGGTATGGCCACTGATCTTGGCCTTGTAGGAAACGAATATGGTGCCGCAGTCTCAGTGGTAGTAAGTGGGATTTATTTCTTACGTTGTTGCGGTGTCCTGATCCTTCCTTTCAGTACGCGTCAGTATTGTAGTTTTTTTTTTTGCTTTCTTGAATTTACACCTCTAATTTAGGACATACGTCGTATTCGAACCATTCTGTAAGCTGTTAAGCTATTCTCTTGAAATGTTACTCACACCCGAATTTTGATAGATGCGGTCCTGTTGAAGTTGTTGACACCCAAGATGGTTTTATCTGTTTCTACTGTCATTTTTGCCGCACTTACCATTGCCACACCTTTCTCTGGTTCCTATGGACCTCTTATTGCGATTCGCGTCTTGCTCGGATGGGCAGAAGCAGGTAAGCTTTGACATGTAGTAACACGCTCAGTACGATGACGTCGTGCTAGGAACTTTCCCATGTATCGTCACCTACCTTACAATGACATACCGACGGGAGGAACTAGGCATGCGTCTTGCGTACATGTTCACCTGTTCCGCCATTTCGGGTGGATTTGGTGAGTTCCGTGTACATGCCCGTCAACTTTCTAGTCTGATTTCTGTCCCGCTAGGTGGACTTTTGGCTTACGGATTGACTCACATCGAAACCTCCTCTGTGACCGGATGGCAATGGCTATACATTGTTGAAGGGCTCATTACGATGAGCCTGGGTCCCATCGCGTACTTCTGGATTCCAAACCGCATTGATCAAGCTTGGTTCCTGTCCGACCATGAGAAAGATTTGTGCGCCGTTCGTTATGACAACAACAAGACCCACTACGACCCAGACGAGAAGTTTGATATTAAACAAGTAATGCTTGCACCTTTGGACTGGAGGACTTGGGTTCACGGTACCATCCAATTCGGTGCCGATGTCACTCTCTACGCCATTTCGACATTCATGTAACTATTTCCGATTTACTTGCTTTTATCTGTTATTTCATTCATCATTTCTTACTAGGCCTATCCTTATTAGCGATATGGGCTACAGCTCTTACAAAGCTCAACTCCTTACTATCCCCGTGTATGCGGTTGGCGCCCTGTCCTTTATCATCCAAGCCAAACTATCCGATCGTACTCTATTACGTGGACCATTCATCATGGCGAATTTCCTTGTTCAGATAATCGGTTATATCATCCTCACGTCTACCAAGACCATTGGCGCTCGGTATTTTGGCGTTTTTGTTGTTGCGTTAGGTCTATATGTACCTACCGCGTTGAATGTTGGATGGGTATGTACACAACATATTTATTTGCATTGTTTCTGATGTTGACTACAGACCCAAAACAACTATGGTCCCCATTACAAGCGCGCTGCGGGCGTCGGCTTGATGCAATTTGTTGGGAAGTAAGCCTAAATAATGTTGTTCTTCGCTCTTCTCGTTCACACTCTTGTAGCTCTGCAGGGGCAGCTATTGGCGAAATATTTGATTCACGCTTGGAACCATATTACCACCGCTCGTACTACATCTGCATTGGGTTGACGGCTGTGAGCATGATACTTACTAGTCTTATGGTATTTTTCTTCTTTCTGTCTGCTTGTTACTTGCTAATACCATCTACAGATGCTCTATCTTCATTTAGCTAACAAGAAGAAAGCCGCAGCCATAGTTGCTGGAGCACCAAATGAGCCTCAGCTTGGGGATAAGAATCCTCATTTCACTTTCTTTTTGTAGTTAAAGCTACTCAGATAGGGTTAAAGTTACTCAGATAGGATTTATGCTTAGACTTTCCCCAAAGGGTATGATAATTAATTCAAGTAATAAGATTCAAATTCTGAAGGTTCGCCGTGGCGGAGTGGTGAACTGATCGGACGATCATCTGAACCTGGATCTCTCGATCAAAATAATTGTTTCCGGTTTCATTCCGGATATCCCAAATGACGACAGAGAGCGCAGACATTCCTGCTAGTTTCCGTACACTAGACAGTCCCACGACGACTACCTGAGGTATCATCTGTACTCCGAGAAGAGACAGAGTACTAGGCGCTATCCTGCGCTATCTCTTCCGGCCAACTTTCGGTTATCAAACGATGCAAATTGCGAAGCAGACCTAGCAAAAATAACTGCTCTGGTAAGTCTCATTCCTGGAAATCTTCGGACCAGGGATACCTAGAAGACGCCCATGGCCACATTACATCTCCATCGATCGCCGCGGTGAATAGTACAGTGGAAACAATGGGATAGTAAGATTAGACAGTTAGGTTAGGCGACAGAGTTAATCCAGCCAGTACGTAGAAAATGGTACCCACGACAAAATTCTGAGAAGATTCCCTAGCATCTTTGTCTTAGGCTGAGCGTACGGGATCGTAATGGAAATCTGCGTTGGACAAACACCCTCGTCAGAACCGAAAATCAGACTCTTTTCCTCGGACATACCTACCATGCCTTCACCGCCTCCATTTGGCTACTACGTTCCTGCCGTTTGCTTCTTCGATGAAAAGGAAGACCTTGATGCTCGCGCGATCAAATCTCACATTCTGAGAGTAGCCAAGGTAAGCACCGGTATTTCGTCACTTTAAGTCAGCATTCCATTGGAACCTCATTTTCAAGGGTGGTGTTGCTGGTATCATTGTCCAAGGTACCAACGGCGAAGCTCAGCACCTATCCCATGAAGAGCGCAAGCAGACTATATGCTTAACTAGACAAATACTCGATACAAACGGATTCAGCAATATTGTCATTCTCGCAGGATGTGGAGCCCAGTCGGCGCGAGAGACACAAAAGCTCTGCGTTGATACGAAAGAAGCGGGGGCCGACTACGCGCTGATTCTATCACCGTCGACATTTCCGCCGCAAATGTCTGTTCCAAATGTCATTCGATTCCATCTTGAGGTGAGAATTCCTGAATCTTGAAGGCATTCAATATTTTCACCCTTACTGTCCGCTTCCCCAGGTTGCCGACGCATCCCCCACCGTGACCGCCGGTCTAGACCTCGACTCTGACGCGCTCGTCACCCTAGCCAAACACCCCAACATCGTCGGTGCGAAGCTCACCTGCGGAAACATCGCCAAACTGCTCCGAATAGCTTCCTCTGTACCCGCTTCGGAATTCGCTGTCTTGGCAGGGAAAGCCGACTTCGTCCTTCCCGGTTTGTTAGCCGGCAGCCGTGGGTGCATCACCGCACTCTCCAACCTTACGCCCAAGCTCCATGGTAAACTGTTTTATTTGTGGAAGGTGGCTAAGGGTGAGGAAGCGATGAGGCAGCAGGCGACGATGGGACACGCCGATTGGGCTCTTCAGAAATTGGGAGGTATCGGAGTGTGAAAAAAGTTGTGTCAAAGGCATATGGATACGGGACAGGGAAGGTGAGGACACCACTAAAGGAGGTGACGGATGAATCTCTGCAGGGAAACAAGCACTACGAGATGCTGATTGATCTGATCCGCATGGAGGAGAGGCTGGATTCGAAACTGTAGTCGTATACATGTATACTGAAAAGAACGCGGGATTCCTCCGTCCTCGACCCTTATATTCCTCACGAGGTCCGAACCACGATGGAACCCCTCACTGCGTGAAAATACAAATTCCGGGCGGACCATCGTGCGAACTTTCTATAAGTCATAAATTCCGAGATGAAAATATGGGGGAAAGGTGTAGCCGCAAAACTTCCCACCTTTTCCTCTATCAAAGGCGAACAGACCAAAAAAAATGGTTTCTGGAGAATTCTGGGATGGTATCCCAAGCGTGGCGGAGGACGAAATGTTCGCGATGATAACAACGTTCAAGAAAGATCCCTTTCCCAAAAAGGTTAACTTGGGTGCTGGCGTGTATAGAGACGAAGACGGAAAGTCGTGGGTGCTTCCTGCGGTTAAGAAGGTTCGCCGACAGTCGAGCCATTTTTCGTCCATGCTCACACGAATTGTAGGCCCACGCACTACTTATCGACTCCCCGGATTTGAATCATGAATATCTTCCTATTGCTGGCCTCGCCGAGTTCACAAATTCCGCAGCCAAGCTGATGTTCACGGAAGAGTCGGATGTGATAAAGCGAGGACAAGTGAGTCACCCGGTCGGCAAAAAAAAGTTGTATGGGATGGCTTAGAGTACTCCAGGTCGTGTCAACCCAAACTATTAGTGGTACTGGGGCAAATCACTTGGGCGCGTCGTTCCTGTCACGATTCTACTTGTTCAATGGTGAGAGGCAAGTCTACATCAGCCGGCCTACATGGGGTAAGCTTATTGTTTCTGTCTTTCCACTTTTACTCATTTCGCATTGAGTAAAGTAAACCATCACGCAATTTTTGCTAACGTTGACATCACTCCCGTCGAGTATCCATACTACAATGCTGAGACTCGAGGGATCGACTTTGACGAGATGCTTTCGACGATGAACAGCGCGCCGGACAGATCTATCTTCGTCTTGCACGCGTGCGCGCACAACCCAACAGGGCTGGACCCGTCTCGCGAACAATGGACTGCCATCGCCGACATTATGCTTGCAAAGGGCCATTATGCCTTCTTCGATGCGGCGTATCAAGGATTCGCTACTGGTGATTTGGACAACGACGCATGGGCTGTGAGAGAATTTGCTCGACGTGGCATCGCGATGCTGGTCTGCCAAAGCTTCGCCAAGAACGCCGGCCTGTATGGTGAGAGGGTGGGCGCACTACATGTCGTCTGTAAGGATGATCAGGCCACCAAAAAATTGAAGAACCAGTTGAGTTTGATCACTAGAGTAGAATTCAGCACCCCACCGGCGTATGGAGCAAAATTGGTGCGTCTGAAGGTTTAAAGACTTGAATGAATCGCTGAAAGTATCCAAGGTAAACTTCATTCTTAACGACGCGCCCTTGTACGAGGAATGGAGGAGAAACATCAGGACCATGGCCGGACGCTTAATTGAAGTAAGAAAGGAGCTCTATCGGCTGCTCACGGAGGAGCTCAAGACGCCAGGGAACTGGGATCATGTCATCAACCAGATTGGAATGTTCAGGTATTATCGATATCCTCCAGGGGTTCTTTTTTGCATGTATCTGAGGCGCCTCTTGAAGTTTTACAGGGATATCGGAAGCACAGAGCAAGCGGCTCAGAGAAGAATTCCACATATACCTCGCAAAGAATGGGAGGATCTCGCTAGCGGGCCTGAACACAAAGAATATTAAGTACTTTGCGGAGAGTTTAGACACGGTCGTGAGAGGTTGACTGACGTATGAATAGACGAATATATCTTGGTTAGAATGCAAAGTAAAAAACAACTCAAGTTGCAAGTTGTGGACGGCGGTGATGGATGAGTCAGCCTCGTGGCGATGTCCTGATATAGACTTCGTCATCTACTCCGCCGCCCACCATTCCGTCGTCCTTATGCAACGTTCAATTCCCTCGTTTCTTTCATTGTATACGCGATCAGCATGGAGCAACCAGCAGAACGTGGTATGGCACCGAACTTATTTCCGTCGATTCTCCACTTCACGACCTCGACTTGATTTTCACTTTGACACTCACCACTTTGTTCAACGGCTCGAGCGGGAAGGGCTCAATCGAGCACAAGCAGAGGGTATCATGTCCGCCATAGCAGAAGTCATCGACGAGAGCATACGGAACATGACGAGTAACATGGTGACGAAGGCTGATCAGGAGAAGGTATTAGTTCCCTTTCATTGATATCATCGGACCTGATCACTCTGCTACAGCAACACTACACACAACAAGTCGACTTTGCACAACTCAAATCCGAACTGCAGCTTATGGAGAAGAACGACCTTGCCATCATCAAAGCCGAGAACGACCGATTGTTAAACGACATCGAGAAGCTTAAGCAGCGATTACGAGAAGAAATAACTCGAACCCAGGCTGGGGTACGGCTGGACCTGAACTTGGAAAAGGGCAGGCTGAGGGAAGACAGTGCCGGCCAGGTGTTGAAGGTCAGGGAGGTCGACACACGGATAGAACAGGAAATCGCCGGGTTGCGGACAGCGATACAGGCGTCCAAGGTGTGATATGTTTCTCCCTTTTGTTAATAAACCTGATCACTCGCCAAGGCTACGACCCTCCAATATATCGTAGGAGTCGGTGAGTCCATTCGTTATTTCTTCTTGTATTTCGTTTGACTGTATTCGCAGTCACCACCTGTTCCGCGCTCCTCATGGCCTACCTAAGATTCCGGGCATGACGATACCCAGCTTTTCCAAGCCCTCCTTGGATACCTTACTCTATCAGTTGTAATCTACGCTAAATTACATCTGGCATAATTGGATCCTAAAGAAACGTGAGGCGCGACAATGATGAGCCTTCAAGCTTCAAGAGAGGAGAAAGGATCGGTGGTGTTTAGTCTGTATCTCATCATTCGTCCGCCAGTTTTCAAACTGATATTCCATCTCAGATATTTGACAATATGAAATGCGTCGTTGGTTTAGCAGTACAATACACCTATCATATGGGTCCTTTCAGGACCAGTCTGGCCAGTAGACGTATAATGAATTCTTTGCGTAGTAGAAGAATGAACTCGCTCCAATGTCGCCAAAGTTGTTCCGCAAGGGATGGTTTTTTAACTCATACCTACTTACGCACTTGGTCCTTCTACTATTGGTCGGGCAGTTGTATTTCAAAAAGTGCTGCCACGTCCGTTCCTTTGTTCTGACCACCACCATCACTTTGTCCTAGTGTCCATTCCGCCCCAAGACCCTTCTTCCAGACGAGGGCCATTTCGGATGCTTGGCTCCTTTAGTAAAATTTATCCATCACATCTATGGGGGTGCCATTGCGTTTCTTGAGACGCAACAAAGGTTCTCCGCGTTCTCTTTTGACGATGGTGTCACTTGTCTATGTATCAGCTTGATCTTTACGATTACAAACTCAAGAGTCCTGTCAAACAGATCTACTTCGCGTTTCGACTAGAACTGCACCTGGGCAATTCTGCAGCACCGTTCGGCTTATTACCGTCCGTTGCGTAGTAACGTCCTTGAAGCACTGTTATCATTTTGCTTACTATGCGATGCCGGGATTGTAACAGACGTAGTTGCTACCCTGGCATTCCAAGGATAAAGGGCTTTGGCACGTACGTATCTATTATCATTAGGTATCTTGGACAAGTGTAGCTTGCCTCCGACATGTATCTCATACATGCGGAGTGAATATATTATCTTCAAAATGCCCAAGACACAGTTAAACGTCGTTGAACGTGCATACACTGTCGACCTATCTGCATATGCTGATTAGGGGTTACGAGGTTATTGGCTATCGACCCTCAAGTGTTCTTTGAAACAGAAAGGCTCATGGGCTAGAAAATCTAGCACGCTACAGACTTTTCAGGTTAACTTGATCGGATGTCAGCATGTGCGGTTATGTTTCATCGGCGAGTTACCCGTGGGCCAGATTTCCATCTCCATCCTGGTCATGGCTATCATTCCGTTATCAGCAGAACAGCGCAGAAACATAAATAATTTACTGGTCGGGGCAGACAACGTTATCATTTAGCTCGATGCTGAGTAGAATATCCCTGTTACCTTCAAATTACTTATAAGGGCCGCAGGAAAAGGTCTTTCAATGCTTTCATACAGTTCTAGGATATCATATTATACATCTTTCCTGTACAAAATATACAGAATCCTACGCGAACCTGAAGATATATAATTAAATTGCATATAGTGCTTCGGCAGTCGAATGAAATCGCTATGCGGGAAGACTATGAATCCCATCACTTCCGCCATGAGACAGGCAAGGTGCGAGTCATAACCGAGCAGGAGGATATGGTGCATCTCTATTGGTGCGATGATAGGGAGACAAAGCATCATCATGGTGCAGTCTCAACGCAATAAACCTCTGATGTGTTCCGGTATCAGCTCGGTGGGCAAGCTGGCGATACTGTCTAAAGGAGCCCTCTTTGCCAGGGCCAGTAAATTCATGCGAAGGTTCTTCATCTCTTCATCGTCGTCCGTCCGTTCCCCGCCCACGGCAGCCAGATCTTTCAACTTCCCCGCGACGTATTCAAGCACTACACCAAGTTCTTTGGAGGTCTCGAGCACTTGTTCCCTCTTCACAAACATCTTCCCTTGCCACGCCTCCTCGCTCTCGAATAATTCCTCTGGCCGCCGAATTAATGCTTCCATATCAATCTTTTCTGATAAATGAGGACCTCCGACGATTGGATTCACGATATTCTCCTCCACCCACTCAGCTAACCATCCGGTTTGTCCCACAAACTCAGACAGACTTTTCACATACGCCAGGCCATCTACGCCTCCGTAGACGGTGTCTTGAATGTATGATTCGTCTTCCGTCGCAGTTTCTTCAAGCATCTGCTTGAGCTCTTCGCCCGATTCCCACAATTCGCCTTCAACACATGCAAATGACCCCCAATCAACAGGATGTGCTTCTCTCTGCCTTCTGTCCTTCTCTCTAATGACTTCATACCCTTCTTCACGCCCCTTTGCCCTGGTAGTAATACCTTTGACGAGGTTCCAATGCTTTCTCGTAGGTGGGTTGTTAATGATAAGGGACGGTCGTGTGGGAGGAAGGGTGACAGGTATAGGATATGACGGTGGTTGCGGCTGTGGAGTTGAGTCTGCGTTCGGTGGTGGTGTCCCGGCAGATAAAAACTGTGGTGTACTTGCCGAGGTGGTGGTAGTAGAAGGCGCAGTTGAGTATATCGGCACCAAACCCAATCTCGCTGGTCTCTCATCTGGGACGAGAACCGACAGAATCGAAAATGGGTCTTCCGCTGGTAGAGGGGACGTTAGGCACATGCGTATTTCACGTCGACGTACTCACTCTCGGCATAATCCAGACTACCATCTGCGGCATACGGGGGACCCTCCTTCTCAAATCGCAAACGCTCCTTTTTTGTTCGATAGCGTTTGCCTACAGAAGTCAACAAGACTGAAATAAGTGTTTTACCAACACACATACCTTTCACCTTCAACTCCAGCATCACCCTCGCCCAGTCTGACCCTGGTGGGAAATCACCTAAACCATCTTTACTGCCAGGAAGACGGCCATCTTCGATACTCTCCGAGACACTCGTCTTTGGCGCGGCCGGAGCGGGTTTCTTATATGGGGCTCTGGTACTCCTCCTTCGCCCAAAGTCCTCTTCGGTTCCGGTAGCAGTAGCAGTTAGTTCTGGAATGGCTTCATCCACATCCATCGCTTGGTTTGAATCGAAGGCGCCGTCGGATACGCCTTCAATTTCGTTGTCTCCAACAACATCGACGGTCCACTCTGTCTCGTATTGAATCACGGTCCCCGCCGAACGAGCTATCAGATCAAGCCCTGCTGCCTCTATTCTCTCCGCTTCGGTATGGTATATTGACCCTGGCGGATTGAAAGATTTGGCATTACCAGTAACAAGTTTAAGGTCCGACTGCACACTTATTAGCTGTGAAGGACTTTGCTATCTGAGTTACGCACCGTAAACTCTTCCAAGCTTCTGTATCGCCCTCTCTCCACTTTGCTTGCCATCGTCCCCAAGTCCATCGGATGTTTGACAACGTCCGTGTAGCCTGGCACCAAAGACACATCTACGGGTGAGAGAAAGAAAGCATAAGCATCTTTTCTAGACGCACATCAGCACGGCATCAGCAGGAAAACGACATGACATACCTTTTTATTTGCGCAATTATCTTGCTCAGCACCTCCTTCAACGGTTTCAGCTTTACTGGCCGGGGCGCCTTTGGTAGTGGAGGCACGCCATACTGCAACTCATATCCTGAGTTTTTTGTCCCTCTCTTTCTCTTGCTGACACCAGTATGTGACTTGCTTGGCTTGTTATGCGTTGTAGCATGCAAACTCTTCAACGATGGTAGCTTCAGTGTCAACCGAGGTAGTGTGGGCTGAGGTGAATCTCCAAAGTGTGGCTGGGGTGAATCCGCATACCTCGAACTCGTTGCTTGTGGTGTCGAAGGGTAAGAAGGGACCGAATCATCGCTGTCGAGGTCCACAGAAACAGAAAACGACTCGTCATCGACATCCATTGCTAGTGACCTTGATTATGTCAGACCAACGCTCGATTTGGAATGGTTCCCTTCCGGACCGCCTGTACGCGACAACATTCTGCTGCTCCCCAGAAAACAGGCGTCTGGTTCTCGTGATTTCAGGAACTATACACCCATTTTAATTTTTTGCACACCGGTTCTTTGGTACCACACGGCAGGCATATACAGCTGTTATTTCTGTTTCCTCTACTGCGGTCCTCTCTATTTTTATTGTCTCAACTGAACCCGACACTTACTAATAATAAGAACCACTGAAGAGGAACTGCGTCTCAAGGCTATAAGAACTCCTGTACTACGACTGTCCCCCCCACCGCCTCTGTCCTCCGCAATGGGCTCAGATGTCACTGGCCATTTGGACCCCACACTCTACGTACTGACAGAAGACGAAACTGCCTTCTTTAAAACTCAAACTGGAATAGAAGACGTCAATGCGCTCAAGAACCATATCTTTACTATCCAAGAGGAGGCGTACAAGGTAAATGCACCTAGTGACTAATAAATATCCGAATGGCACAAAGCCGTACAGGTGTACCCTTATCCGTGCATTCGCCGTTTCACCTTTGCCAAGTCAGCGGTTTTTCAGTCTGCCGTGTCGACCTTGTCTGATTCTAACACTTAGGTTGAAGATTTCGAGACAGCCATGCTATCAACAGTTCTTAAATCTTGGAAAAGATCGCAAGGGGGCTATCTATGCCGACATTGGATGCTGCTGTTCGTAAATCTTCTATCTATGTCTGCCCCTTGAATCTCTAACGTCTGTATAGTCGGAAATGACCCCAGAAAGGCCGTTGTAGATGGCTACTCCGTAGAGCAAGTCGTGGCCTCCGATTTGCATCCTGGTATGAACTTTCTACCCTATAATTTGTCCTGCACAATCTGAATATATGGCACAGAGTTCTGGGAACTCGGACATAGGCTCTTCAAGAGCACAGCCGAGACATTCCCAGCTCGCTTCATCCCTGCAGATATCTTTCAGTTGAAAGGTCTATCGAGGGAAGACGTTCCTGCCCCTGTTCCGGAGCTTTCCCAAGTGCAATCTCTAGCGGAGCTGCGAGGGCACATCTCCGCCATTCATACCTCGGCATTTTTCCATCTGTTTGATGAAGAAGGGCAGTTCGAAATCGCAAATATTATGGCGGCACTGCTGTCATCTGAACCCGGGTCAATGATTTTTGGATCACACGTTGGTCGGCGCGAGAAAGGTTTCCGTACTGCCAGTGAAGTCGGTTCCAATGGCGTACATCGCAGTAACATGTTCTGCCACTCACCCGAGAGTTGGCGATTGCTATGGGATGGCGAAATATTCCCCAAGGGCACCGTTCGCGTTGATACTTCCTTGCATGCAGAAGAACGTCCAGGTTTAGGCTTGGTGGTAGCATATCTCTTCGTTTGGTGCATAACGGTTTTGTAGACTAGGTCTCCTGAATTTATAGGATATTGTGAATTGGTACTGAGAATCAGGCGGTGTTTATAGTGCCAGGTGACAAGGGAAAGAGATACACCGTGTCTTCGGGCCAGAAATGTGTCTTTGGAGCGAAATTCGCAATCAACAACAGTAGCTTCGGAGCATCGGACCGACAATGTGCAAACAAGCGCCTGACTTTAGCGGACAATCTTTCTGATCCTCTAGGAGCCTCGAATGAAGATATCCCTGCTGCTCATTTATTCTCTCCTGCTTGGGTGCTTCTTTTGCTTGGACGGCCTTCGTTTTCACATCGGCCTTGCAACGGTCTTCTTTTCGTCTCAGACTCGACGTTGAACTACCAGAAGCCTTCCAATAGCACTATCGCTGTCCCCACGAGGTGTTTGTTATCTTGAATAAACCCGATGCTTATGATACTGTGACGTCCTCTGGTGGTGCATCAAGGTTCACTGTTCACCCAATACCGGTAGTAGTAGGAGGATCGGCACTTCCTGTTTTCCATCGGTGACATGTTATTCCTGTCTTCTCTAACGCGGTACTTTCTACTCTGCATACTGTAAAGCTAGGCACAACTGGATCCGCGGTTTTTTTGATACTGACTAAGACCCTTGGTCCGAATTATTTTTCGTCTCCCCACAATGTCTGGTTCCCGTCCTCTTGACCCCACACTCTACGCGCTGACCAATGACGAAGCTTCCTTCTTCAAATCCCAGACTGGGATTGAAGACGATGTCACGCTCAAGAGCCATATTTCTGAGGTCCAGGAAGAAGCGTACAAGGTCTATGGGTGTATTTTTGCCTAATATCAGTTTAATGAAACAATAATATGTAGATATGCCCTTATCCATGTATTCGTCGGTTTGCATTCACAAAGTGAGTTATCTTTGATCAGTTCTATGTGATTTTCTTACTACAGCATCTACTAGAATGTACATTTCGAGATATCCATGTTATCAGAGGTTTCTGAATCTCGGAAAAGAGCGTAAAGGAGCCATCTATGCCGACATTGGATGTTGCTGTGAGTTGCCTTCTTCTTGTAGTACACCCTACCTCAAATTCTCAATGTTCGCACAGTCGGCAATGACCCCAGAAAGGCGGTCCTGGATGGCTATCCCGTCAAGCAAGTTCTAGCCTCCGACTTGCGTCCTGGTATGTTCTCATCTTAAAATAGCTTCCTGATGTACAATCTAAGATATATCACAGAGTTTTGGGACCTCGGACACAGACTCTTCAGGAGCACACCTGATAATTTCCCGGCACGTTTCATCCCGGCCGATATCTTCCAGCTGGAAGATTTGCCGAAGAAAGGAGACTCTGTCTCTGAACTTTCCCAAGTAAAATCCATGGGCGAACTCAGAGGGAGTATCTCCGCCATCCACACATCAGCTCTTTTTCATCTCTTTGAAGAAGAAAGGCAGCTCGAACTCGCAAGGAATCTGGCTGCTTTACTGTCGTCTGAACCTGGGTCCATGATTTTTGGATCGCACGGCGGTCGACCGAAGAAAGGAATCCGCATCGAGGTCGCCCCCGGTTGCAATAACGATAGAAATATGTTTTGCCACTCACCTGAGAGTTGGCGATCACTATGGGATGGCGAAGTATTCCCCAGAGGCACTGTTCGCGTCGACGTGTCCCTGGATAAAACGGAGCGCCCAGATATGGTAACACTTGATCCTAGTGTCCAACAATATCTCCTAGTTTGGTGCATAACGATTCTGTGATCTGTAATCGACGCCAAAACAGCCTGGTTGTTAACAGAACCATTGCGCCAGTGGTTGTCTTGAATAATATATTGTTGTGTTGTTACAGCGCCATTACCATTATCTGTACTGTGTGTGATGGTACTGAATGGTAATACAAGAGTATCCAGAACTAAGGACCATCTCGGCGCCTGAAGAACTCCATTTCTTCCTACAACGTGCCAATTGATTAAACCACTACCGGCATTTACCGAATCAGCCGACATTCTACCGGTACTTAGACCAACACTAGCGAGTAACCAGGACGATGTGCTTTCTGTCGGGCCGGAGGTCGTTTATACCAGCAGAGTTCAGACGACAACGGAAGGTTTCAGTGGAGGAGCTCAGCAGCATTGAATATTTACTGAGCTTCTTGGACCTGTAAGGCTATCTGATCCTGGCTATCTGCGGTGTATACCACTTCATTGGGTTATAGAGATATTACCAGACTTCCATGGCCGATTGTACCCCCTGCAGCGTACAAGTTTGCTATTTTTGATATCTCCGGCATGGGTCTTTCCATTTTTTTTTAGAGTTTTCTGGCAATCCATGCTCAACTGTCTCGGCCCCTTTGCTATTGATCAAGACTCCCATCCACCGCAATGAGTTCTCTTCGTCCCTTGGACCCCTCACTCTACGTGCTGGCCGACGACGAGGTTGTATTCATCAAATCTCAAACTGGAATAGATGACGACGAGGAACTGAAGAGACATATACTTGCTATACAGGAGGAAGCGTACAAGGTGAATCCATTGCTCATCGCTCAAAGCTAGTGCAATGGAATGACGGTATACAGTTAGAACCTTATCCATGCATACGACGATTTGGATTTGCGAAGTAGGTAATATTTGGACGCCGGATCAATTCTGTTTTGACTCGGAGCTAGATGGAATATCTCAAGGCAACCGTGCTATCATCAGTTCTTGAATCTTGGACAAATGCGCAAGGGAACTATTTACGTCGATATTGGATGTTGCTGTGAGTAACCTTCTTGTTTTACCATTACTTCTCCTCAAATTCGGGATGTGCGCGTAGTGGGTAGTGACGCCAGAAAAGCAGTCTCGGATGGTTATCCCATAGATCAAGTTATAGCTTCCGACTTGCGTCCTGGTATGCCTTTACCGTTTACTCAGATTTCGTAGATTCTGAATATACCATCCAGAATTCTGGGACTTGGGACATAAACTCTTCAAGAGCACTCCTGAAACCTTCCCAGCACGTTTTATCTCTGCAGACATCTTCCAGCTGAAATATTTGGCATCAGAAGCCGTACGCGCTCCCCCAATCGACCTCTCCAAAGTGCAACTTTTATCGGAGCTCAGAGGAAGCGTCTCTGCCATTCATGCATCGGCCCTTTTTCATCTCTTTGATGAAGGAAGACAGTTCGAACTTGCCAAAATTATGGCGTCTCTATTGTCGTCCGCGCCAGGGTCCATGATATTTGGATCGCATGGTAGTCAACCGGAGAAAGGTATCCGGACCGAGATTGCTTCAAACAAGGGTTGGAGCAGTAATATGTTTTGCCACTCACCTGAAAGCTGGCGATCGCTCTGGGATGGCGGGGTGTTTCCCAAGGACGCCATTCGTGTGGATGTATCTTTGCTTGAGACAGAACGCCCGGATATGGTGGCCATAAAAATGGATTCGAGCGTCAAAACATATCTTCTCGTATGGTGCATAACGGTTTTGTAGTGACATCTCTCGTTGGATTTCACAGAATATTTTTGACCTAGATTTACTGGCGTACAAACTATGCCGAAGTTCCCTATGTTATGCCGTGTTGACTTTAACGCTCTTCTTTCTATTTTTCGCCTTACCAATAAGTACTATGGAAACCGCGGCACTTCTAACCGATATCTAACCCCACTCTGAGGCTGCCTTCTGTGGGCCAAAAATTAGTTCTAGTTTGTATCCATTAGGTCCCTCGTTTTACGCACTAGCAGAGGGAGCGGGCTGAGGAGTCCATATTCGCTATCCCGCTCTTAAGTAGTTTCACCCACTACTACACCGAAATAACGGCATTCAGGTGTGCGTTTTTTTTACCCGTGTTATCAGGATCCGGTACTGAAAACCACGTTGATGAACACCCCACTGTCCAAAGCCGTCCCTTTCCAGTGCCCACAATGAATTCTGACCATCCTTTGAACCCGTCGCTCTACGCACCAGCCGAGGATGAGGTTGCATTTTTCAAATCTCAGACTGGAATAGACAACGATGAAGAGCTAAGAAGTCATATATTCGCTATCCAGGAAGAGGCATACAAGGTGATCGATATTCATTCTCAGTGGTCGCTTCATGCCAATGTGGTGACTACGCAGATTTACCCTTATCCGTGCATTCATCGTTTCGGATTTGCTCAGTGCGTAACATTTGCCGGATCTCATTTCGTTGCCTTAACCTAGTCAACGTCGAGATTCAACATTTCCAGGCAACCATACTATCAACAGCTCTTGAACCTCGGAAAAGACTGTAAAGGGATCTATGTTGATCTTGGATGCTGTGGTCAGTGATCAGTTCGTTGTACATCTATTTTACCTGATACTGATGGTTTATCTAGTTGGCACTGGCGCTAGAAAGGCAGTCATGGATGGCTATCCCATAAAGCAAATTATCGCCTCTGATTTGCGCCCCGGTATGAAGAACCTGACCTATGGTTAACTCAACAGGATCTTAATGTGTCAGATAGAATTTTGGGAAATCGGTCATAAGCTCTTCAAGAGTACTCCTGAAACCTTCCCAGCACGTTTCATCCCTGCAGACATCTTCGACTTGGAGGGTCTATCAAAAGAAGAAGCAGGCCCTGTCTCCGACATCTCTAAAGTGCAGTCTTTAGCAGAGCTCAGAGGAAACGTCTCTGCTATCCACGCTTCTGCCCTCTTCCATCTCTTCAATGAAGAAGAACAATCCAAACTCGCCAAAATCATTGCATCCCTGTTGTCATCTGCTCCAGGTTCCATGATCTTCGGGACACAGAGCGGTCGACCCGAGGGACGTAATTATCTCAAGACCGCTCGCAATAACCGCGATAGATATGACATGTTCTGTCACTCGCCAGAGAGTTGGAAATCATTCTGGGATGGTGGGGTATTTCCCAAAGGCACTGTGCGTGTTGATGCATCATTGCATGAAACGGCGGTCAGGCTCTCAGAATTGATGATCTTGACTGACGAAACTAGTACCGAGAATTACTATTTCCTCACCTGGTGTATAACAGTTTTGTAAATTAGGTCTCTTGATTTTGTAGGATACTTTGGTATGTATATAGGTTGCACGAAACTTCATGAGAATCTACGACGAAGAACTTGTAGGCTGTGGCATCCTAATGTTCCGTCTCCTCCCAAGTCCTGCCGACAGTTTTGACCAGGTCCTTCTCGGTGACTTGTTTGCCGCTGGAGAAATAGCCTGAGGCGATCTTAGCATCGATCTCAACGCGCGAGTCAGGAGGAATCAAGTGGTCTGTACATAGCGCATCAGCAGACCGTGCACGACTACACCGTGTTATTCCGTACGTACCAGGAATATCATATCGCTTGAGGATGGGAATACCGCTATTCACGATGGCATCATATTTCCTACACAACAGAGAACCGTTAGCGCCAAAAGGTCAAACGCGCGTATATAGAACGCACATGTCACTCATCGAAACCATGTTGTCAATCTTCTTGACTCCGAGCCAATGGAGAACGTCGGGCATCAACGCCTGGAATCGCATGTCCTTAACACCGGCAATGAGTTCAGTCGACTTGAAGTATTTGTCCGCGGAATCACCACCACGCTTTCGCAGGTTGTAGACAAGGTACTTCGTCACTTCCCCAAGAGCGCGGCCCTCCTTCCGGAAATACACCACAACACCGACGCCACCTTGCTGTGCGGTGCGAACGCACTCTTCGATGGCGTAGATAAGGTATGGTTTACATGTGCAGATATCTGAGCCGAACACGTCGGATCCATTGCACTCGTCGTGAACACGAAGAGTTAGAACCTTGCTCTCGTCGGACATGAACGCGGGGTCTCCGAAGATGTACACGGTCATGCCACCGATGGGAGGGAGGAAAACTTTGATATCGGGCCGAGTGATGAGTTCAGGGTACATTCCGCCTGTTTCTTCAAACAGGGCGCGACGGAGAAGACTCTCGGATCTACCAGGAGTGTTATACAATGTAATACATCGTGGAGAGATGGTACAAACATTTGGAAGCGCTCTGCAACACCAGGGAGGAACCAAACAGGCTCCACTGCGGCCTTACTCACTTTCATTTCCACCCCGGGATCAGATTCACAAACCTTGCCCGTCTCATCCAGCAATGGGCGACTCTTGAGGAGAATCTTACCGTCCACTTCGAGGGTTCCCTTTCTTACGCTATCGTCGATCTCACTCAACTTCATGTGAGCCTTGGTGATGGCAATACTGGGCCTGGCGTCCAGACCGAGTTCTTCCACTTCCTTCTTGAATACGGACGGAACAAGATGACCCCATGGATCGAAGGAAACAATTTTCTTGGGATCGGCCCAGGAAGGCTGTGGAGGAATAGAAACCGGGGGATCGGTAAGGTTGTAGTCGGGCTTGTGAGTCAAAGACAGACTACCCATTGCGACAGAGAGAGCACGATAGATGGAGTAGGATCCAGAATGAGCACCCAGAGCATTGCGCTGCTTGATGGACGATGGAAGACGCGAACATATGACTGGACCACGGGTAGTAGGGTCCGCGGCACCCCAGATGAGAGGGTGAGGTGCGATGCCATGCTGGTCCGGGTAGGCTCAAACACGTTGTTAGACAAATATTCAGATAATAACATGTATACTCACTGGTAAGGTTAACTCTGCCTGGATACAGAACTTTCTCACGTTCCTTGTCGGTTTTCATACGTGAAGGAGGGCTTGAGGACAATGAACCCTTGGAGGCGATATCGCTGGTCGAAGGAGGGGTAGGGATAGGAGTACTACGGCGCTCAGGAGTTGCTGGCTTTATTTTCCCATCTGTAACTGCATCCAACTGGTTCACAATGTAATGCTCAATATCTGGAAAGAAAACAAAGATAGGCCAATATACCTTTGCTTGCAACGTCTGCTGGGACACTTGGAGCGCCTGCAACTGGGCTAGAATCTGCGACAATACTTCTTCAGAGGCTGGCATGACTTCCTTCGTTGTATTCGCTCGAATGACCCCTAGGGAGAAAAGAGAGAAAGGAAAAGGACAACGCCAATCATGCAACGTGCCTTTATACGTCCTGCTTATCAATTTCGATATCGGTCCGAAATCCGATGAGTTGCCTGTTATCGGCCGCGCCTTTGCCGCGGTTTCGGTGCAATCAAAAATACTGCTCAAATTCATTGAAGCGGACCGAGCGATAGCTTGACCGATGCTGAGTATCTGTGTGCAGGAGAGAGAAGGAAACTTACTCTCTGCCTCTTTTCAAAGCTGCAGGCTTTCCCGTACGAAATCCATGGACATGGCACATCCACCGGTCCACGCAGTTACAATACGACGTTAATTTTGGAGATGTGCAGAGACCGCGGACGACGCTCGGGGTAATAATGGAACGCACGTGTCTTATCGTGGAATAAACGCCGAGCGCAAAAAACGTCGTAACGAGAATAGAAATCTTTTGCGCAAGGTGATGTGAGTGTAACATGTCATATTCACCAGCGGCAAATCGTGCAGGGCCGTTCTTCACATGCTCTTACTGCAAATGCCCAAGTACTGGCCGAAAAACAAACCGGCGAACGAACTTGACACAAACTGCGCAAGAGAAGGGAAGTGAACGGCCGCAACTGCTTAAACAATTTGGCAGACTTACATAGCTCTACGGCGACGGACGGAAGCTGTCCGCTGATAGGAAGTATTTCTTCAAAGCCATGGATAGCCGAAGCGGACAAGGGTTCTTCTCACAAAGAAAAGCTGTCCACTGTCCAATGGAGACTCCTACTGTAATGTCTCTGAGATGATGAGAGAGGAATGAAGGGGGGGAAAAGTTGAGTCCAGACGACACGGTCCGGAAGATCATTCCGAAAGGCCGGATCACATTCAGAGGTACTACATGTAAGAAAAATAACATGAACCAGAGAGCCTATCAATCTACAAAACTGTAATGCACCAAACGAGATATAATTTCGTGCTTGAACCATCCGCTACAGTTTCCTTGAGAAAGGCGTCAACATTGACAACACCCTCAGGGAAGACACCTCCATTCCAAAGTGCCTTCCAACTCTCGGGCGAGTGACAGAACATCGACATGGTACGGTTACCGACAGTCTCGTTACGTACACCCTTGGTGGGATTGCCACCATGAGAACCAAAAATCATCGACCCGGGGGCAGAGGACAGCAGAGCCGCCATGATCTTGGCAAGTTCGAACTGCTGCTGCTCATCAAAGAGGTGGAAAAGAGATGAAGCATGAATAGCAGAGACGCGTCCTGAAAGTTCGGCAAAGGATTGGAGCTTAGACAACTCGGGGCCGGACACCAAGGGCTGCTTTGCCAAAATTTTGAGCTCGAATATGTCGCCAGGGATGAATCGCGCCGGGAAACTTTCTGGTGTACTCTTGAAGAGTTTGTGCCCAAGATCCCAGAATTCTGACACGCATCAAAATAAGATGAGGGGTTGCGTTATTGTTGACAATGATAAGTCTCACCTGGACACAAGTCTGTGGCTATAGTTTGCTGGATAGGATACCCATCGGAGACCGTCTTTCGGATGTCATTTCCAACTGTGGCTTGCTCAGACGTCGAACACAAAAGAAAAACAAACGACTGACAGCAGCATCCAATGTCGGTATAGATAGCTTCCAGGCGCTCCTTCACAATCTTCAAGAATTGTTGGTAAGACGGATGCCTTGAGATCTTCATCCTATAGGCGATCATCAGGCCGAGGTGAGTGGAAACGTGAGCACCTCGCACCGTAGAAAAGCAAAATGGCGAATGCACGGATAAGGGTAAATCTACGAGGTGACGCATAAGAAGACAGCAGAGGTCATTGAAATATGACCACACGCCTTGTACGCTTCCTCTTGAATAGCTAGCTAGAATGTGGTTCTTCAATTCGACATCGCTTTGTATTCCCGTTTCCGCCTTGAAGAACGCCGTCTCTTCTTCAGTTAAGGCGTAAAGAGAGAAATCTAGAGGGGCGGAAGCAGGTTCATCCATGACTGAGATGGTGGAAGCAAGGACTCGTGCTTACTAGCTTATATATCCCTGGGTGAGTCATTGCGGTAGCGACAAGGGAATCACAAACTTATTGGGTTGTCCCGAGAAGTATACGTGGCCGTTTCGAGTAGACTAGGTCGAAAAACCACCGGCCCGGCCTACCCATCTTCAAAATTCATCAGTGAATGTCCAGTAATGATACCAGTGGGTAGTAAACTTTTACTATAAACACAGATGGCGCGTCATCGAGGGCCTCTGTCGCCCAAGAACCGTATCAATTGGCTTCGACAAGGCTCAGTTCCAAAATACATTCCATTCTACCGACAGTAATTCGGAATCATCCTAAGGCGCACCGTTAATTCATCTTTCTATGATTGCAACGAATGCAGTTAAACGAAGTGATATTTGTTGTCAGCCCGCCGTTACATGTGTCGGTGTTAAATATGGCTGGATACGCCAACATCTTATATATCATATAGAGGTCAAATATACAAATCATCAGTACGGCGTTAATGTAAATCTAATAGAATGTTGCAAACCAATAAAATACCACATAGGATGTCGTAATCATGAATCAAACTAAACCCCTTGGACGTGAATAGTCGCAGAATGGTCCTTCTCATCCTTCTTATCCGCCAAACTATCGTCCTTGCTAGTGAAAGTGGGTTGAATATCCTTTCTCTCGATGAGCGGAGGGAAGAGGAAGCTGAAGGTGAGGTAAAACACAGATGCAACTACCACTCCCACAGGCCAGACGACGGAGCTGCCCGCGTCATTAGTCGGCAATTATTGATATGAATCAAATCGAACTCACAAGAGATACGTAGCGCCGACAGGAACATTTAGGTGGGAGTTGACCTTGCGGGCAAATCCGGGAAGGTTTGGGATGAGTGCAAGAGTAAATGCCACTATTGCACGCCAATTGAACCCGGAGGTGTACCTACGTATACAATTGGGAACAGTGCAGCGAGATGAAAAGACGACAACTTACCAGTATTGGCCACGGCCGTGACGGTAGAGTGCGGGGATTTCGAAATTCTGATGCCGAAGGATGAACTACGAATATAGGTCAGGCAAAAACACATTTCCTGAGGTTATAAACCCACGTAGTCAGACAACAAGATTCCGGAAATGGGGGCTAAGAATATGCTGTATCCACCAAGGAAAGAAGTGAACGACGCGGCAGAATTTTGGACAATCCACTGTACAATAAGTGGTTATCGCGAAGTCACTTGACATAACAAGAAGTGAACATACAGGGCAGGCAGCCACACCAAGAATCGCACAAATGTATTGACCGCGACGAATGTTAATGTACTCGGGAAATAAGATTGCCAAGTCATTGCCGACGGCAGTGGAGCTTTTGATAAATGTGTTCAATATGATGTCCCTGTGATAGACGTGCAACTGACTTTGCCGAGATGTTCGTCGCAATGACGGCCAGAGACCAGCAGAAAGCAGCAAAAAATTGTGCGGCACGGCTACTCCAAAGGTCACAAACTTGTAGAGGATTCCATGTAGTAACACCGTAAATGACTTCAACGGCAGATGTTACCACAACTCCGAGAATGCTTTAAGTATAACATGAGAACGGACATCTTGACAAATGATAATAGGGAAGCTCACGCGCAAAGCGTAACTGGGATGGACAACGAGAGGATATTGGTCCATACAACGGTGCGCCTACTTTTGGCGTATCGTGTGAAATCCTAACACTCAACTAAGCCTTCAGAAGAGCAAAAATTGCAGTGGCCATACACATATATTGAGAGCCAGTGTAGCTTTTGGAGCAATGGCTGAAGTCATCGCCGAAAAGAACAAGACCGCAGCAGGAGTCGTTGTAGTTTTGGTTCCTTGGCTGAATACGGGACCGAATCCGTGAGCGCGGCCGACGGCCCAACCGACTATCATTATCAGAATGAGGGTGGAGCGAAAGGGATGAAAAGAGCTTACACAATGTGAAGCCGAAGATAGGCATGATAATGACCTTGACCATGAAGAGATAACGGAGCTTGGAGATGTGGATCCATAAAAGAGGCAGCTGAATTATATAGAAGATACTAGACCCCCATCAATGGAGTGGTTTGGTCAAACAGGTGGAAAAGGGCGCCTACAAGAAACATAATAGCTGTGAGGACGTGACATGAGCACTGGTGGGCAGATGGTTTGGGAAGGATTTGAACGAAGGCCAGATTGCGCCTAACATGACCTGGACGCATTGTCCACCTGAACAAAAAATGAACAGTCGTTGAGTGAATGAATGGAGAATACAGACCTTGATATGTTTGAGTGCCAAACCATACGATTGCTGCGACTGCACGGCAAGTGACAGCGATAGCTGTTCCTCTATAAGCCAAGCATTAATCGTAGTTGCATATAGGGGAGTAACAGTCGCACCTAATCCCAAAAGAGGCTCTTGAGAACACCGGAAAATTGATACCGTACGTGGCGCCTATCCATCCATTACATGCGCATGCAATAGCTGGAAAGAAGTTGAGTGTCGTGTCGTAATATCCGACCGGTACACTTACAGACCAAAACATGCCCCAGGAAGACTGCGCCAATTGTTGAGCCTGGCGATAAACCGCTTGCGACAGCCGTTGAAGCTACCTGATACTGGCTGCAGATAATGAGAATGGGACTGGAAAAGAAAGTAATCGTGCACAAGACCTGATGCCTGCGAGTCTAGTCAGGAAAATGTGTATACAACGAAAAGCGACAACACGTACCAAACGCCTCAGCAATCCAGTATCCGGCCAAATGAAACGCGTCCCATTTCCTCGGTCCTTCAGGTAATGGAGGTACCGGGAGAAGGTCTGGCTGACACTTGATGACTTCCGCGTCGTCTGCATCGTGGTAGTCGACCTCCTCAGCCCGAATGCGAATCTTATCGAGGAAATGACTGAATTGCATAGCGGCCAAATACTGGGAAGAGCGGGGTGGTGAAGGATACTGTTCGCGCTTTTTTTCAAGGCCATCGGTGTCGATGCAGAGGCGGGTGTTTTACGCCGCGGCAAATGGGGTTGCAATGTAAAAATCCATTTCCTCCTTGGGAACGGCCCCTCACAGGCAATCTGAGATTCTGCCCTAGTTGATCACTCCTTCGCCGCGGCCAACGTACCTTCTTGCCCACATTCGGCCGTCTAAGTCATAAAACCATGAGATTGTCCCTCACCTTGTGCAGGAACCATGTCTCCCTCAGCAAACGGTATCAACGGCACTTCCAACGGCGCTTTCCACCAGTCTCTTGACGGTCTCGAAGAGAACCCTCTCCGACGGACCTGGCGTGGAAACAAACAGGGTAAGCTTCAGCTCTATTTCCTCCTTATTTCTGTTTTCGAATAACCGTTAGGAACAATTGAGCTGGGTACTGTCCCTACGTTTGACAATCCTTATGAAGAACGTGAATGGATCAAGGTGAGAGAACCAGCAAAATTTCTAACTCTAGAGGGAAACTAACATGTATTCAGGAGCATATGGCTGCCGCCTTCCGTTACTGGGGAAAGATAGGTTTCGCTGAGGGAGTTTCTGGTCACATAACTGTTCGTGATCCAGTCCTTCCCGACCACTACTGGTTAGTTTTCCACGTGTTGCTCAACTCGATGACTTACAGTGTGAGAAGGATGAACCCCTTTGCCGAACACTTCTCGACCATGACCGTGAGTGCTTTGTAAACATATCAAAAACCTATCTTACGCTGTGCTCTTCCTAGAAATCTATGTTGTGTCTCGTTGGTCCTGACGGTTATGTTACTAAGCATGGTGCACAGCTGCCCATTAACACGGCCGGATTCTACATTCGTGAGTGATCTAAATGTTTTTCCGACTTTACTGACCACGCTGTCATCTACAGACAGCGCTATTCACAAGGCCCGTCCCGACGTGAAGGCAGCCGCTCACTGTCACTCCGTCAACGCCAAAGCCTGGGCCGCATTCGGCCGCCCCATCGAAACACTGACCCAAGACTCATGCTTGTTTTATGACAACCACTGTGTGTACGAGAACTTTGGCGGCATCGTTCTTGCCCAGGAAGAGGGCGAAAACATCGCCAAGGCTATGGGTCCCAAGTTTAAGACTTGTATCTTGCAAAATCATGGACTTTTAACTCGTTGAGTTCATTCCGCCATTACTGTCCGCTGCATATTTTACTTACCATTCCTCAGTCGGAAACACCGTTGATGAAGCCGTCTATTTGTTCGCTGCCCTCGACCGGCAATGCAAAGTCCAGCTTATGGCTGAGGCTGCCGCTGCCAACGGGCTAAAAAAGACCATCATCTCAAAGGAGGACGCCGAATTCACTGCAAGGACCATCCAGTGGTGGGAGAACACTTACGTCAACGTATGTTTTCCAGGCCGTCGAATCTGTGCTCTATAGCTAACTTGGGGGTTCGAAGTTCCAACCTGAATATAAGCTTCTTTTGCAGGAGACCAATGGAGCATTCTTGCTGTGAGAAGTTTAATATCGCTCTGACATTGTATATTATGTATGTGTCACACATTATGAAAGTTCGGTAGCATCAATGGATTTATAATGATATTCTCTGTTCCGTTTTATTTTTCAGCACTTAGGAATCGAATTACAGGGAAAGAAGATACCTAGACCCTAAGAAAAAAGCTGAAAGCTGTTTAAACTCATTCTTAAGTACTCCAATTCGAACACCGGAGGACTCACTTCTGTTCTGGGGTACCCCGCTTGTAGATGCCTATTTTTACTTCTCAGGCATCATGGGGGCGATCTGCAGTCGATCCACTAATAATGGATATGAATTGGTAAATCTCGAGGGGTTGTTGGCCACCGCCCAAGTCATGGACACGACAATGATGCAACATATTAACTTACTGGGTAGTGTCACCGTCGCGAAGTGTCACCTTCATGTGATTTGACACCTGGTCGTTACCGTGGGTCTCTTTGTAATCTACTACTACTAGGTTTTCGTTCTTCCGTTCGATGGTGGCACTAGCAAATATCTCCCTCTCAGTTCGCCCATGGATTGCAGTTGGAAAAGTTCAGGCGCAGAGCCTGCTTCTTTCTTCGGCAAATCCTTCAGCTGGAAGATGTCGACAGGGATGAAACATGCCGGGAAAGTATCAGGTGTGCTCCTGAAGACTAGCCTGTGTCCGAGGTCCCAAGACTCTGTGATATATCTTAGATTGTACAATCAGTCGCTAGGATGAAACGATACTACAGGCAGTAAGCAAGACAAGCTAGAATTTGCTTGACGGGATAGCCATCCGGGACCACCTTTCTGGGATCATCGCCGACTATATAGACGTTAAGAATTGGAGACCCTAGTAGGGTCCGGGTGCTCCGAAGCGACATGATCTTGGATTTGTATTGAATTACGAATTGCGATCCAAGAATCTAGACACGATTTCCTGGCCTGAACATTTATGACATATCTCACTCCCTTGTCAACCGGTGCTCTTGGCATCATTTGATTCTAAGCATCTACTCATATATCCTAAAAATTCCGGAGATCTAGTTTACAAAACTGTTATGCACCAAACGAGGAAGTGTCTCTTGATGGCCGGCATATCTGGGTGTTTGACTTCATGCAAGAAAGCGTCAACGCGAACGGTGCCCTTGGGGAATATTTCACCATCCCATAACAATCGCCAACTTTCAGGTGAGTGGCAGAACATGCTGCGACGTTCGGTATTGGGGACCTCAGTACGGACACCTTTCTCGTGCCGACCGCCGTGTGATCCAAAAATCATTGACCCGGGCTCAGATGACAGTAGTGCCGCCATAATCTTTGCGATTTCGAACTGCCCTTCTTCATCAAACAGATGGAAAAATGCCGAAGCATGAATGGCGGAGATGTGCCCTCGCAGCTCCGCTAGAGATTGCACTTGGGAAAGCTCCGGAACAGGGGCAGGAACGTCTTCCCTCAATAGACCTTTCAACTGAAAGATATCTGCAGGGATGAAGCGAGCTGGGAATGTCTCGGCTGTGCTCTTGAAGAGCCTATGTCCGAGTTCCCAGAACTCTGTGCCATATATTCAGATTGTGCAGGACAAATTATAGGGTAGAAAGTTCATACCAGGATGCAAATCGGAGGCCACGACTTGCTCTACGGGATAGCCATCTACAACGGCCTTTCTGGGGTCATTTCCGACTATACCGACGTTAGAGATTCAAGGGGCAGACATAGATAGAAGATTTACGAACAGCAGCATCCAATGTCGGCATAGATAGCCCCCTTGCGATCTTTTCCAAGATTTAAGAACTGTTGATAGTACGGCAATCTCGAAATCTTCAACCTAGGTGTTGGAATCAGACAAGGCTGACACGGCAGATTGAAAAACCGCTGACTTGGTAAAGCCGAAACGGCGTATACACGAATAAGGGTACACCTGGACCGTCTTGTGTTATGACATTACCCACGGAGGATGAGCGTATTTACCTCGTACGCCTCCTCGTGGATAGTAAAGATATGGCTCTTGAGCGTAGTGTCGTCTTCTATTCTAGTTTGAGCTTTAAAGAAGGCAATTTCGTCTTCTGTCAGTGTGTAGAACTTGGGGTCCAAATGGACAGCGACACGGTCACCACCCCGGCTCATTGTTTGAAAGAGAGGCGGTAAGAAGGAGTCGTAGTACAAGGGGTTCTTATAGACTCCTCTTCAATGACTCTTACTAATTTGCGGGTTCAATTGTGCCTCTCAGAAAATAAAAATAGAGGACCGCAGTAGGAGCAGTCCATATTTAGACAACACTTTGATGTTTTGCGTATCTGTAAGTTCCTCAGCTCCTACGCAGCACGCCACCGGCAGGCTTTTCGAAACACAACCCTCTCCGAAGAACCTGCTATTTTTGTTTCATCTTGCATCCCTGATGGTAGGAGCAGCAGAACGTAAATTTGTACTCGGTGCAAAAAAAAAAAATAGGCACGTCGCTTTGAACCGACTTTCAGGCTTTACTAAACACATCTACAACACAAAAAATGGATAGTCTTGCATCATAAATTCTCAATACTCAAATGACCTCTGGCGGTTCTACTACTCCTGCTCGTTCGACAATAATACCATAATGCTCGGGTCGTCGATGTTTTGCGAACGCAAAGGTGCGGTTTTTACCTTGTCTGCGACGACGGTTGTAAGCTCACCTTCAGAAACAGAGAGGTCCATTACGCACTGGCAAGCATCCAAGTCTATATCAGCTACGATCAGTTCATCGCCATCTGTTTTGTTTTCGGCGACGATATGGCCTTCGGGATCCACGATCATACTACCACTTATCAGCTCAAACTTGCCGTCGTCCAAGCCACATCTCGCAGCAGTGATACAGAACGCTGTAGTAATGAGCGATGTCATCCTTCAAACGAAACACGGGAAAACTTACTAGCATTCGTATATGCATTGCTTTGACAGACGAGTTTGTGGTGGAACTGTTCTTGGCGTCAGAGGGAGCGCAAAGGAACGGAAAAGCTGAAGACGAACTAAGGCATCGTCACGAGCATAGTTGCGGTCCATGTTAGGATCAGCACCCCAGAGCTCTGGGGCCCACGCCACCGTATTCTATCAAGACGAATGAGAACATAGCAGCAGATGATCATACCGTTGGGGCTTTACATATCCGATGCACATTATCTCCACACCTTGCAAGCCATAACATCGCCAGCCTTCCGCCCATCTCCGGTCGTTGCATATCAGCATCCCGATGATTGGGCTCCTCAATTCATGGTGAAGAGCGGGAGCACGGAAAGCCTGGAACCCGAGGTTGCCCGGTTTGAAGTACCTCTTCTCAAGTTGATTGGTCGTATCAGGATGGTCGTTGAAGGGTTCTAATGAACAAAGTGAGTTCGCCGTATCATACTCGTAAATTTACTGACCAAAACTTCCTGGCAGATGGATCTTGCGGTACTTGGATACAACCCTGTCGCCAGAGACATAGCTAGCGGTGTTGTATGGCGTACCCTCAGGAGTCTTTTCTCCGTATCCGATGACGACGTCAATCCCCAGTTCCTTTACTTTATCGAAGAAGGGCTTCACGTTAGTGGAGTTGACGATGCCAGTCTCGGCGTCCTCAATCTCAAAGTAGGAGTCAAGTTCCTTCTCATCGGTAATGAGGTATCGAGGGAAGAACGTTGTAAAGGTTGTTTCTGGGAACACAACTAGCTTGACGGATTTCGCAGCCGCTTCTTCCAGAAGGCGGATCAAGCGAGCGATGACCTGCTGTCTAGGCGTTCCGCGGTCGACTCTACCGACTTGGGCTGCTGCAACACGCAGAGGTCGAGGCATTGTGTGGATAATGAGCATATTTGCAGGTCCGCTTTTCCATGGTTCTTTGAGAGAAATTTCGCTCGGTTAGCCGGCGGCGATTTAATCGCCACCCCTTTCTTACATTGTCACGTGGCTTCGCCGAGGCTTGGAGAACTATTCAAGGTCTACTTCCCCACTGCCAGCCCATTGCTGATTCAAGGAAACCAGGAATCACCATGTTTGCCTTCAACTTTGCCGGAATAACCAGAACATGATAAATTTTCAGTAATCTTCGGACTGGGCCCTACCGAGATCCGCGGAATAACGATCGGGACGAACTTGGAGTAGGAGCCCATGCATATCCCCTCGTCTTCCATATACCTGTACGATATCTTCCAGGCTTCTTTCTCACAGGCGTGCATAGAAGAGCAGTGGGACTTGTTTGTTGTGAATTCAAATATGTTCTCCTTACTAGAGGTCCAATACGAGTCCGACTGTCGTCGAAGACTTCTTGTTTACGGCTTTTGGGAAGAGGTGACTGAGTGCAGTGTATTCGTTGTGTTCAGGTGTTGTATGATCGCGCTCAAAGAAGTTGTTAAGATGTGAGGAACTGTAAGATGGTTTTCCTTCTTTCGAATCTTGTTCTCCTAGGCGCCCTGTACATCGTTGCCAATTCTTGCTAATTTACTCGAAGCATTATCTCAAGCGCCCAGTCTATTTACCGTGGTGCTTTTGATGTTTGTCCAAGCTACGAGACCGTGTCTTGAATGTTCGACGCCGATCCCGGATTGCTGAAAAACATCGTGAGCCGATCGGATTCGCTCTAGGAATTATTGAGTTACCTTGAATCCTCCAAAGGGCTGTCAAAGTCAGACCTTCAGTTTTGGGAAAAATCAGAGGCAAGTTATTCGCACCTGGTTCCAATGGAATTGCTGAGATTCATTGATCCAGACTGGGGCGCAGGCGCGTTGTAATTAATGACCGCGTCAGATGTGGTCAGAACCACCCACCTGTTCCAGCCTCAAGTCGCTCCGCAATTCTCTGAGCATGCTCTATATTCTTGCTCCATACAGATGCAGCTAGGCCATAAACCCCGTGATCTATATCGGTGTTTTGAGTTAGAATCTTGGTGTGAGGTATACAATGGTATACTTACTCATTCGTCTGATGACATCGTCTTCGTCGCGCCACTTCAACAGAGGGATAATGGGCCCAAATTCTACGTAGGGATGTCCAAATCGTGAACATCGAGAGAAATATGTAGACATACGCTCTTCTTGAACAATCCTTGAATGTTCGGGTGGATTATCGACAATGCTGACCGGCAAGAAAAAGCCTTTTCTCTCGGAAGGCAACAAGTTCCCGCCGCACGCGAACTTGTATCCTTGGGCATGGCACTCCTCAATCAAAGAGCTGGATTGAGTATAAGTCAAGCGCCAAATGTGACATCAAATTATATTACCTTAGTCTCCGATATTGCTCTTTGTTTTGCACTGGGCCCATCCCTACTTCCGGATCGAGACAATCTCCAATCCTGACGGTCTTCGTATACTCGACCAGCGCGTCTCTTACGGCGTCATAAATGTCCTCATGGATGTAAATCCGTTTCAGCGCAACACAGATCTGTCCAGAGTTAAAAAATGTTCCCCAAAAGAGCATTCTAAAAAGGTGTAAGCACATCTAACTTGGACGGTTTTATATGAACGAACGGTGCAATCTCTTTGGGGTCCACATCCTTCAGTACCACCGCAGGATCATTACCACCAAGTTCCAGTGTGAGGCTCTTCAGAGAAGCAGCTGCTGTGCGCATCACAGATTGGCCGGCAGGAATTGAGCCCGTCAAAGAGATTCGAGCAATATCAGGATGTTCTGCAATCCAAGGCCCCCTAGCAATATGATCTCAAGATCAGAGCAGAGTCTTTCATAGAAACAGTCAACCTGAGAACTTACAGACTGTCATCACCGGATAGCACCGAGAGAACCCCAGGTGGAAGGATTCTTTGCGCTAACTCAACGAATTTCATGGCTGAAAGCGGTGCGAAAGGAGAAGGTTTAACAATGACGCAGTTTCCGGTAACGAGAGCAGGTGCAAGTTTCCAATTTAGCAGAGAGAGTGGAAAGCTGTATTCTTAGTGAGTTTCATCTCCATGATGAACAATGGACGAGACGTACTTCCAAGGGGTTATCGCAGCACACTGTAATGTCAGACGCGACGAGTAAGATAACAGTTACGACCAATGAAATGATAAACCATACCACGCCATATGGGACGTATCGAATCGTCACAGTCCGCTGGGGTGTGTCCAAGATGGTCTCAGGTGGGAGAGATTGAGTCGCCACCCCATGAAACCACTCCACGCAACTTCCAACTTCGATGGCCCTACAAAAGCCGACAAATTAGATACCCAACATACGGGGAAAAGCGTGAATGGAGTGTACTCACGCCAAAGTTCGGGACTTTCCAACTTCCTTGATAAGAAGTTCGGTGAAGTCGTCACAATTGTCCTTGATTAAGTCACCCAGTTGAGTGACCAGGTTTTGCCGCTCTCCGATGTTCAGCGCAGCCCAAGCAGGAAATGCGAGTGATGCGGCCTTCACGGCGTCGTTCAGCTGGCTCCGGGTAGCGATTGGGACCGAGGCTAGAATTTCCTCATTAGCTGGGTTCACTACGCCTTGTGTGTCTCGAGAGTAGACTTTTATTCCGTTGACGATGTGTCCACTATTTCGCCATGAGATATTGATATGAAGATTGAGCAAAGCCACAGGTACTTACAAGTCTGTGCTGAAAGAAAAGTCGCGAGAAGCCATGATACTAGGGTCACGGAGACTTTCGAGGGGTGGTTCCAGGGACAGTTTCTACTTATACTATGTTAGATAGATGCCTGCAGCGGATTCTGATGTCGATGCATGGTACACGGGAAGCACATCAGATTCATGCCGTAGAAGGCTGAAGTAAATTTGGCGTGGATGAAAATGGTCCCGGGAGTTATATCAGAATTGATCGATGTCAATGTTGATTCCCGTACGTCGATGTGGGCACTGCCGCCTCAAAGTTGGCAGGCCGAATCATCTCATCTCATCTCATCATTACCTGGCATGGTACCTTTGTTGGATAACACGCGCACCGTGAGATCAGGACGTTTTCCTAGTGAGTTAGGAAAGAACAATTCATGTTTGCTTGGGAGGCAAACGAATACAGAATACTATGAAATACAGCTACTTAAATACCTTTCTGTATCTTCCAGTACTTTTCCTTTCTTAGTAAACATTTACTTAGCAAACCGCTAATTGGACATTGCGACCACAGGGCCATCCGTCGCAGGTAGCTGTACTACCCAATCCTCACTACCCTCCAGTGAACCCCCCCAGCAGCTCATGACTGAGAAACCCATGACTTCTGACAAATGTAGGCTGCAGTGGCATAGTACATTCTGCTGAGTATACTTATTTCTTGACTGAAATCCTTCTTTTTTACTTTACATACATTTCTACTCATTTACAGCTTCAACCAAAAATCACAGGTGCACCACATGGGTCACTGCTAGTCAAGAACAAAGACATACAGATTTTTATATCTAAAAAGAGGTCTAGATGTACAATTGGTAGTCGTGGACCAGGTTCATCAGAAGCCTGCATAGTTCAACAACATTCCAGCCCAGATGATATATCCCAAACTTCCGTTTGCCTTGGAAAATACATGAGTTCGCTCCGAGTCAATCAGAAAATGGATACATACTTTGAATTTCTCCCCGCAATCTCGAGGATCATCAGGCGACCAAGTTGTGAATTGCCAGAGGAAATGCAGAGCAGCCCCGCCACATGAGACGACGAAGAACGCGGGACTTTGACTATTACAAATACCAAAGTACGTGAGATTCCCAACAAACACGCCGGCAAAACACACGAGGATTGGCCGAACCCAAGTGCCGAAAAGAAGGGATGTCGACTTCACGCCAACCTTTGCATCATCAATTTTGTCTTGACAGCCGTAGATTGTATCATAGACAATGGTCCAGCTACGCCGATGAAGAACATCAGGATAGATAGATAGAAATGTTGGTGACCTTACCACACAGTGCCCAAGAAGAAGATGAGTAGGTCATTCTTTAGTGGACCGTTGGGGCGGACGGTGATCCATGCAACCCATGCACCCCAATTCATAGCCAGGCCTTGAATAAAACCATGAGTCGGTATGTAATCATGAGATTTCAGCTGCCGATAAATACCAAGCCATGCCTGTGGCCACCAAGTCCATCTCTTCATTAAAGGATACAGTGCATGTAATGGGAATACGCCAATTATCCCATACACAGCCCTATATCTGTGCGTTAGCGACACCTACAAGATATCGCATGCACGGTACTCACGCAGTCAAATTCGTGTAACTAAGCAGGCTCAAAGAGGCCAAAGTCAGAAGCAGAAGAAGGATAGTAGCCCCAAAAACGGATATCTTTCCAACGACAAGAGGTCGGTTCTTTGTACGTTCTGAAATTAGCGGTTAAACAAATCGGGGGCCTCGTCGTGAGTCTGGTTTACTAACCAACTTGTCTATCGAAGTCAATATCGCAGATATCATTCAGCACGCAAGCAGCGCTGTGAAGGAGAGTACTTCCTAGCGCGAAGGCTATAATACCCTTGATGAATGGAATGACTGGCAGCTGTACCGTAGATGCTGCAACAGTAAAAGCCCAGGCTACATGGACGAAGGTCATCGTGAGTCCAAAAAAGAGGTCCAGCTCAAGCTGGAACACTCACCGCAAGGCCAGAATACTACGATACTTCCCAGTGGAAATTTATGTAGTCTGGTGAGTTCGAAATAGTATCGCGCTGCTGACTCGGGAGTCGAGACAAGAGGCAGTGATGCGTTCTTTGAAGATTCAGCAGACATGATTGTGTCGAATATTAGAAGTAACACTTCAGAGTACACTATATAATGTTCCTGTGCCAATTATCCACTGGTACTTAACCGTTGCGGAATTACCTGTGGAACACCGAATCTCTGATGATCACCGAAAGAGAAGACGTGTGTCATACAGCTGGAGACATGATATACGGGAACTGGTATCCCACAAGGAACAATATAGATAGATACACAGCCCGAAATCCATGCAAGTCTTCGTGAAACTGCAACTTTTTGACGAGCCGGTGGCATCATAGATAAATTGCTCGTGGAGTTGAAATCCAAGGAAACAGAATGGCGGGTGCCGAGATGATAACAAGAATAGCTTCCAGTGATGCAAATGAAACTCGGCAGTGGGTTTGAGCCTATAGCTAGAGTATCCAGTACACAGCCAGTGGTGCGCAAGAACGTCTGATGTGATCCCAGTGCCAGTTAAGCGCATCTAGTTGCTTGGATGGACGTAAACAGCTGATCCTCAATCAGGAACCAGTAGTAGCAAGATGAGGACCAGCAGGTGTTGGGTGATATCGAGAGAGTGGGATTAGGTCATCGATCACCTCGGTTCCCAAGTTCAATGCGCTCTGCCTCCGCGCACGCTGGACCTCTCGGTCAGGTACCATAGAGAGAAACAGCCCTTTGAAACATTTATTTTCTTTTCGCATCAATCAGCCAGAGCCTCGATTCGCGATTCTCAATTGTACTGCTAAGTGCTATACTTAGAAGTCCGCCTCCTGGCATCAACTCTACTACGCCGGCTTCGCGATGATCTGGGGAAGATAATTACCGATGCTATCACCTGGATGCACACGTTCCACAGCCCAACCAGCCTCATTCAATAACCCCACAATATGGGCCAATGTTCGGTCCTGGCCGTTGAAATGCACGTACATCGAAAGGTCGGTGAAATACGGGGAAGCGTTGGCGGCGCCCATGTTGGCAAGCAGTGGTGCTGGCGGAGCAGGAGAATTTGCACCAGGTATATCAACCTCCACAGCCGAGCACGAGTGAGGAATAATGCAGTCAATGAGGACCAATTTAGTAGTAGCTGTAGAAGCATCCCGCAATCGCCGAAGGATCCGAGTTACGTATTTGTCCGACCAGTCATGGGTAATCTGCTTGAGAAGAAAGACGCTGGCATCTAGCTGGCGTTGAACTTGGAAAAAGTCGTGCTCTAGCATTTCAATTAGTGAGCTGTGAACAAGAGGCGACTGCTAGCCGGACATGCCTATATATTGGATCCTCCCGGACACAAGCGCATGAGGTAACACTTGCTCGCAATGCTGTATACATGCTAAATTTGAGACAGTTTTATAAAGGGTACTCTCTGCCGGACTGACCTTCTTCCCTTGTGCAACCACCGAAGGCCTGTCTTGGATTATACATCGGATATGGGGATGCGCTTTTACCAGGGTGATAGAGGAAACACCAATCCCACCCCCTACATCAATGACTATGCTATCGTCGGGGAGATAACCCCAATCAAAGCCTAGCGTGATAAATTCTAAGTTCACGATAGATGAGGTCAAACTATAGCATGTACCTTTGAGGATGGAATCCTGTGGCTGCATGCGACTGACGCCATCCATGGCTACTCCGAATCGCTGCAGCCGCAGCTGATTTGAAGGCTTCTCGAGCCAATTCCACACTCCGACATCGCACCCAAACGCTTGCATCATGGGTGAACGCTCTGGAGAATCCTCGAACGCCGTCTCGGGATTAGTGAGGTGTTCGGTGATGCATCCGGCTCCTTTATAATCTTCGTCTGTACTATATGACAAGTTAAAGATACGATTCAGAGCCTAGGCGTACTGAAGATCGTACCAATGTCCAATCAAGGCTGCAATTCCGTTGGTTCCGTCATACTTTTCAAGGGGTCTTTACATGCTGGTAGTTAGCGTTACATGTACGGTGAACGAGAAGACCGCGCACCTGTCTAAAAGTTCCGCGACCGGTTTACCAGTGTCACAGATGGATGAGAGACGGTTATTAGCGTATACGTCGGGTGAAATTTCTTTGAAGATGTGATAAGTGGCCAAGAAACGCATGATTCTTGCTGTAAATAGTATCGATGAGGGTAGAAATTATTATGCTAAAGTGACACCTTACAGAGCTTCATGTGGTCAACGTTGCTTTGAGCAGCAATTTTGGTTACATGCAAGCCCTAGTGAAAGGCCATGCTCAATGAGCAGACGAAAGCATCAACATAAGGGAGGCCGCAACCTTAGGACCAGCTTCGCGCAGAATTTCGACAGCGTTTGTTTCTATCGCAGCTCTCAACGAAGCAGACAAATAATACTGGAGGCACAGTCAGACTGAGAGCAAGGCAACTAAAATCAACCGCTACGCTGCATCCTGCGTTGAAAACGTGCATTTGAGGCTGCTGCACCACAGCAATTAACTGATAAGCCGCCGCCGTTATGAGAATAGAAGCCTCTTGTACAGCCGGCGTCAGACGAATAGATTCGCTGTCTGGCGTGTAAGGCTCATCGAGAACAGGAAAGTCAACGCCAGAACGCTGGCATTCCTTTTCGATTCTTTCGATAGATCCTTGGAGAACATGGAGTAAAGCGCGCAGATGAGAAGCCATACTTGGGGAAGAATATCAACACGGCAGTGGGTTGTATCCCGGGGATCTTCCTGCTTGCATTATCCATGGATCTCGGCGCTACAAAAGCAGTGCATTCAATCCCACAGTGGTGCCTTGAAGCAGCCAGATGACAGGTAGCACGTAGCAGTGATGATCAAATGGCGGAATCTCGCCATTAGACAGTCGCCTGATGTAGCTAAGATGGCTCCTTGTGCTCGACAAGAATACCCAGGCCTCTGATGGTCACCGGGAACAAGTAGGGGACTTGATCCCATTATATTCGAGTTTCATAAATGGACGTTTGGGAAATTTGAGCTGGTCCTCGGAGGACCGTCCAATCATTCTCATTCGCTACTACAGTAGTCTTGCTGTCACTGCTATGGCCGTCTTCGATCTAATGTGAGCCTTGCTTGCTTGCTTTCTGGTCCTTGGCTGATTTATGTTCTTAGCCTCGGTCCCATTCTCATGGGGACTATGATGAATGTTTTGCTTATGGGTGTCATGATTGTGCAATGCTACGTCTACTTTGAGTAAGTGGAGTCCTTTTTTTTGGTCTCCGTTGTCTATATTGACTGCGTAACAGACGGTACAAGGGGTATGTCAGTCTCGAATCCTTTCCGACGTACATAATTAAACCGTATTCTCGAAAGAGATAAGCCATGGATTAAGGCTACTGTAAACTTCTCATTCAGAGGCACACATGTCCGGCACTGATCTCTCTGACAATAGGTGGGGTTCCTGCTTCTGTTGGATGCGCTGAGCTCTTCGTTTGGGATGGCCATGACGTATAATTATCTCGTCACGAACTTCGGTGAGTCAACGCATCCAAGCGACAGTTCTGCCCTCCAAGCTGATTTGCCTATAGGAAACGTTAACGCCATCCAAGTGACTAACACAGGTATGGCAGCATCATAGATGCAAGATTTAATACTGATAAACCTTTTGTAGGGATTGACCCATGTAAGCAACTATGTTTGCATCCCATGTCGTATTTACTGAACTGTGTGTCTCAAAGACCCTCTGTTGACGGTGCGTTTTTCAACTACATTCATACTTACCCCTGTTCTCACCCCTACTTTTACATGTAGGGCATCACTGCACTTGTCGTTCAAAGCTTTTTCGCTTGGAGGATCCAGGTTTTGACGAAAAGCAAATTACTTGCGGCTATCATCGCTGCTCTCTCCATCGTTCAGATGCGCAAGTACATACTTTTTCTGTCTGATTCAACGATTAAAATCGCTCTCTGTCAGTTGCCAGTCTCGGAACAATGATCGGCGGCTTGATCGTCAAGGAATTCGTGAAGCTTAAGCAAATCAAACAGATATCTCTCATTTGGCTCTTTGGGTCTGTGGTCACAGATGCAATTATTACTCTCTCCCTTGTGCAATTCCTGGTGAGCAGGACTTCCTGATCCCGACATTTCCAACGCGAAGATCAGTGGCTAATTCATCTTGGTCTTAACAGAGAAACAAAAAGACCGGGTTCCCTTCTACAGACCATTTGACGTCCAAGATTATTCGATGTGAGCATCAATACTCTTTTTGTAGGTTTTGCCTCTCCTTCAGAATCTCATGCACCATTTTTCAGCGACAGTTCAAACCGGCCTTCTCACGACAACTGTCGCGTTGGGTGTTGTGATTGCCTATCTCGTGTCTGTAAGTACATGGCCAAACTTAGCAGCGGCTTCGGCTCTAATTTTTATATCTACCACTTAACGTTCTAGGACTCGACTATGTTTGTATTTGGCATTCAATTACATATATTCTGCTAATAACTCGTTCTATAGGCATCTTGCCTTCGGACTTCCATTATCAAAACTGTACACTAACACCCTTCTATCGTCCCTTAACGCTCGTGGTGTTTGGAATCCAGAGGGATATACGATAGCGTCTCACACGACGCTCCATCTACCTTCAGGCCCCCAGCAATATGTGAGTATCAGTCTCCCGTGCTCCAATCCATCGAAATCTAAATTTAAGTGCCCAGAACGAGTTTGGTAGCAACCCTTGCGATAGCATCACCGTTAATGTCTCCAAATCATCTCACATTCATACGGATTTAGGTTCTGTATGTCAGCCTTTTCAATTATCAACGCTTGGCAGTTGATGATACTTTTGCGTTAAAGAATGAAAACCACGAGATGAAGACTTACGAAGAGCCTTCGAAGCATTCGAGCATCGTCTAGATTTTTGAGTCGTTCTATCCACGACTGTACAAAGCACAAAATGTGGCAGAGAGGGTTGTAGATTGGAATATGTATTCAGTGACCGGAATTATTTATGTGATGCAATTATCTGTATCTGAAGTAACCAAGATCAAAACAGCCTCTGTTCAGCCTCGTTCTCTTGTTCAATTTCGGCCTTCTGTGACGAGAATCCTGTATATCAGGTAGGTATTTAGCATTGCACGGTAAAGTATCTGATGATTGAGGCTGATGGTACAAATCAGTCGTCCAAGAGTTCAAGTTCGTTTTTCTGAGTATGCGCCACGTGAGATACAAATTTATACTGAAAGTCGAGTCATAACGCGCAAGGGCCAGAAATTCCGTGGCCACCAACGATTTTTCAAGATTCAATGCTAAGTAACATACTCATAAGCAAATGCGGGACACGATTGGAGTTTTCATTAGTGAAAAGATTCAAGCTCTTCTGCCAGCTTTAATCGAGGTGTTATCTGACATGCAAACGGTGCTGGTCGTCTTCAAAAAGAAGATTTAGAGAGTGCGACTGGGGTCATGTTGTAGGAAACGTACGTGACCAGGCCCGAAAGATATTCACCCTTCACCTCTACTACTCCGCCACTGGCATCGCGTTGTTTGTCAAGTTCGAACGCTGCAACGATGCGAACCATAATCATCCACAGAAGGCTATCGGAAAAATGCCTTCCTGGACATATCCTGTACGAAATCATTGGCTGAATTACCACGGAAAGGGGGAATGAAATTACCTCCGCCCGAAACCGAACGAAGCCTCTCGAGGATTCAAAGGCATGGGGTCATCGGAAGGAGGCATGAAGCGCTCAGGGCGGAACTCGAAGGGCTCGGGATACTCTTTTTCGTCATGAAGTATGGCCCTGGAAACCCCACCAATTAGCTTTCATTCTATTGACAGACACACCAACATCACCATTGATTGACGAGGACGGTTGCTCCCGCAGGAATTTGGTAGCCGTTGAGGTCAGTGTTTTCTGAAACACGGTGAGGCACCTAGTAGCAAAGGTCATGCACAGAAATAATCCTACTTCCATATATATGCTCACCCCAAGTGGAACAGCGGGATTCCATCGTAGGACTTCCGACAGTACGCATTCGAAGAAAGGAAGGGACGAGCGATCAGAAAACTCGGGAAGCCTATCTCCACCGACTACCGAGTCAATTTCTGCTTGAGCTCGCTTTTGAGCGTTTGGGTAGAGAACCATTCTATACCGACATCAGCAGACACTGGAGCAAAAATCAATAGGATAATTACGCTAGTATGAATGTGTCGAGAGCAGACAGAGACTAAGAGTCCAGTCAGTGAATAGAATTTCGATGTGCGAGGAATCATACTGTGTCTCCGCCACCTTCAAGTCCCAAGTGACAGTCAACATATATCTAAAACAAGCCGCACGTATCTCACCAACAAATAAAACACCAGCTGCTCCCATTATCAATTCTGGGTCTGTGATGTGTGCTGTGGTAAGGAGTTGCTGTCTAATGAGTGTTTCGGTCACCGAAGGTGTGGCAACACCATTTTCCTACAAAGCTTCAGCCACCTTCACCGTCCAATCTATGAAAAGAAACTAACGTAGGCCTTCTTCGTGTTCTCGAAAGGTATCTCAATCATCTCTCTTGCCTGTCGACGCCATAATCTGGCCTGTTTTTGAAAGCCTGCCCCAGGGACCCATGCCGGGACATAACGTACTATATTGGTAGGCACATGGAGTGAATACTGGAGCATAAGATGAATTCAACGCACGGAAAGGTAAAAAGTCGACATAGAATTTTCCGACATTACCGGCCTCGACAAGACCGTCGATTGCAGCGTCAGCCTTCGATACGTATTGATCACGGAGAACACCTTCTTGTTCGCCGTAGAGGATGGACATCATCATCCCACCGCTATGACTGCGTGGCAAAGAAGTCTGTGTGATTTTCTTTATATTGAAGGAAGAAGTTGAACCCACTGCTTTATGTGAGCTTGAAAGTTCGATGGGTCTTCAAGAAGGCTCTTTAAAAGTTCCCTCGATCCTTTCTCTACTATAGGCAAATACGCGCTAAGGGACTGGGGTTGTAAACATTGTTGGACCGTTCGGCGATACTTGCGAAACCGGTGTCCTGTGCTCATGAATTGCACTGCCCAATCCCATCCCATCCTACAAATCCACGCGTCATGAATGCAACGACGACACTTGGGTAATAATGATCCTTACAGGTCTGATATCATTACAAAACGCGGTCTGTCTGATGAAATTGCGCTTTGACGGTCAAGGAGGTTTCGTGCGGTTTCTAGAGAGCTCAGTATAATCAGAGACTGGCCAAAAACGTTCAGGCGTATTATGTCGCCTAAGTAATGAACCTTAGTAAATTTGGAATAGATATGGTGGAAATACGCGGACCATGAATTTTTGCCCACTTGTCGTATGTCAACCATTCATGAGACGATGGCATGACGGTTACATTTCCAAGTATAGGCAACGAAGGTGGACCAGGGGGAAGGGGTAGACTTGAAGACCTCCTGACTCTAAGAAGACGGCTAATGAAAATAATGAGAAGTCCTGCAAAGATGGTGCAGGACAAAGATGGAAGCATTTGGAAACTTTATGCGGCAAAATCGGGTTAGCGTTATAACCTGCAAGCGCGTATTCATACTCGGAAGGTTTCCTCCGGATTCGGTAAGCACCAAATCATCATTTGCGCCATAAGGCGTGGGCTTTGCTGTGATGGTCTATAACCAGCTGTCCATGCACGAAAGAATGCGAAACTCGAACTTGACAGGCAGAGATATGTTTCGATGATTCTGGTTGCAATTCGAGCACGGGCATTGCCCCATCCGAAGTCCTATTTTTTGCCATCACGAATCTTCCTGCATTGCAAGTAAAGCATGATGGACATCATTCAAATTATGTGGGTACTCTGGCCCAGACTTGAAGCGTAAAAGCCATATTCAATACTCTTCTTTTGATTCAACGCTGACCCGTCACCTAACTGATCATCGCCCACTCCCTTCTGATGGTACGGGCGTGACCATCGGATCGTGGCGTTAATCGCATCTCGAAATCTATCGGTTTCCTATGACGGATCCGCATCAAATGGATACTGTACGTATAGAGAAACGCGACTCACGAGGTCATTCCTGAGGTACAATTATCAGGGCTGATAATAATTGGCTTCCTTTGTTTGTCAAGACCAGGTTGAATGTCGAAAGCCCATAATAGACGAGTCAGCCCTATCCAGATGGTCTTTGAACCTAGATATTGCCCTGGGCATTTTCTGCCGATTTATGAGTATGCTGAATAGTAAAGACTGCAGTAATTGGAATTTACCTACGACCGAAGCCGAACCCATAGTGGCCTTCGGTAAGGGAATCATTCTCAATGGCACCTCCGTTAGGCAGAAATCTCTCTGGTCTGAATACGTAAGGATCAGGGAACTCGTCTGGGTCGTGATGCTGCGAAATGAATCAGTCGAGTAAAAATAGCTACGATGTATACACTTACCATTGACCAAATGCAGGGTATAACCATCGTTTTCGCATTGATCTGATAAACCGAACACAATCACAGAAGGCCACCTGGGTTTGACAGATGCTGACCTTGAATCCCTTATATTCATCATCGGCATCAGAGTAGTGCGGGAAACCACCGGGAGCCGCAGGAGCCCATCGTAAGACCTCTTTGGTGAGAGCAAAGCAATAGGGAAGTTCATTGATGTGGGCGAATCCAGGGACCGTCTGTCCATCTGGTCCGAGGAGACTGTCTAACTCCACTTGCGCCCGATGCATAGCATCTGGATAGAGGATCATCGCCATGAAGAACCACTGGATGGTACCCGCCGTGCTATCAGTACCCGCCTCGAACGCCGTACCGGCGACTGCGGGGGTTGTCAGGAAGGGTGCATAGATACAGAAGGAAATGGGGAGTACTATAGGACATTTCTTCGAGGTCCAGCGTCTCTGTATTCTGGCGTTCCCACAATCTGGCGGCGAAGCATTCGAGGTTTTGTTTACCAGAATCCATGCGCTCCTTGACCTCCAACACAAGACGAGTATACAGCTGCATTACATGCAATTAGTACCGATCTTAGTAATAGAGGGTGGCTCGGGTGGCTCTGCATCCTCACTTTCATCTCGAATTCATGCTTAACGCGCGCCTGCGCGCGCCAAGGGGATAAGAAATCTGGAAGCAGATCCAAGCAAGGGAAAGTATCCACAAGATGAGCTCCAGGATAGGTATCGCATACGAAGCCGTTTAGAACAGTGATGACACTGTCCAAATCGTTGTCATTGTCTTGAAGACGTCTTCCATAGCTCAGGGTAAACACTAATGCTGCAGCAAAACGCTGACTATGACGAAATGCCTTGGTCGGTTTGTCCACGATATCATGCAGTAGCCGAAGAGATTCAAACTCTTGCATATTTTCGTACGCTCCAACGACTTGGGAACAGCATTTGATAAATGATGTGAGCATATCAGATGAAAGAGAATTCTCTACCTCGGGGTTGTAACATTTGATGGAATGCCGCCCTCTGTCTCTTGAGAACTGGACCATAAGGAAGTAAAACAAGGCGCTTATTGTTTGATTGATATTTTCCGGCGTATACGAGTGGAGGCCGCGAAGAGTAGTTGTGCGAACGTCTGCCCAGCTAAGGGAACAAACTTTACGTTAAGTGACAGCTGCTCATAGTATGGAGTCGCAAACTTACCAACTCCTCCGCGTCAACTGATTTGTTTAGTACGAGAACATCGTTTCCAGCGAGTGACAATCTGAACAGAGGTCCTATTGTTATAGTCAGCTCAGGTAATCGTTTATGTGAGTTGTTTGGCTTTTACCATATATTAGGGACAACTTTTCGAAGTACCTCCAAGTATATGTTGTAGGTACCTGGAATACGTGACCTACTCCGGGAACTGATGGAGGCCCGGGAGGGTACCGGTTTTTGGAAGACAACGAGAATTTCCAAACCAACAGAAACGCAGGGATTAGAGCATAAACGCAGGCCCAGAAAGACATGCTGTAGCAGTGTAAACTTGTTCAAAGGCAATCGATGGCGATGAGAACGTCAACTTAAGTGCACCGAAAGGAATGGAATACATAATGCCGCTGCATCCACTCTTCTCCTCGAAACAGCCTCTAACAGGAACAATTCATCAGAGCATGACATCTGAACAGATGCTAAATAAATGTAACCTATTTGCATTCTGATCCTTAGTGGCCATGGATCGATGGTGTGAAGAATTGAATGAGGGATAGCTCCATGACAGAACCCTCAGCGGGTCAGCCAAGTGGAACTCGGCGCTCATCACGCTCACAACCATTGAACGAACTGCGGGTGATGACCTGAAAATAGAAGGGGGGTTACCAATCTGATTCCCATCTACAGATGTCAAGTAGTAGCATCTTTGGATGATACAACTTTCGAGTGGCATCCTGTCTATCAAATCCATGGATGTCGCATCTTTCCAGCCTATCCCTACTTGATCTCTTCTATTCTGCCGCTCATTCCCATAGTTCTTGACAAATATGGGTGAATCACGATAATCAAGAATGCATCTCGAGTCACCGCTCCGACCATCAGAAGGAAGCCGGAGAGCACGGTCTGCCAGGTTCCATATACTTATACTCGACTGCCATACAGTCCCTCTTTATCTCAGGATCCCTTCAGCCCACAACTGCCACCACCAATTATTCTGAGATGGCTCCCGTCATTCGCTTTGCTGCTTTCAAGTACAAGCCAGGGACTACTGACGCACAAAAGAGACAGTCTCTTGACGGCCTCATCAAGCTTTATGAGGAGAACGCACGTATGGTCAACCATGGCCCTATCGGTCTGCCGTCGTAGCTAAAGCTCTTGCTATGCGCTCACTATTCCACAGGTGGCAGGAACAATAACCCAGAGGGTTTCGATAAAGGCTTCGACGTAGTCTTCACAGTCGAATTCAAGGTCGGTCCCGCATCATTGCCTTTTTCGACTTTAGCTAACGCGCCTTAGTCCAAGGAACTCCGCGACGAGTTCATTCCAGATGCGAAACACGTTGCATACAAGGTACAAGTTCGTGCCGCTCATTGACTAGCATGGTTCTGACCCTGTCACAAGATGTCAATCATGGATATCGTCGAGGACGTTATTGTATATGATTTCGAGAAGGGTGATTATGGCTATTGAGTTACATGTGGGTATTCTCTGCGTATGGTCTTTAGATGTGGCTGAAGGACGCCGTTAGGAACTCCCAAGATAAATCAAGAGGGTACATACCTTAGCTTCTACTTGTTCAATGCTGCTTGCTGTTCACGATAGAAGGTGTAAAGATATAGCGTATAATTTAGCAGACTGAAAATCATTGTGTTCGTCGCGGCGCAACCTGTTGACTGCCACTTGGCCGATTCGATCGAAATGAAAGATCGCAGCGAATAACAACAACAGGCCAGTGAGCAGCCCTTTTGTTGCCAGAATGTCAGTCGTTTGTCAACGGCCGTCCTACAGCGAGCAATCGTCGAGAGTGTACGCCCTATTGCAGTGACTCATTGTCAGCCTTCCTTTCACGGCCATAGATAGAAGACTCACATGCTCCCGTAAGTCACTGCGCTGCCTAAAATCTGAGGGATGTACCCTGGTGTACCCCGGCCGCCAGCGTATCTCCCTCCGCATCCGACGACCTTGATCCCGAGTTCCGTCGCGCTTATCAACAGTGTCAAAAGAGAACTTAGGCAAGCCAGCGCCTCCATGTATGCGAGCTCTTTCCGACCGGTGATGCTGTATCAGAAAAAAATGTCGAAAATGTCGTGACTGGTGCAATGTGACGCCATTTTCGGTTCACCGTGGCTCGTTTGAGGGGTATAAAACAAGGTGAGTCAACGTGGTTTCCGTGATCCTCCTCTCCACACTCGGGCGGCTGCAACGCAAAAGGCTGGATGGCACTAGTAACTGGCAGGAGCAGAAGGCAGACTCTTGGCCGGCGGCGATTCACTCCTATTCTTACGCCATCACGTGGATTGGCCGAGGCAGGGAACTTTTAAGTTGGATCCTCGGAACGTAAAAGTACAGTACTCATAACAATGCATTCACACCTCCGGTCTCTGCAATATTGCGTCTGCGTATTCCATCATGTCCTTCGACCTTGACCTGATTATTCGTAACGGTATCGTGGTCACCGCGGCTGATCAAGTGGCTTGCGATATCGGTATCAAGCATGGGAAAATTAGCATCCTCGCTGCCGGTTTGCCCTCACTGGACGGATGCCAGGAAATAGACGCCGATGGAGGGTATATTACTCCTGGGGGTGTTGATAGTCACGTCCACGTTGCTCAGTCCGCCGCGAAGGGCCTTGGGGCTCGGTCCGCGGATGATTGGACGAGCGCGACTAGGAGTGCTTTAGCTGGTAAGTCGTGCTATCTCAGGCTGCTTGTGAAATATTCCTCATTTTCTTACCACAAGGCGGGACGACCACCATTCTGGCCTTTGCTGTCCAGGCTCGGGGAACTTCACTTGCTGACGCCGTCATTGACTATCATAAAAAGTCTGATGATTTTGCTGTCTGTGATTATGGATTCCACCTCATTGTTACGGATCCAAATGAGCATCAGATGCACTCCGAACTCCCAAAGCTTGTTAAGGAAGGGATCACGTCCATGAAAGTGGGTTAGGTTCGCTTAACTCTAGCTTGGAATTCTGACGAAAAGGCTAGATATATATGACTTATGTCGACTTGAAGCTTAACGATGGCGAAATCCTCAATGTATTAGTAGCTGCACGAAAGTACAAGGTGACTACTATGGTCCATTGTGAGAACGCGGATGTGTATGTTTTCCATATCGCTTTTCAAAACATCTCTCTAATCTCCTGCAGCATCGACTGGATGACGAAGAGTCTTCAAGAGCGGGGAATGACTGAACCATGGCATCACGGCACCTCAAGGCCTCCTATCGTCGAGTCTGAGGCCACGAATCGTGCCTTGGCACTTGCAGAACTTATGGACACACCCATGCTTATCGTCCATGTTTCTGCTCCAGAGGCAATCAATATCATCCGAAAAGCTCAAACACGACTTCTTCCTATCTACGCAGAGACGTGTCCTCATTATGCGATACTGGACGGCTCGCAAATGCGGAAGGAAGGGTTTGAAGGTGCAAAATGTGTCTGTGCACCGCCGCTCAGGGACGACCCTAAGGATAAGGAGAGAATCTGGGAGGGTCTCGCGAATAGCACATTTACAGTGTTCTCTTCGGATCACGCGCCTACATGCTACAATGATGAGCATGGCAAACAAGTGTGTGATTCCTTATCGCTTACTTCTTTATCGCTCATTTTTTGTGAACACGTAGCTCGGTCTCATCAAGAATCCCACAAACAATCCCCGTGGGAACTTTAAGACGATACCCAACGGGCTTCCTGGCGTTGAAACCCGGACACCTTTACTATGGAGTGAGGGTGTATTGAAGGGTCGCATTACCCCTCAGAAATTCGTAGAGTTAAATTCAACTAACGCAGCCAAATTATGTATGCTATCTACTTCTGTTGAAACCTTATCATGCTGATCTTGTGTCGAGATGGGATGTATCCTCAAAGTATGCTTTTCTTGGCAGCCCCATATCGCCGTTGTATTCACCTTGTGCTTCCTGACAGAGGGGACCCTACAATCCGGTAGTGATGCCGATCTTATCATCTGGCGCTCAGATAAAAACCGCAGGCCTTATAAGATCGAGAATTCGAAGGTTCGTCGTTCCTATCTATCCTTTTTCCCTGTTTAGCATTGTCGCTTGCAGCTGCACCACGCTTGCGACTACACCCCTTATGAGGATGTCGTTTTGGAGGACTGGCCTCGATACACGATTCTACGTGGGAAGGTTGTCTATGACAGCGAGACTAATGAAGTGATGGCGCCGCCAGGGTCTGGCAGGTTCCTACAACGGGGATCAAGTACGCTACCGTAAGTTCCTATGCTATATATCAATTTTCCCATCCCTGATTTTCGCTACAGGGGCCCTCGAAATCAATGGTTGTCAGAATGGCGACCTGAGTAAGTGTGCTGCACATAGTGAAGATACTACTACATATGTACGTGTCTTGTACAGAGTATGCAGGCAGCCAGTTGAGTTTTGTGTATTAGAAACGTCTTTATGTCGGCCCGAGGTGAAACACACGTGGTGGCTGATAAGGTAAAGGATTTTCCGATCGACATCTTCTCCCCTTCACTATGACCGGGGCCTCTGAGTCAGGCACTACAAATGTTCCTCCCAAAGAGACGAACCAGAATTCGAACGACGATGATCCGCCACCGGTAACCCTTGCAAGGCCTTTCAGATCCAGGAAAAATCGACCATGCGATGGCTGCGTGAGTTATCAGCTGTACAGTAATTATTTGATGACCGAGAACAATGTTAGCGAAGAGCGAAGACGAGATGTGCGATCACAGAGGTGGGAACGCCGTGTGTAGAGTGCCAGTGAGCTGTCTACAAATAGGCTGTGGTGTTCTGTTCGCTGATGGGGCCAATTTAGGCACACCCGCAAGAAATGCACCTTCGATGAGCTACCTCGAGAACGGAAAAAGCCCAACAAGCGGTCGCTGTCGCCTCAAGAACTCACCATTGACAGCGTCAATCCGGCCCCATCGAAACGTTCACGTACGACTGCTGCAGGCCCCGCCCAGGCTGTCAATGCTGATCCTGGTCCGAGCACGCAACAGATCAATGACTCAGATGCTGTTGCGCTAGAGGAGACTCGTGGATACCATATTATTACAGCAGTGTTGACGGACGATCTTTTACCGGTGGGGGCGCGCAAGGCTGGTGGTAAGCATCGTTTCGTCTCATCAACGATTGAGCTGATCTTGCAGTAGGCGAGAGGAACGAGCAGACGCGACAGATCTCACTCGATGGTAGGAATCCTCAGTATGCTATATTCAGTAGGAAGTCAGACAGTGCGTCGTTTTCCTTCGCTTGCTCTTCTAACGATGGCTATATACTATAACAGAGCAACGACTGCGCCCTCCAGATTCTTACCTCCACAATGTCAAGTCTGCTCTGTCTCTTCTCCATCCTCCGCCTCGCCAGACCGCCCTTCTCGACCTTTATTTGTCCGCTAGCAATGCCGCGTTTCCGATTCTACCCCCGCCCAAACATATTCTGGCCGGCACCCAGTCAACATCCTCGCCATACTCACCTGATTATCCATACCCTTTGCCCGTGCTCTCTAAAATCTATACTGCTGCACTTATCCATGCACCCAGGGGGATGTATAGGCCATTGGTCAAAACGGTGAGGAGGCTGACGGAAGGACAGGAGGCAACCGGTGCGTCGGCCTTTTCGGATTGGAAATCCCAATGGTTACATCGGGCTTTAGGACTTCCAAGGAGCAGTTTAACGAGCATCTCCGATGCACTCCTGGATATATCGGCGCGTCCCTTGAGTAGCGCGGAGGATGACTATCTGATTTTGGCCCGGGTGGGTAGATTAGCCTTCTCAACTTGCCAAGCTATACTAAATCATTGGAAGGCTCTCGCGCAGGCACAGCTCTTGGGACTTCATATAGACCCGACTAACTGGGGTATACCGTCCTGGGAGAAGGATTTCCGACGTGTACTGTGGTGGGCATTACGAGTTCATGACTCCTGGTATGACCCATTAGCTATCGACTAAGCAGGTCTTCTCATTCGTTGTAGGGCTTCATTCCTTAATTCACGGCCTTCTCATGTACAGACGAATAACCATACTGTCCCGTTGCCGTCCATCGCCACTATTCTTTCTGCCACCCAGCAATTGAAACCTTCACATCCGGTGTTAGGTAGCTCACCCGGTCATCTCTCGAATGTTTCTTCTCCTCGTTCGCAGCACCAACATAGCCCTCAGGGACATCCGCCTTCGCAGCGAGGATCGCCGTTTACTCCAATTCGTTCCGTCCCCTCTGTTCCCCTGCATGTTCACTCTGCCAACTCCTTTCTTCACCTATGTCGGCTAACGATTCTTGTTTCGCGACTACAAACGCAAGTGTGTACTCTTATGGCGCCAAAGGATGAACGGCTGGGGCGTGTCGTTGACATTGAGAAAGAGGTGGGATCATTATTGGAGGAAGCGCGTGATGCGCAGAAGGAGGGTGCAGCAGACGCCTCGGGGTTCCGTGAGTCGCAACTTCTAGTCCCACAATGATACTTGGAGTTCATATCGGCATAGCGTCATTAATGACTTGTCTCCTTGGCTTTCGGTGCATGGCAAGGCGTATAGCAATTGAACTTAGCATAGGGCTCGGCAGTCCGTGAGCAGCGTTCCTTTGAATGCCATGGTCACATTGATCTGAACGGGTTGCAGATTCACACCCGATCCGGAGACTTTGGAAAAATATGCTCAGGCTGTGGAGTACATAACTTCACTAGAAGGTCGAGCATTCGATGGGTTTTGGCTTGTTTGTACGTCATCTGCAAGACTTGCAATGGCAGGAACTTAGTTTATACGCATAGATGTCGGCCACATTCTTTCTTCAGTAACATCTTCCCTTATCCGGCTCAGTCTTGCTACCACGGCCTCCCTCGACTCCCCCTCTACGTCTCCTCCAGCCCAACAACACCGTCTTCAGGTCGACACCCGCACGAACCCAATATTTCTTCTTTGTCGTCTGCGATGTGCCCTTCAAAAGGCACGGGACCTCCACCACTGGGACCTTGCCGACGCCGCCCTGACACGGGCGGAGAACGTTGCTTCCTGTCTACAGAACCTGGGCGACGAGTTTGGGAATGTGGTTCTTGCCCTTAAAGGCACGTTGTTCAATCAACACGAAGAGATATTCCTCCAGGCTATGGGAGGACATGGTAATGGGAACGTGGAGGCTATGATCGCAACGGATGTGAGGAACTGGAATATCGATCTCAATGCCTTTGGGACTGGTACGGATTGGAGCGGGTTCGAGGGCATGCCAGCCGTGGGGCCGTCGCCGGATTATGGATTTATTTCATCATAATAATACGGGCATTTAATGCAAGAGAAGCCAAGTAGGCTTAGTGATATCTACTCTTATTTACCCTATTTGATAACCAGAAATCAAAGAATCGTGCATTGTCGTCCCGCATACGGGGAAAGGTCTTACATGTATAGGTGTAGCAAAATATTAATAAATCTCGTTTAGAGTCTCTTCACCTCTATTCCACCCCATTCCAACTCTCTGAACAGATTCTCGTCGTCTTGGCATTCCTTGGAAACCAGTCCCACAATGTCTCTCCACCACTTATATCGTCCTGAGATCGTGAGATAGCTCTAGACCAGTCACCTAAGCGATCCTCGGAAACACCATTCAACAACATAAAGATCCGTGTCACAACATCAGGCAATGGTTCAATCTGAAGAGGGGCCACAGTTTCATATTCATCTTGCGTGTGGGTGTGCTTAAGGATAGAGGGAAGCCAATACCTGAAAGGCAAGGTTAACGTCGGTACCAATGATGTGGGAAGGCTCAAGACGTACATGATGAAGGAGTCTCACGCTTCGACGTGAAGGCCTAACGAGGCGAGGATATTGTCCAGGTAAGGCGTGATAGTAGAAACGGTTAGGACGACCGAATCATTGACATTGAGGTGACACTGGATTGGACTGAAGTTCCTCGCGAGTGAAGACTCGGGTATCTCTTGTAGACGAGATGGAGGAGGAGAGGGAGGCCGTTCGCTATGGTAGGTTCTAATAAAAGCCTCCGTAAGCGATGTACTCAATTGCATAGCTGGAGATGCACACACAGCGTCCCAGTACAAATACGATGCTCGAAGATGTGTGGTGGTCTCTGTTAAAGTCTGGTCGCTGTGTGTGATAACACGCCAGGTGAGAGTTTCTCCTCCTGTTAGTAGAGGAGCGGTGGTAGTGGCGGGATGACGGGAACAGGCGCAGTGCGTGAATCTGGGATTGCAACCAGCGAAATCAGTCACAATAGCCAGTGTTAACCAGATTCGTATCAGAAGCGGCCACCTGAGGAGTAACCAATCCTCTTTCATTCATGATAACCTTCATAGATAATAATAATGACAGCACCTCGGCGCGCGATTCCTTGGGAATATTGATAAATTCTCCTTCGAGCCCCTCAAGTCGATCTGTCTGTATCACCACACGGTTTCTCGGTATAGTGGCTAAGCTAGTAGATATTATCTCGACGGCGTTCTGTTAAGGCTGAGATATGTAGATGCAACATTTAGGAGGGGGCGCACATCGTAGGAGCATTCTAAGGCCCCTTGAGTGAGCAAGACGCGTCTTTTGCCATCATTGACTACGAAAAGTTTATTGTCACGTAGAAACACGATGTTTTCGCGTTTCGGACAGGTTGCGAATTTTTGGCTTGAGAGTAGAAAACGAGCAGTAGTTGCATAGCCACAACTCGCCTTTCGGAAGTCAGGTATCGGTGCATCTAACCAAAAAAATTCTATCCGAGTATTTGTTACATTTCGCGTTCAGCACAATTATACATTAATTATGGCCACAAGCTTTTACGAAAATCTCGATCCGTATGACGATTCGGGCATCTTAATCACCACAGCTCCAGTTAAGCTATCCTTTGAAGGCTATACACGAGTAATTAGTACAAACACAAGTTCTGTGAGCCGAAGTCTCACGGTTGCAATCGTTTCCGAGCCGTCTCTTATCCTGTTGGGGATCCTTGATGAATTACATCGGCCTCGACTCATCGGGCGGGAACTTGAAGCGATTGAAGTGTTGACGTGCCATGAAGACAGCACAAGATTGTTTGATGAGTATTCGACTTCGCCGTGTCCGACGTTAAAGCGCGTACGAGAGTTCAATATCTATGAGAGTTTGAGCGTTCCTGAAAATGAAGGCCTGTGTCGACTTACGACCAAAAGACAATTAGAATATAGCTTCGAAAGGATTAGATCTAGAGCCACATGGAAGTTGTTGTCGTTATAAACGCAAAATAGCACGATGTCTAAGATAGAAACCGTTGCGCAAAGGGCACCGGACTGGACCACCATCCGCACGAACTTGTAAAGAGGAGCGCTGTACGGGTTGTACCCTGATGTAGTGTTTTTCAAGTAGTAGATCATGCTTCCTGCAATGAATATGTCGCAGAGAGCACTTCCGCCTAACGTGACCTACAGATAGTAAGCACCCTCCTTGTTGAGAAAGTTAACAACCTACAACAATTACCTCGGAAATACGCTTCTGTACATCTGAGAACAGCCCGTACTTACGAGCAAGTGCTGCTGTCCACATGCCTGAGACACCTTGGACCAAAGCCAACTAAAAAAAATACAATCAAAGATCGAAATCAATGACATGAAACATTATACCCTCACCATCAAGATGGCCCCGGTGATCCAGATTTTACCGCTCATCGCATACACGCGCCAAGAAAAGAATGAATGTGCGGTACAGCTGACTGACCACCAGCGGGTAAGCATCAATCAGCGAGGGTACAACCATAGACTCAACTGATCGAGGTTATGACGGGAACGCTCAGCCAAATCAGACCCAAGTTATCAAGGTCGGATTTATCCCCCCAGTGGGAAGCAAAAATGCGGAATGCATCACGGGTAGCAAGAAACGTTTGAAGTAGCTCGATAGAATATATGAAAAGGACAAAACATTTTGTCCACCGTCTGTCCTTGGGGAAGGCGACGTAGTAGATATCTACGAGACGCAGCAGCTAAGATACGTGCTTTTGAAGAATGAACAGTGGGTACCAACACACTTGCACAGATAATGCACCACAGAGCCCCCAATTGACAAAGTATCCCAGAAGCTGTGATGAGTGTTATGAATGACAAAGCAGTATTGTCCTTGCAGAAAGGCGCACCATCGGTCCAGTCCTAGTGGTTGAGTGAGTTGCATTGAGAGCCAAAGGTAACTAAAAAATTCTTACAATTCGACGATTGGAGCGTCTGACATGATGAGATCCTACACGGAGAAGAAGAGCGAGCGACTATCGCTGGTCCACTCCCCCGTATATATGTAAGAGAAATCTGGATCAATAGAAGAGGCCAGCTCACAGCCTCCGCTTACTATAATTCCTGGCTCTGTATCCGATCATACTGGTGAAGCGCGTGCCTGTTGCGTGTGAGACACGAAAGCAAAAGGTTCCCTTTCTGCGGATCTGATCCATCATCTAACTGCCGGAATGCCACTGATGAACTGAGGTTGGACTGATGCTTAGTTATCCATAAGACGCTGCAGCTGAAACAGGGTGATGGAGTGGAGTGTTTGTGTTGGAAATCCTCGGTGATGCGCAGGGTAGACTCCAGGCTGGTAAGGCCAGAAGGTATAAACTCCTTATTCTACAGCTCCTACAGAGCTTGTATTTATACTCCCCAGACTTATATCTAGAATCTACTACAACTTTCTCTTTCTCTCGAGCTTACTCATCAACTCTCGGCATGATGCCGGATTGCTCTTTCTAGAACTTTCCAGCAAAATCCCAACACTCCCCTTCAATACGGCATCCTGCCGCAATATTCCAGAATATCCCAATATATCCTAAAATGTCCCAATATCCCAAGTCTCCCCTTGAAACTTGAAATAGTCCGAAATTTCCCAATTATATCCCAAGACTTGTGACCATTCCCTATCCTCACCCATGCTGCAGGAGCCCCAAATGCTACTTACAGCCAGCTGATCCCAATATCAAGCTAGCCGGACCCAGTCTAAACCACAGCAGAAACACATTCCTACCAAGGGGCTTAAGGGAATTCACAAAGATATAACCAATTTTCCACCAAAGTTGCCTCAAAAGGCATATTCCATTTCTTCATCGTCGCTCTGCACAATATTTGCAGCATCGGCACTTTTGTTCCATTTTGTGCGACAATCACGACTAATATGGCCAGTCTTGCCACATGCGTGACATCCGATGTTCTGCTTCAGGCCGCTTGATCCCTTTGATCGTGCGATCAGAGCATTTGTCACGCTACTCATAGTAGGTAATGAATGAGGGCGAATTAAGAAGTCGAGATACCGTAATCAGAGTCTAATCGTGCCGGGGCCCATAACCTGTTGGAAATCCTCGGTGATGCGCAGGGTAGACTCCAGGCTGGTAAGGCCAGAAGGTATAAACTCCTTATTCTACAGCTCCTACAGAGCTTGTATTTATACTCCCCAGACTTATATCTAGAATCTACTACAACTTTCTCTTTCTCTCGAGCTTACTCATCAACTCTCGGCATGATGCCGGATTGCTCTTTCTAGAACTTTCCAGCAAAATCCCAACAGTTTGGGTGTCTAAGAACGCACTTTGCATGGGGTATGGAAATTTCCCGTGGCGTGCCGCCACCGACGCGTTATGTCGCGAGTGTCACCGGCACGTGCTGCGCATCGCATTATCACATCGTCACATTCCTGTACTACTCCCGTTTCCTTTCACTGCGACCGCTAGGCCACCTGCGAAGATAATCTGATCAAGGCGGCAAGCATTTCTACACCAGCTTTTGCGCCGTCTAGTACTCGGACAGGCGGCAGTCCTGGGTTTGCTTCCGTCGCACCTTGTCTGACCAGGGGCTCCATTCCAGCCATTCCTGCAGGGTACACACTAAGAATTTACCTTACAGATCAGAATACCATACTCACCAGCACAACCTAGAAGAATTACATCTGCACCCTGTGATGCCATCTTTCCGCTCGCCTCCTTCATTTTCTTCTCAATCTTCTTTCGGTCCCCTTCTCTGAGCTCAACAACGCCGAGACCCGTCGTGACAAGACCGGCAAATCTTTCCGAGTTGGCACCCATAAATGCGCGTACACCGTTATACAGGTTGAACTTGTATCCCGTTCCAGTAGTCACGACGCCAAATCGCTTCCCGACGAGTAGGGCTTGCGTAATGGCCGCCTCAAATATTCCAACCGTAGGCTTCGTCGTCGCTTCGCGTAGCATGTGTGCTAGCGGATGGTCGGAAACTGATATGTATGTGAGTACCTCGTATATGTGCAGTTTAAGCTAGCATCACTAACAGCAGCATACCAAGAACCCATCGTGCTCCTCCAACAACAACTTCTCGAGGATATCCTGGAAACATGCTGTCGCCGTCAGATTGGCAGTTACGATATCATTGATGGATGGAGGCGCATGGCTAGGGGCCGTGTAGAACGTCAGTTTCGCCTCTGGGGGAGCCACCAGGGTCTCTGCCAGGCCATCGGTAATCGACTGTGAAGAATTGGGGTTTATGACGAGGATGGATGCAGGAGCCATGGATAATAGGCTGAGACGGCCATCGCTTCGTTTGGGTCGTTTGGGTGGATCATGGCGTCACATCAAGCCCAGCGAGCATTCGCCCCGGCCAAGGCGGCTAAAGGCGGCAGTTAACTCCCGGCATGACGACGGTAAGTAACAGCCCCGGTATCATTGTGAGGGGTGCCGAGAAACTAAATAATCTCGGTTCCTCTAGTGCCCGCGAAGATCTTCTCCACAGTAATCAATGTCATCTACATCGAAACCGACTCGGCCTATCCTTGTTCTAGGATTCGGCGTCATCGGCTTGACATCTGCTATACGGCTCTTACAGGCCGGATATAATGTCGTTGCCGTTGGAGCTCATCAGCCTGGAGACCCATTGACCGCCATCTATGCATCAACTGCGGCAGGAGCTCATCATCTCTCGTTCGCGGCAGATGAAGATCTTCGTCAACAAAGGCTGGATAAGCGAACGTTTGATGTTATGTGGGAAGAAGAAGCCAGAGAGGGTGATGCGAGCGCTTTGATGAAGCTTCGGCAGGTTGAATTCTATGGGTCGGACGGCGTAAAGCATATCAAATTTTACGAGTCTATGCCGGATGTGAGTGCTTTTACCTTGAAATATTTTGCTACTAAAATGGGCAAAAAGTTTCGCGTCTATTCTCAAGATGAACTGAAGCCGTTTGCTAAACATAGTGTTTCCTTCACTTCCCTCACGATGGATACCTCTCCCTACCTGGCTAAACTCGTCAAGATTTTTGACGATCTTGGAGGCACCGTGCACCGTGCTATCCTTGCTTCTCTTCGTGACGCGTTGGAATTTACAAAGCCACAGACGCCTCTCGCTATTATCAATTGCACGGGCCTAGGATCGCTTAAGCTGGGTGACGTTTTGGATGATGAGATGTACCCCGTCCGCGGACAAGTCATTGTTCTCGACGCTCCCTGGATCAAAGAGGGTCGTACAAAGCAGATGGGTGATCTTGCGGGCGGAGAGGGCGGTGACAGAACATATATCATCCCTCGACGCAGCGGGCAGGTCATCATTGGTGGGACGAGAGAGGCCGATGACTGGTACGCAGCTTGCTTCTGCCACAGAAGAGTTTCTGAATCATTTTCCAGGAATTACGATCCGGTGCCAGAAACCTCAGTGGATATCAAAAAACGCGCTCTGGAGATATATCCTGAGCTTGTCCCGTCTCATCTGCGCGTGGAGGGCCGCACTCCTGTACCGGAGGACCTTGACTCTATTCTCATCAGGGAAGTCGTTGGCTTCCGGCCAGCGCGGAAAAGTGGTCTTCGATTAGAGAGGGGGAAGGATTTGGAAGTCAATGGTTCGTCTGTCCTCGTGTTTCATAACATCGGGCACTCGGGAGCGGGATGGCAGTCAAGCTGGGGATGTGCAGAAGAGATAGTCAAATTGGTGGATCAAGCAATGACATAAATGTACAAGTTCAAAATTGGGATCGAATATTACGCAGGGGAATCATGAAGTGTTTTGAAACATCCCCATGTTATTCGTGCTACGAAGGTATGTATTTGAGATCACTTGTGGACATATAGTTGAAGAAAAGATGCACTGAGTGTGACTTCAAAATTCAACAGGTGTTTCTTTGTTGCTCCAGCTCGTCTGTGCATACGTGAATCCAAGGCTTAATCTCTGATTTCGTGCTCTAGTGTGCCGCAGTTCATATCCAGATAGCCTGGGATAAACATAATGTCTTTCATTCATCAAAAGTGGTGAAGGAGGTTGGCCAATAATTGACACGAACTCCTACATCATCTTCGTGAGTAAATGGCTTGTAACTGAGGGAATATTATTGCCTCAGGGAAGCCGATCGGAAGTTGCCGGAATGTATCCATAAAAGGGAAGACTTCAACCGGCCCTAAACAGCGTAGACATCTCAAAATTTTTTTTGCATCGTCCTACTTCGTTCACTGTGACCGAAGGTGACGATGGAGGTGATGGAGTCTATACCTCCTCTAAGACGTGTTGTTCTCCCTGGTGAGTGTGCCAACCGTATCCTTTCCTGTTTATTCTCGTACTACTGTACGGGACCGACATCTTCGGTGTATATGATGTTTGAGGCATTTGGCTTTATGCAGGGGATATAACCTGCACTGCAGAAACTTATCTCAGCTACCTTCGGGCTTTGACCCGCTATTTCTGATTATTCTCTTCTTAACTTTGCTGTTTCTTTTTTTCTGACTGTTTTGTGTTCCAGTTTTATCACGCCCTCGTTTGCTAAATGACACAATCTTTCGACTTCGAGGAGACCAACTCATTTATTTCGGAAGTGCCAAGCGATGCTGCTTTGATCCTATTTCGGTTTATATCACAGTGAGTGATCTTACTATGCACTTGCCCTTCCGTACATGATGTTTGAGGCATTTGGCTTTATGCGGGGCGACCTGCAGTGCAGAAACTTATCTCAGCTACCTTCGGGCATTGACCCGCTTTTCTGATTATCACTCACCTTCTGTCTTTCTATGAAAATATTTGTTTCTGACTATCATGCTTTTCAGACTGCCTATAGCACTGTTATACACCACACAAGCATGTAGAACTTGGCTCCAGCGAGATCCGGACGATCGAGCTCCTTCAAGCTAACCTCAACGTCGACAGCGCCTTTGGGGAATATTCCGCCGTCCCAGAGAGACCGCCACGTCTCAGGTGAGTGACAAAACATGCAATGGGTGCGGCCACCCAGAGCGACAGGCTCTTCGCGGTGGCCTTTAGTTGGTAGACCGATGTGTGTTCCGAATATCATTGATCCTGGAGTCGACGATAGCAATATAGCCATGATTTTTCCCAGCTGAAGCTGCTGTTCCTCGTTGAAGAGATGGAAGACGGCGGCTGTGTGAATAGCAGATATGTGTCCTCTGAGTTGGCCAAGTGACTGTATTTCTGAAATGGGGGTGTTGACGGGAGTGTTGTCCGCCGACAAGCACTGGAAGACATCTGCTGCAATAAAACGTGCCGGGAAGCTGTCCGGTGTGCTCTTGAAAAGTCTGTGCCCAAGCGTCCAAAATTCTGCGGCGCACATTTAGAGAGATCTTCGAGAATAAAAACACATGTTCACCTGGGTGTAAGTCAGTGGCGATAATTTGATTTACTGGAAATCCATCTACGACTGCTTTCCGAACATCGTTACCAACTAGCCCGCGAAATTGGTTGCCGCAGATCGAAAACATACCTTGACACTCACAACAGCACCCGATTTCGGCGTATATAGCATCTTTGCGCTTGCGCCCGATGGCCAAAAAACGTTGATATGAAGGATGCCTCGAGATTTTTAACCTGGACGCCAGCGCCATCGCTGGGTTAAACAGTAGCTTAAGCTTGTGAGAGTTCGCAACTACCTCATAAAAGAGAATATGCGTATACAAGGATACGGTCGTATCTAGTCAAAAGTTGAACAGATAATTCAAATACCTTGTCCAGGCCCCAACTCACCTTGTAAGCTTCTGCCTGTACGGTCAGTATGTGGCTTTTCAATTCATCGTCATCTTCTATACCAGTTTCCGATTTGAAGAATGCGGCTTCGTCCCCCGATAAGCTATACAGCTCCGGCCTCAGGGGAAGAGACATGATGGTAAGGAGTGAAGACAGGGTCACCACAGTGACCTCCCCGACGATCACTGGTGCAACTCGCTCGAAACAAAACCACCAAATTCATTGCCATTTACAGCTACTAAAATCTATTCTCAACAGCACTGAGCACAACGTACAAATACACTCCAAGATACTGTATAAATGAATGGATACATTCTATGACTGCTTACGTTGCTCCGCCATAGCGTTTAAGACATCCTTGTCAGCGGACTCATTCACCAGGGACTTCAGCTTGCCTTTTGGATTGGCCAATAGATTCTTGGGGGAATCAAACTCCACCTACAGGATGGACATTGAGTCATCATGAACCCACGTTTCTTAATAGACTCACGATGTGACCGGCATCTAGGACCATCTAGACGAACACATTTAATTACCAAGGTTCATCAAAGCAGCAACGTATACGTACAATCTTATCAGCGTCCATGATCGTTTGTAGACGGTGCGCTACAGTGATCAGCGTCATGTCTGGGCCAAGTTCATTCCTTAGTGAAGACTGAATGATCGAATCGGTTTTGTAGTCTGTAGAACAGTATCTGTCAGTATATTCTTTTGTTGTTTCCAGATAATAATGCGTTTACCGATAGCAGATGTAGCTGGAAGATAACCATCAGTGGTGATCTCTCTCAGTTTCGTACGGCAGAAGCTCACCTTCATCGAGGATAAGCAACTTGCTTCCTCGAACGAGTGCTCGCGCTAACGCCAAGATTTGCCGTTGTCCCACAGACAGGTTGCCACCTCCGCTAGCAATCGTACTGTCCAGGGTTATTCGGCCTTCTTCCATTTCGTTCTGTAGCGAGAAAAGGCCAGCTGCGCGAAGGGCGTCGTTCAATGTGGCATCGTCGTATTGTTCGAAAGGATCTAGATTCTGTCGCAAGGTTCCGCTCAAGAGCTCGGGCTATTGAACGCAGAGCTAAGGTACAGACCAGATAGATCGAGAAACTAATACGTACTACTTGGGGAATGATGGTTATCTTTGACCTCAGGGCATCAAGATTAACGGCCGTGGTTGGAATACCATCGTAGTAGACCGTACCCTCGGTGTAGATGCAGCGAAGTAAGGATAATGTTAAAGAGCTCTGTGGACATATGGATGAGAAGCGTTCCTAGACATAGACTATTTCCAACCTTCCCAGATCCGGTGCGTCCAACTATTCCGATGCGTTCCCCTGACTTGACGGTAAATGATAGATCATGCAAGACCTTCGGACCATCAGGAGAATATCTGGCTGACAATTTTTCTACACGGAGCTCTCCGCTGGTTGGCCAATATGCGGGGGGTTCTCGATCCTTGGAGGGTTTTTCTTCTTGTTCCACATGGAGATAGCTCTGTATACGCTCCAGACTGAAAGAATATCAGAATGAAGCCGAAGCAAATGATCTAAAATAGCCAACCTGTTGCCTACGAGAAATATATTAAGAACACAGATTTACAACGAATCTGGAAACGACATACCCTGGACTTCGAATTGATTTACACAACGGACCCACCAAAGTATCATTCCGCTGACACCTATCGCCATATTCAAAGAGAAGCCGATGTTGAAAGCTTCGGTGTCTTGGAAGTAGACTAGATATGCCGCCAGACACGCCGAAAAAAATCCACCAAGTGCATCGATTCGAATGTCAATCCATCGGTTAAGGTTATAGAACGTTCTGGCAGTCCTCGTGTATTTATCGATTCGCAACATAGATTCTTGGATGAACGCATTTTGCGCACCATACGCACGGATAGAGGCTACATCAGTGTTTAAACTTTCGGTATCTTCCAGACAATTAAGTAGGACTAACTTATGCCAGAAATAGCTGCCCCGAAGCTGAAAAGGATTTGCATCAGTGTCGAAAGTTTGACAACCCACTTCAAGCAAACGTACTGTCCCAAAACAGGCGCTTTAGCATTCGACATTTCTCGCTTAACGGAGAGCTGTGCCTTGATGTAAATCTGGCCACACCATGCACCAAGGATAGCCACAAGGATACCGGGGAATAAGAACATGGGAGTGAACGCCACAATCGCCGCAAATTTAATCAGCATCGCCAAGGTCAATTCGCAAACAGTAAACAGGAGTATGGCAACCATGCTGTCAACTGTAGGGTAAATGGCTTTTGATAAGAGCGTAGTTGATGCTGAAAAGAGCTTCAAGTCATACCAGCTCGTATGTCCTGTGTACATCTAGTAATGATCCGTGACGTCGGCGTAGTGTCCAGCCATCTAATATGTACTCAAATCTCGCAACATCAATGAGCAGAAGGGATTCATACCGCAATGTCGTTCCAAGGATTGACTCGATCAGCTTCTGGTTTATTATCCGAGATGCTCGAATGGCGCCGAAAACGAAAACGACATACGCAACGATATAAAATAGGAACGCGCATAGCAAGAGCAAACCTAATCATAGAATTAGTGACTGACGGAGCAAAAAGACATGCTCATACCATAGACACCAATGTAGCTATAGAAGCTGTCAACACCAATCGATAAGCTGTGGTAGTAACTTACTAAAATACATTAACCTCTGACGGATCACGGTCCCCATCATACTGTGATGCCCAATAACCTAGGAACCACGTTTGGCCTGTGCCCAAGGCCTGCTGCACGATGTATGAGCCAACAAATATTACAAAGAAGAGCATCGCATGATTCCCCCCCAGGGCAGTGAGATAGAGTTTGACTGGATCCACCTCGACATATTAGAAAGGTTCAATAGACAACTCGACAATGCTTACGCGATGGCCAGCTGATGTGCCCCTCTTGGATCTCTTCAGTCATGATCAACTTACCATCGGGCGACTTCTTGTCCTTAACAGGATGTTCTATAGTGTCTTCTTCTGTATCCTCAACATCGATCTCCTCATCAGCTTTATGCAGCGCCTCTTCGTCCTGTTGCACCTCCTTGGCGAGAGCTCGGTTATGGGAAAGCGCATTTGAAAGCGATCCTTGACTAGCAACACGTCCATCTTTCAATGATACGATGAATTGGGCTATAGGCTCAGCCATGGCGATGTTGTGAGTCTAGTGTACACGAGATCAGAAGAATTTTAGATAGTTTAGTAGATTCTGCCCACCACTAGTATGACGGTTCTGTCTTTGATCAAGTCGCCCTTGAAGCATTTGTCGATGATCCACTTTGAGGTATGGACACTGCACAGAATTGAGGACGGAGACACTTCTATGAGATCGGAAACTTACTCAAGAGCAGCCAACACGTCATCCAAGAGGATGATATCGGCCTTGGAATAGATCGCTCTAGCAAGAGTAACCCGCGCCTTCTGTCCACCACTCAAAGTAAGTCCTTTTTCTCCTACCTCAGTCTGATCACCCGCTTCGAATAAGGTCAAATCTCGCTCCAGACCACACTGACGGATGACTTTGTTATAGCGCATCTCATCGAACTCGGCACCGAAAAGAATATTTTCCTGTACATGCGGATGTCAAAATACGCCCTCGATTTTATGCTGACAGCTTACCTTAATGGTCGAATTGAGGACCCAAGATTCTTGGGCCGCGTACGCTACGCCACCTTCGCGTGGCAGGTTAAACCATGAACCAGGTTCCGAAGGGACATAATGCATTTCGCCTGAACAAAATGATAAGGTATTGTTTATACGACAAGTCGTACCGTAGTATCCTCACCTAGTAGTGCCATAAGCAACGAGGTCTTTCCTGATCCAGTAGGTCCGATGACAAGATTGATGCAATTCTTGTGGAAAATCAACTCTTCTTCAACACGTAGGAGGAACTGTCGCCCGGAAGGAGTAGCAGAGCCTTGAACATCATTGGACCAGGAGAAAGCTGCTTTACAGAAGCCGATAATGTCGGTCGTTGGGATTTCAGTAGGAATAATTGATGTGACGGACGTCCTGGCCAAGTAGTTGTCAAGCAGTTCGGTCTATGATAGACTGATTATATTAGTGTTTGTTTTTGTTCATCACCTAAACAACCACGCACATTGTGTATGAAATCTGTTAATCGATCCAGAGAGACTTTTCCGGCTGCACTCACGGTCACGGTGTAGAGCAACCTATGCAGCTGGCCCGAAAACATATCGAATATAGCCATACTAGAGAAAACCTTCGCAGAACTCAACTGTTGTTTCATGATAATAGTCTGTGGAGATGGTAAGCGATTTCCGACTACAAGAGAAGAGACTGACACTAGGGATATGTCAGTCTGTGTTTTCAGAATAAGTTGACGATCAGATATACTTAGTAAGTAGCGTAAGTCGCCATCATCGTTAACACGGGGATAAGGAAGCTAAGCATTCAAGGTCAGCGTATTCGGAGGCAGGTTCAACCAGACCAACTTTATGAGTCCACTCAAAAGGTCAAGAAGTTGTCTTTTCCTAATCCACACAAGCTCTTCGTCCCTCTTGCTCGAAATGCGTTCATTCATCTTGCGCTCCCAACCAAACAATTTAACCATACGGATGACATTGATAACTGGAAGGCCTTTAGTCTAATCAAAGGATAATTATAGGTGCCACTCACTTTCCGTAACAGTCTGAACCCGTCCGTCTGTTTTCTTGAGGGTGGCCGCTTGAACATCTTGTGTCAGCTTGGCCAGGAATCCGGGTGCAGGAAACATCAGAATAATGACTGCCAATCCAACAAATGCACTAGACATATGGTAAGTATTAGATGTCAACTACAGGCTACTAACAGACTCACCTCCAACCAAGAATTACATACAAGAATACCACACAGAAGATGAGTTGCAGCGGTACAAAAACAAGTAGGCGTATGAAGTCTCGACTATCAGCGATGTTCGCTAGGTCAGTAGTAACCAAGTTGTTGATCTTCCCGACGAGGTTCTTCGCCTCAGCATCATCTTTAGCAGTAGTTGAAGAGGATTCCTTTGAAGGTTTCGCAGGCGATTCTGTTATATCATCTGTCGATTTGATGCTGGATGGGCTTTCTGGTAAAGTTTCATCCCTCGAATGATCGATTTCAGTTTCGGGGGGACTGTGTGAGTGCAAGGTCACGTCGGTGTCACTTGAACCTTCCACCAAGTGAGCCGTTGAATCCAATGGGGATGGTGTCGATGCACCACTTGGAATTTGGGGTGAAGCCGGAGAACTATGAGTCTCGGCCTTCATACGGATACGAAGGGCATGCTCGAAGACAAGCTGTGTTATGATTCCTTCGCAACGAACTAAACATCGAGTCTATGAAAGGATCGTCATTATCTATGAACATAAAGGTGAATATGTATGGCTCACAGCAATGAAAATATACCAATCAAAGGCTATTGATGTTGTTATAGGTCCTACAAACAACCAAACGATCCACAGCCACGGACGGTATAGGGAATCCTTTCCCCCAGTCTCAAGGTAGCTGTATGAGGCTTTGTCAATGATGATCAAGATTTGGCTGGAGAAATACATACTGTAATAGACGGTTAATGCCGATAGGTGCAGCGAATTCCGCGGAAAGTTGGACAATCATAACAGCAACCAAAGCGACATAATCCCAAGCAAAGACACGCATAAGACCAAAGAACAAGTGGCGCTCATTGGCCCCTGTAAAAATATCTAAATACTTGAACGAGCGGGCTTTGAGTGTTTTGGACGCGTCGTAGTCCGCAAGAGGCGGCAGTTGATCATACGGCAAGTGGGCCACCCGATAAGCCGCCTTGACGACCGGATCCATCCAAAAGTACAAGATCAATGAAATGAGAGGAGTCGTCTGCTCAGGATGGGGTATCGGGAATGGATCATTGGGGTCAACCGGGATATATTCCCTCGGAATGAACAAAGGGATCACAATTCCAGTGAATAGAAGCGCCGCGATTTTGGTCCATAGAATCCACCCCTCAGGTGCGTCCCGTGGAATGTTGATGAATGTCGCTAATGGCGCAACATCGCGATAGATATATACACTTGTGGTGACAACCAGAACGGCATTTAAATGCCTTATCGCGATATGACACCAGTTTTTTCTCGCAGTAACAGAAATGATAGCCAATAGAAACGTGTACAGCTAAGGCTCAAGTCAGATGGTCTCTGATTAGAGGAATGAATGAAAACATACGAAGGTGAAGCATAGACTTGCAGCGAGCCACTCTTCCGGCTCTAGCCACCCATCACCACGGGGTTTTTTATTGGGCTTCTTACCCCATTTACCCGAGGTTTCCAATTCCGATTCGTTCTCCTCGACGTCTAGAACTAGGCTTGTGATAGAGAGCCCTAACAATACAAGGCATCCAGCTAGCCTCAGGACACGAAAGGTGAATATTTTTGCACCTCCACTCTGTGAGACGTGTTCCTTCAAGTCCTGGAAATATCCCACTGGTTGAATGGTAGCTTCAGCTTCTTGAGGCTCCTCATCCATAACTAGCGGCGCATCATTACGCCTCCAGAACAATTGCCTTACTCTTCGCGAGGAGAAGACAATCTGAAGTAAGAAAATGGCAGCCGAGGCGATAGAAGCGTATAACGGGATGATAAAAGAGTCAGTCAACCACCTGTCAGGAATAAAATAAAAAGCTAAGCGCCATTCGCAAAATGACTCACTGCTTTTCGGATTGGATCACGAAATCCATAACAGTCGAAGGGTCTATAACAATTTGGGATGTATCTGGTGCATTCATCAACGGCCCAAAGAAATGAAATGAAGGTGCCATCTTGCGATGATGACCGTTGTCAACAGACGATGGCTGGGAGTGGGACGCCTGTGGATACTTATAGCTGAGGCACAGTGCGGAGAAAGGTCCGATACAAACGTAACCACGGATATCAATGAAATCAACTTATCTGTCTTACGAATCCCATGAAACATATGGCTTGGCTGTCGACCCTGTCACAGACACGTTACGGTACGCGAGAGTCAACCCCAATGTTTTTGTGGCCCCGGAAATTCTGAATCGTCTTTCGTGGCCTGTTCTCATCGTTATTACCAGAGTCATACAACTGCGTGTGTATGTTTCGCTCAAGCTCCACCTGTAACTTTGGCTGAGGAAGCCCACTTGTCAAAATTGAAAATGTGACTATCTAGATGGGACTTTGCCTGTGGCAATCGAGGAACAACGCAATGCGCATGATTTCGCTATCAAGGCACCTTAATAGGTGAAACTGCGTAAGTTGTTACCACGCAATCCGAGGTTCAGATAATAGCTTGCAGCTTATTTTACCTTCTGGACTTCGCAGGTAGAATGCTTTAGCAGTGCCATGTCGAGAAACTGCGAGTTTGCTGGCTACGTAAGATGTGGCGAGGAGAGAGCTCGGCAACAAGTGGAGAGTCTCTTATTGCGATGTATATTCCAAATAAAACGCTCTGTGAGCGGAACGATGCCAAAATTCATTCGTACTACGCGTCAGTGTGGCGACCTGAGGGTTTATAAAGTCAGTTCATTTGGAACATCATGATCAATTCACTCGGACTCTTGACAACTTTCTCTCTGCATAAACCCAGTGTCTTCAATCAACAACGGAAACGCTGTCTTCATTGCTTCCGGTGAGCCCAAGTAAACTCGTCCTACCTTTTGACCACGTTGTTCTGACTTTCTCGCGGCAAGACCACGGATCAATGCCACTCCGTAAAGGGCACCGTCGGGAACCTTTCGTGAGCCCGATTGTAGCAGCAATCCGGAAAGGAAGAGCACGCAGCCAGCGAAGCTGAATATGATGCTGCTCAAGCCTAGAACGGTGGGTAACAAGGACTCTACTGCCGGTGCTGTAAGGGGCAACAAGTCACAGGAAGCTCAGGTTGAGCTGAATCTCAAACCACAAAATACAAGGACGGAATGCTACTATGCTGGCTAGCAACTTGAAACATGGCGAGGGCCAGGCTCAGCAAGACGCAAACTGGCAGCCGTAGATAGGACGTGACAGAAAGATTCGAAATAATCGTTGGTCTGTATGTTATCCTAGCATTTTATTCATGAGTCTGAATAAACGAAGAACGCACGAGATGATTTTAGCACGTAGAGTTCTGTGGAGTTCTTGAATGGTACAAACATTCTCTACTTGTGAAAAATGCCAGGTACAACGAACCCGTCTGCCCATTACATTGTATACGTCGTAATACAAGAGGTCCTCAATCAATGAGATATTTGCGCTTGAAGAACGCGCGGAGATGCATGATTTGCCACACTCCTAGACCCGTGAGTGACAGGATCGTGAACCAAGCAAAATTCTGGACGCGTTGGTTGGTGGACGCTGAAAAGAAAAGTCAAGAAAAGTCAAAATGCTGGCGCACAAGTGGTATGCTGCTATGAATACGTACTATTGGTGTCCGTGAACCGCTCTTCACGCTTTTTGAGATAGCCCATCTCATCCACGATTTCCTTCACCAACCCCTCCAGCTTACGCATTTCAGTTTCAAGCCCGGATAGAGACTCTTGGTTTGCAATGGCACTAGAAGGAACACGATGAAAGCCTGATCATTGAGACACGTAAAGTAAACGCACTTGTAGTCAACAGCATCAGCACCGATATCGACATCCAAGTCGATTATGCGAGACATTTTTGACGATTCTGACCGAACATCTACCTATGTGTGAGACAATGCTCGGTAAGAGAACAAAGGGAAGACATACCCGGGTCAAGATGATTCTTGAAACATACTCCCACTTCTCCCTCGGCGTGTGTCGTTATAGCCAACCTTGTCTCTGCATTGACGTTCCTCTTACTAAGGTAAACATTTTTCTGCGGACTCGAATCAACGATCTCTATGTCCACCCTCTGCTTGTCTCCAGGAGCAACATTCGCGGTAACAATGACCAGCGTGTCGACGTGTGCTGGATTCCATATGCATTTTGCTGGGGGGTATCGGTATGCTTGTAGGGAGAACTTTATGGCATACGTTTCTAGAGGTGCCAGAAGCAGCAAAGAAAAGAACCACATCCATGAAACCGCCAAATCCTGTGGACGACGTGGAGGAGGCATCGAGGAGGGTATTTACATTTATTGACTTGTCTCCGCGGTGACAAATATATGTCAAACATTGACCTCATCACTTCCACCGACGTGCAGCCATGATGCAACTGTGCAACAGCCTCCCGCCTGCAGGATCTTCCTTGCCTTGACGTTAGCCTCCATCACGATGTCGCGAGTTGCGGACGCAGCACGCATCGCTCCCTACCTCACCCACGCAGTCAGCCACCATGGCCAGGTCACCCTGATACCACCAGATAATGCTGGTCGTGTCCGAAAAACAAAGGCAAAGAAGGGCCCCAGAAGGGCAGAAAGGCGACGGGATGAAGAAGAGATACGATTTAATGTAGGACCACGGCATGGACACACGAAGCCCTCTACTGGTCGAAATGCGACTCGACAGCCAAGACACCGAGATGACGACGGTATGTTTCGCTTCTTTCAATGGAATGGAAGCAATACTCATTATCAGATAGAAATGAGCATTCCTGACTACCCTCCACCGTCGTTCCTCGAAGCAATTTCGACACCGCCGTTGTCCGTCTGTCCCAGCACCACGACCCTAGTAACCGCGCCTCGACAGACGAACTGTACCTCAAATTCACCCCCGTCCCCTACGAGTCTACACTCGGATGCAGACTCGGACGAATCGATCGAAATTATTGAAATGGCCTCAGTCATTGGCGCGGCTGAAAACCAGGTGAACAAACGGTTTCACAAGAGGTGGGCGCCGTCCTCCACACATAGCGACCCAGTACATAACCGCGGGCGTAGACTGGGCATCGAGCGCGCTATCCTAGACTCCGATTCCGACGATGCTGAGCCATCACCGCCACCACCGAGCCGTTCCAGGCATCTTTCTCTTTCCCCTTTCCGTCTTTTGTCGCCAAAGACTCCAGCCACTCAATCAGACCAATCGAACACTCCATACCGGTTATCTTCGCCATTCTTGAGGAGTACGACGTCCCTACGGGCGACAATGTCGTCTTCTTCCCTCAGACTTCCGTTGTCACCCTCATCTTCGCCGCGTGGAGACAGTCCTCTTGGACGTAAGCTATTCTCAAAGGGCAAGGAACGTTCGAGAAGTTGCGAAACATTGGACTCTTGGGAGGTGTTAGAATCAGAGCTGGAGCCGCCAACGAGCTTGCTGTCTGCAGTAGAGGCGGTATCGTCTCCGGATGCGTCGCCTACACAAGATCATCCTTTTCCATCCCCCAGCTCCAGCTTTCCCCCACGTACTCGCCGTTCGCCTCCGCCGCCGCCACCACCTCGTCATGGCGTCACCCGGCCTCCTCCCCCGCCTCCCGGAGCCGCACAGCCTCATATTCTCAGCCAGCCCTCATCACCTCTAGCGTCTCCTATAAATTCTCTGGAGGCGAACACCGCGATCACAACCGAGCGGAGCAAAATTTCGCTGCCACCGCCAGGTCCGCCTCCTTTCCCATCCGACGTTGAAGCACCTGGTCCATCGACCAGTACCAGCCAATACGGTCCTTCATTGCCTGCTAACGCAGAATCTCCCGTTCGATCTACGAGACCGTATATGCATCCTTTATCAACTGCATCCTTTCCTGTATCCCCTCAGTCTTCCCCATCATCGGCCGGACCCTCTCCAGCATCTTCTGAAACACCCACACGCCATCATTATCTCGGAAGACCATTGCCACCCCGTCCTGGGCAGGTAACCACCCAAAATATTCCAACAAATCCTGTATTCTGTGCCGAGGACCTTCTCATCGATTTTGATGAACACACCCCCGTCGTCACGCCGGCCGCTTCCTCTTCTGCGCGCGAACTAACAGACTTTGACCTTTTGATGGCAAGTTTGGAGCGTGACGACGTGGCTGATGGGTCGAACTACGACGTGAGATCTCTTGATGCTGTTCACTCCGTCCGTCATTCTGACTTTTTCAAAATCAAAGACGTTGTTACTGGTTTCGGAAATTATGGGGCCCGCTTCCGCTACGCTCACTCCGTCTTCGCCTCCGCTGCCCACGCCTAAGCTAGGCCGTGTGTCGGTGGAGCGGCGGAGGGTGATGAAAGACGGGAGGGTGAAGTTGAAACTGGTCTTGTTGGAGAGAAAAGTGGATCGGTGTGGAGTGTGTTTGGCGCAATTCAAGGAGGCTGATAGGGGTGCACTGAGCTCGAGCTGTGGGCATGCCTTTCATGAGGTGTGTTTGAGGAAGTGGCTGATGAGGAGTCGGACTTGCCCAATGTGTCGGGAAACGTTGGGTGGAATGTAGGATGCTGGACATCTCTTTCGTAGTATCTCTTGCTTTGGACGGTACTTTGTAGGATGACATATAGGTTTTTGTATCGATTAGTGTGGAATACAGACTTTGCTGAATTGCTAGCTCTTTGCAATCCTCAAAAATATTACGACATTATACTTTTTGAATGTTCTTATACCTAGCTACACCGAATCGAGCGATTGAAAAAAGGAGAACCCCACAAGCTGTGCAGAGTCCTGCAAACACGATAGGCTTCCACCGTATATATGACAGGGCGCCAACGACTAGAGTCCCTGTAAAAGACCTTAGAAAAATACTGCTTCTTGTCAGAAAAGGCCAAACACTCACCGGTGAGTCCGCCGACCTTGATTCGAATGAGCCATGTCACCAAATTCCAATTTATCAATGCTTAGAGCTCACCAGTGAATGTAAAACATATTCCCATGCGCGCTCCGATCTCTGAGTCTTTCCGAGCTAGTGGACCAATCGTCGGTGCTAACAAGCCCATATCTAAAGTCATGACGCCTAAGCGGGCGATATAATAAGAACGACATACATACAGCCCCCCGCAAGTAAACCGTAAAGCGCGGCGAAAGTGAACGTTGCAACAGCACTCTTGACTGTTATTGAGCAGAATATCAGAATCGAGCATATCTCGACGCAGGGAATAACGACGTTATATATCCCGATCCAAGGGGTTATCGCCGGCCAGAAAATCCTGTAAATACGTTCATCACTGGTATCTAACGAGATCGTAAAAAATGAGCAACATTTGGCGTTAAGAAGAACTAACCCAATAAAAAGCCACGTCTGAGCTGACGCCATTTTTGATCGCATTTAGCTGTAAGAGAAAGACAGGGAAAAATGGGCCAGCGAGAGTGACGAGTCCTGAATATATCTCAGGTCGCACAGGTTCTCATCAGCTGTATTTTTCGTACCTTGCAACCGTCGTAGCATACGTACCCTCTCGGAAGAAATGACTCATGACTAAAGGGACGTTCGTTCTTTCCTTGGGCTCGGCGGCAATCGTGTTCGCATCAGAGTTATGACTACGAGCAATAGGCCGGCGTTTAATGCAGCACTGATACGAACGCCTTTGTGTGGAATCCCACGGGTCCGTGAAACAGTTTGTTTAACATTATAGGTTACATGAGACCACCCAAGCCTGCACCCTATGGGGAGGTTAGCCTGATGTTGACTCTTCATGAAAGACCGCTTACTGAATTCGCAACTCCAATCGCGAAAGGGCGCCGGCGCTGGAAATAATGGGATACCACACTGATACGTGGGACGACATACATTAGTCCAATTGCCAGACCAGCTCCAATCCCTTGAGCTAGAATTATCTGTAACTGAATCAATTCATTAACCTTCAGGCGTCGCGGATCGCACGAACCTGACAAAGACAGCATGAATAGACAGAATATGAACCATATTCCTCCTCCGATCATGAGGAGGTAGCTACGGGACAAGTTAAATCACGGAGGCAGTATCATGAAGTCTCAATTTGTTAAGACGCACCTCATGTGACACGACGTATCTGTTGGTCATGTATTCTCGGACGTAAAAATCTGGCTTCCAACGTCGTCAGAAATGATTGTAAACGCCATACGAATTTGTGTACCTGTGATCTAATGACAAAGCGAGGAAATAGCAACTACAAGACTATATACCCGAAGGTAGAAACTGGATAATCCACCTGGAGAGTTATTAGCCCATACCAAACAGTTACTAGGAAATCCTTACACTCCAAAAACAGTCATCCATGTTTGGAGTCCTCCCCCGGGAAAAGAACATGAAGTAGCATTGACAGAAATAACTGCCTCTTGGTTCACAGACTTTTCCTCTATCTGCGTGCACTGGCAACTCTCCAAGTTCTTGACAGGTTCATCAACGGGATGAGGTACGGTCTATAGTACACGATGTGAATGTCACGAACGATCATAAGTAGCCCCGAACCGAAATTCGCCATTACAGTTTACACAAATAGTATCGTTCAAGTGAAAGGAACCTTTAGACTTTATCGAGTCATACAACCAACCTCATACATAAGTAGCCAATTTTCGAGATAAATCTGCTTTCGAGTAATGAAATGCATTTTATCGCATTTCAAATCCCGCGCCGGAAGCATTACTCTTTATCCCAGTGAAATTCAGAGAAAGAGGAGCAGTGTAGTTGGCCGTCTGGATACTAAAACCTTGAGCTTGAATCGCAGGGTCTGTGCTATGCATATTGGAGATTCTGGGAGCGAATGGTAGGTAGGCCGCCGGAAAGCACACGGAAAGACGTTTTGGTCCGCGGCTCCGACGTTTCCTTAGCCGTCATGAACAACCGCAACCGTGCGCCGGCTCAAGCAGCATGAAGTTCTCGTGGAAACACTTGAACGCTCGTGTAGAGATTCCTTTAACTGGTTTACACATGCCATGAAGGCTTAGTAATTTGACAGCTCGACGCTAAAGGCCACTGCAAGCTTTGAAAACCTAGTGCTCATTTAGGACATTAACAGAGTAATAAACAACTAACCGACGTACTGGAGCATATGATCGAATGAAAATTCTGGTGAAATATCTATTCGGTCCGTAGGTCTATGCACGTCTAGGAATGCTTAATTTTGAGAGACTTGGAATGGTCAGCCCTTAGATGACACTCACTACCCCGATTCATATTCAGCCATTTGCCTTCTGTGCAATGGCATGCCTGGTAACCCGCCTTCGTCCAAGTATTGTGGTCACTAGCGCCATAACCCGGATACGCGCTTTCCACCCATGGAATATCCACTATTATAGGTAAACTTGAGAACGAAAAGTTTGGAGAAACGACGCACGGTACGTTTCGATAAGTCTCTTCTGAAATTCTGTAAGGTCACGGTCGATATTGTTGGTCATGACGCTAACCGCTTCAGTCGTGCCAGTCTTGACCCATGCCTGGCGCCAGGTTATTACTCTGTGGTACATAAAGAGAAGGGGAAGGGACGCACTGTCATGTCGTACTGCTGCATAGCCTTGACTCTTTGACTTGCCTTTTCATATACCGCTACAATGTCCTGCGACCCAAGGAGACCACCCTAGCGATTAAATATATAAGACGACACCTACGTAAGTTGTATGAGCAGCTCACCTCTTCAGCGGCATAGAAGTGAAACTCCAGAGGCGATGCAGGTATATAGTTGGCAACCAGAAGGGCTGAGAATGACGATAAGATCTGATTGCAAAACATGGATACGATACCAACCTCTGTAAGCCTCCAGAATGGTGACAGTCCCAGAGCCGTCATCGTCAGCACCAGGAGCAGGTCCGAATGGATTAGCCAGATTCAAGCTATCACAATGAGCACCGATAATTGTCGTAGGATCTGTGTCTTGAACACCAAGTGATGCAAATCGGATGATCTGAGAAGGAAAGAGGGCTGAATTGGACGCGAAGGAGTAACATGTATGCACATACAACGGAGGTCTGCAACCAAGAATGTGTGAACGGTTTGACGGTAATCATCGCCCTTTGCTCCTCGCTTGCAAGCTCGTTTGTGTAGTTCTGAATTTTCTGTAATAGCCATTCGGAACTAGCTTTCCCAGTATCAGAGTTGTAGTACCGTGTCCGAAATGAAGAGAAATATGCAAGGGTTTCCGCGAGATACGTAGTGGATAGGACAGGAACGATCGTGCGGACGACATCGACTGCTTTGGCGGTATCGGGGTAGGAGAAACGCTCCTTGGGCGAGAAGGATCCGAGGTGAGGATGGTTCGTGCTGCCTAATATTATAGCATCTACAGTCAAGATGCGATGGTAGCTCACATGTCGAAGAACGTTTGACCAGTGGCCCTTGCCCTCAGCTTCTCTCTTTCCGTGATCCACACTGGGGCTTCTTGCGGCGCGAACTGTACAAGTCGCAGAGCGTCGAGGTCGACACGGAACCCTGAACAAATTCAGGTATGAGCGGGAACTTCGTATATACGCAAACGCACCAGTGATGTTTTCGTGATTGTCAAATTGAAGGTCGGGACCCAGAGGTACTTGATTGGCTGCGACACTCACGAGGAAGATTCCTAGGACAGTGAGGGATGGAAAGGCCATTATTGGGCAATGTCATATCTGACCGAACGCCAGCTCGTCGGCGGACCGGAACGATACATATTTTTCATTCTTATATAATGGGCCCCACACAGAAATAATCATTTATTATCTTTCATTCAAAAGAAATCACAACTCTTGAATAAATCTCAAAACACCTCCACCGGCAATCGGTGTTGATAGTTGCCGGTACCTTGTGACAATACAACCGCCTTTCACGCAAGACTTGTATCATACTTAGTAGCTCTACACACCAGAAAGTCTGTAGTCCTCGAGTCTGCAGAATATCGTAGATCGAAAATCATTCGTGGATGGGACCAAAGGCAATTAGGGTCGGGAGTCGCGCTGTAATCTGTGCAGTATTATAAATAGGTTATGTACTACAAAAGATGAAATCAGCATGTCAGACAGTAGAGAAGCAAAGGACGTCAAAGAAAAGTGTTGCAGAAACACGTAACATGGACGATGCAGCGTACTTACCTCTACATCTATGGGTACAACAATGGTCACAGACGTCGCGTCGCTTGTTCTACGACATCCTGTTGGAGATGAATTAAAACACCGTCTTTCTGCTACTAAAAAAACTTACTTGCCGTCTCTCGACACCAATGACCTTCCTCTCCAGCTCATCAAAGCGTTTCAGCTTCATCTACAGGGGCCGTCAATAAGGCGGTCATATGGGTAACGGCATCATGACATACGTCGTGAAAATCTCTAAGCATCCTCGCCTGCTCGCCTTTCAGCTTGTGGAAGGCCTCGTCTAGTTCATGGTGCCAGGGATACAAGACCGTCCTAGTAAGACACCATTGTCAAAGGAGCTGATGTCCATCAGTGGTCAAGCAAACGCACGTCTGGAATATGAAGGCGGCAGTAGCGACGCCGAGCGAGAGGTAGGGTCTACAGAGCCAATCCAGGTCAGTCTTTGTGGCCCAGCCCACGTCGAATCAGCGCACATGAACTTGTTGACTCTAGGACCGAAGACCATTGCTGTGATGTAAGAGGAACGGGTAGATAGATAAGAGATAACAAGAGATGATAGTAGAAAGAAGACGTCGAACAACCAGGTCACACTGATATACGAAGGAGACGAGCAGAAAACGGAGGAATACGGAGCATCGGAGCATCGGAGCAAGACTTTCATCGCACGCAGTTGCTGGCTGTGGCTGTACAGCACTGGCGGCACACGGCACAACAATGGTCCTTTTGGCGATACCTGCGACGATGAAGACGAATACGATGCTTTTTTTCCTTCTTCTTACACTCACGAGAAACTGGTGTGGTCACCGGTTGATGGTCTATAAAGGACAATGCCTAGAGTTCGTATGCTTCGAACTAACACCGTACAAAATTAGAAGCATGCATGCGTCGTTGTGGAGGCTTATCTCTATTTCACTGCAATTTTCAAAATCGCTCATAGGTTGTCGATAGGACCTTGGAGATTCATATACGTACATATCCGGAAGACATCCCGGAGACATCGGTCGACTACTATCATCATATCATCATATCGATAGCGTCTTCGGGATGTCCTTCTAACTCGCCACATTTAAGTTCCAGTATTCATATTCAGTCTCTAAAAGAACTATGAAACACTCAGAGAAAAAGACAGGCAAACCGCAATCGATTCAAGTAGCCGTGCTACTAAAATTACACAGTCCATGTGTTGATCAACCACCGCTACGTTTCAAATTCCCAACTATCTTCTGGCTATTCCTCTCTGACTCGAACAGTATATCTGTATGTCTTTGCATGGGGATGGTTTCGATTCCATGCAGACACAAGATCATGTGGCACACGATATATGTAAATGTATTCATTCTCTCCCGTCTTCGGATGCTAGGTCAGCAAAATCACCGACGTCGACACAGTCTCGTAACTCCATGAGGCGGTACATCCCCGTTTGTTCTGTCCTTCGCCCTAGCCTGGAATCTCCCATGGAACTTCCGCTCCATCCGTTTCACCAAGATGATGAATGAGGCGGTCACCGTACCTATCCAAAGTTCTTATACATGTCCAAATTCGAATTCGTCTGTGTCTCTAGCGTGATCCGAACATTGTCTGTATCTTGCGTAGATGGAGTTGGTGGTCCCTGGTGCTTCTTTCATCAAACCTTCATATGTTCCTACTTATCAGCTGGCGTACTAATAACCCACCCGCTGTTACATTCAGCTTTTGTGATCCCCCTTTCCCAACCCGAACTTTGTGCCATGGTTGAACCGGTTGCCGACCACGAAAAGGCATACGATAGTAGCGACGAGGTTCATGGCCCACCCCCAGTGATTTACGAGCAGCCAAAAGGCCTCAATGGATTTTACATGAATCCTGTCACGCAGGTGTGTCTGTCTCATTCTCGGGAGCTACTTTCTTAATTTTCTCTAGGTCGCCTTGTTGGGGGTCGTTTGCTTTATGGGACCTGGTACGTTCCCCTGTGGTCCCTTCATCTCTAATCATTAACTATTTTCATAGGGCTGTTCAATGCCTTGACTGGGTTGGGAGCCGGTGGGCAGGTCGATTCTCAGACCAATTCCAACGCAAATAGCGCCCTCTACTCGACATTCGCCGTTATGGGGTTCTTCGCTGGGTATGTAAATAATGGGTTGCATTTCCACTACTGTTCATTCTTCATAGCTCAATTAATAACATTCTCGGACCAAAACTTACCCTCTTGATTGGAAGTATGGGTTACAGCTTGTACATTGGATCATATTTGTGAGTGTCCTGGTCTTCTTCCTAGCTACCAATAACCAATTGACGTTTTCAGGGCGATGAACATTCATTCTAACGCAGGTGGCTTTGTCGTCGGTGCAGGAGCCATCCTTGGGCTATGTGCCGGCCTTCTGTGGACCGCTCAGGGTTCACTGATGATGGCGTATCCGACAGAGTCGCAAAAGGGCAAGTTTATCGGTATTTTCTGGTCTATTTTCAATCTGGGCGGCGTCGTCGGTGCGTCTGTTGCCGCTGGGAGAAATTGGAAGTCAACAGTATGTTACTGGTTTTTTCATGCGCCGATGCGATGTTCATTTGAATCGTCAGGCTAATGCTGTTGATAATGGCACATATGTGTGTGTTTTCTGTCCATTCTATAGCATCATCTCCTAAGCGCCTGATCAGATTGGTTTCTTAATTCTTACCCTTATCGGTGTTCTGGTCCCGTTGCTAATGGCGAACCCAAACCGCATGATACGCTCCGACGGTACGAAGGTCACCACGCCTCGTCAGCCTTCATGGAGAACCGAATTCATGGGTCTTTTCATTACACTTAAGACAGACCCTATGATTGTACTTCTCTTCCCTATGTTCTTTACCTCTAATTGGTTCTACACATGGCGTCAGTTTCTTGGTCTTCATTTCGTACGCATAAACTCATGTCATCCACAGAATTTAGCGGCTTCAATGGCGCCCTATTTAGTATCCGTGCTCGTGGCCTTAATAATGTTTGCTACTGGATCTCGCAAATCATTGGTTCCGTCCTTATTGGTTTACTCCTGGACCGGAAATCCCTCAGTCGTCGCGTGCGGGCCTTTTCCGGCTGGACCGCGCTCTTCCTGATGGTGTTTGCGGTCCACATCTGGGGATATTTCTACCAGAAGGAATATTCCCGGGAAACTGTGCCGCCAGAATCGAATAAAATGGATATCTACGACCATGGATACGCGGGTCGGGTTATGTTTTATATCTGCTGTGGCATTCTCGATGCGATGTGGCAAACGACCGCCTATTGGCTTATGGGAGCTATGTCAAACGACCCATCCAAGCTAGCATTCTTTGCCGGATTTTACAAGTCCCTTCAGTCGGCAGGTGCGGCAGGAAATTGGCGTGCTGATGCTGTCAAGGTTCCGTATATGAATATCTTCATTTCCACCTGGGTGTTGTTGGTTTCAGGACTTGTCTTTGCGTTGCCGATGCTCATTTTGCGGGTGAAAAACCACACCGACCTTGATGATGAGGTTTTGTATGTCGTTCGAATATCTTTAATGTGTGTATCGTCGCTGACATGATGCCTCCGTATCTGTACAGGGCGCGGATGGATGACCTAGGGCATATCCGGCCTGCTGAGGAAGTCGTTGCTGAGATGAGCACCAAGGAACATACACCATAGGTTCTCTTGATGATCGGAGGCGTTTGTGTTTTACGATTTACAAAATTTACATGGACGTGAATGTGTTCTGTTCTCCTTGGGAATCTATGTTCGGTAGGAACTTGTAGCAAGAATTGGGGTGACATCTCAACGACGGATGCTTCACTCCACAGAACGATGGTAGCTTCTCGAGATCTCATCGAAAGTGGAGTTAGTGATAATCATGAATGCATATTGACGGTGGCCGTTAACAATTCATGGTACTATCGCTCGCGGATTTGGTAATGTGATGAAAGTGAAAGAGGATTCCTGAGGCCAAGAATTGCTAATAAGAACAAATCAGCGCCACCGCCGCAGCTTCGACGTTGAGATGTTTCAATCAGCCAAAGAGGCTGCGCTTTCGCAGCCAGCTTGAGGAGGCTTGAGGAAGTCGCAGCATCGAATACAGGTAGTTGTTGGTTAGATGTACAGAGAAGACTAATGTGGCAACGAGCAATTTGCCTTATTACTACCACCATCACCGCACGCGTCGCCACTGTCCATGTCGTTCAAGAACCTCGCCCTCTACCCTGCTAACCCTACCACAACACGTGGCGTCTCTACGAAGCTCAGCTCAAGCAAAGGAAAGGTCGTGTATGCCAATGGCAAGGCCGTCATCGTGCGTATCGATGCTGATCAAGGTTGATGCGTGAATGATCTTGGACGTGCAGATACGCGATTTGAACGTCAGTACAGCGATGAAAGTATGAAAAGCACGCTCAAGCTACAGCATTGCAGAATCCAAGCCTGTCCGTGGCATATTCAGGCCATGTTCAGAATACCACCGTTGCTCGTATATCACCATCGGGATACTACTGCGCATCTGCGGATGCCGCGGGAACAGGTATGGATACTTGTCCTTTAACAAGCATGTCGGAGTGTTCACATGTGGGTCGCAGTCAGAGTTTGGGATACCGTTGGTGAAGATCAGACGCTGAAAGGGGAGTACAAAGTCATTTCTGGGCGCATGTACGTCGTGTCATTCTTCATGTGCCTTCCGTCTGTGATCTAACGTGTTGTCTACAGCAATGACCTGGAATGGGACGGGGAAAGCAAGCGAATTATTGCAGTCGGAGATGGAAGAGAGAAGTAGGTCTTCTGTATGAGGGTCTGCTCACTCTGACGCGTGAAACACGAGTTAGGTTTGGGCACGCCTTCATGATGGACACTGGATCATCCACAGGAGAAATTATCGGACATTCCAAAGTACGTTGCACCGACAATATTATAGAGCATGTGCTTACATCCCTAGGCCATAAACGCTGTTTCCATCCGTCATCAACGACCATTCAGAGCTGCTACTGCCGCGGACGATAATCTCATTGTATTCCATCAGGGAGCTCCGTACAAATACGACAAGGTCCGTCGTATAAGGTAATGGATATCTCATGACCTTACTGAATGGCAGAATTAGACCATCAAAACGCATACCAAGTTCATCCAAGATGTCCGATACGCTCCATCTGGAGACCACTTTGTCAGTGTTGGATCAGACGCTAAGATTTTCATCTACGATGGCAAGACAGGCGAGACCTTGAGCGAATTCATTGACAGTCCCCACAAAGGAACCATTGTAAGCTACGGACCGCTGATATATTTCTCCTTCTGACGCCCGTTGCAGATGGCTTGTTCCTGGAGTGCCGATAGCAGGTCTATTGTCACCTCGTCTGCTGATTGCACCGTCAAACTGTGTAAGAGGTCTTGGCATTGTCTGAATTTCGTGTTGACTCTTACTCTAGGGGACGTTGAAACGCGAAAATCTGTGGCAACATGGACTGTTGGTTCTGGTGTCAACAATCAACAGGTCGGCAATACCTGGAGCGCTGAGAACGGTATTGTTTCTCTGTCACTCGGGGGAAACCTTAATGTCTTCGATCCAAGAGTCGGCGACGAATCAACAAAAACTTGGACTGTACAACTTCCTTCTCTTAAATACTTGGCAATCGCTGATTCCTTTTTAGGCACCACAGAAGGCTATCACGGCAGTATCTCCTTCCTCCTCTGGAACGTTCCTCACAGGTTCAGCAGATGGACGCGTCTTGTTGTATTCAATAGCTTCTGGAGAGCCCATGTCATTGAAAGGCGATGGACACACCAACTTTGTCACTGCATTGGCCACTTCCTTAGCTGATGGGAAAGTATTTTCTGTCGGGTTTGATGATCGGGTACGCGAGATAACTAGCGATGGCAAAGAGTTCACGTTTGTAGTGCCTCAGCAGTTTCTTCATGAACAGTCGTTAATTCTTGTGCTTAGGCCGGCTTCGTTGTCAACAGCATCGCAGCCGAAAGGAATAGCTATTGCAGAGGATTCGTCAGTCTTCATTGCTGAAGTTAACACAGTCGAAGTTATCCGCTCGAACCAGAAAGTGTTTGAGATAACTCCGAAGTTAGCGCCAACTGCTGTGGCTGCGATAGACAAACTTGTTGCTGTCGGTGGGGAGGTTAGTCTATGCGGTCCTGTACCATTTCTTGCTCCTGACTGCGGGCATAGCAAAAGGTCTCGTTGTATGAATGGGACGGGAGGAGCTTGAAAGAAGTAGGCTCGTTGGAAGGGAACAAGGGCGTGGTCAGTGCCCTCGAGTTTTCACCTGATGGTAAATACTTAGCTTCCGGCGATGTCAGTGGTAATAATTCTGTCTTGCTTTACAAATCTAATGGTTCTGTAGTCTTCTGGCAGAATTGCTCTGTTCGACGTGACGGACAAGAAGGTCAATCGTTCTGCCATTTCACTCCGTTGATTTACTGATATTCCTTTAGTTGGTGACGTCGCGTTGGTCCTTCCACTCTGCTAGGGTTAATTCGCTTTCATGGACCGCCGACTCCAAGCATTGTGCATCTGGCTCTTTGGATACTAATGTATATATCTGGAGTGTCGAGAAGCCGATGAAAAATATTGCTTTGAAGAACGTAGGGCCTGGAGGTGTCAGTGGTGTCATTTGGGTCGAGAGTGGGGATGGAAAGACTGGGAAGCTCGTTAGTGCTGGTGCGGATGCATGTGTCCGGGTGTGGGAAATCAAGTTCTTCGCATGACAAAGCTTAGTGGGCAGGAAATGGAATCGTTGTACAAGGAGCATTCATTACATAATGTAGGATTATTAACGTAGATTGTTTGTATACGGAATCGTTGAAATGTAGAAGTCCTGGGCTACTTTTACGTTCGGTCCGGTGTGCCGAAGTTCAAGTAAGGACCAGGGTTAGGGTCTTGGTTTCCTTCCACGTTGAGCTCAGGACTCTGTGCCGACACGACAGAAGAACTCTATTGGCCATGGCCGACTATAATGTTGCGCATCTCCTCATCATTGGGCTACTTTTCCATCTCATCTTCATTTACTCCGTGTTCGACTGCTATTTCACAAGCCCCGTTGTCCATGGAATGTCGAGCTTCAATGTAGGTTACAGGGAAGCCAAAAGACTGGTTCTCATTGTCGGTGCGTCGCTGTATTCTCTCAGAGTTAACGTAACTTTCTCAAAAGATTCTCGTAGGCGACGGTCTGCGGGCAGACCTTTTATTTGAACTGAACGGGTTTTCAGCATTCCCCAATACACCCGGTGTCGTCGCGCCCCATATACGCTCTATCATTGAACACCGAGGCGCTTTTGGGATATCACACACTCGAGTGCCTACCGAAAGTCGACCAGGACACGTCGCAATCATCGGTACGCGTCTTTTACCTAGCGTCTCGTCATGCTCAGGTTATCAAAGGCGGAATGTATGAAGATGTGTCTGCTGTAGCCAAGGCTCGTCCTCTTAATAATCCCAACTTCAACGCAGGCTGATATTATCAAAGGGATGGAAGACGAATCCAGTGAATATGTCTCATCCCCTACTAGAGAAAAGAATTGATTGGTCCTTCAGGTCGATTTTGACTCCATCTTCAATCAGTCAAGTCACACATATTCCTTTGGATCTCCGGATATTTTACCAATGTTCACTCGTGGTGCAGTCCCAGGAGTAGTGGAAGAATGGAGCTATGACGAAGATGCGGAAGACTTCACGCAAGGTTTTCTTTTTGCCTTGTAAACCTCGTGGACTGAATTTAATCCTATTTAGATGCGACAAAGCTCGACTTATGGGTTCTCGATCATCTGCGTGATCTCTTGCACAATGCCACTGTTAATCCTACTTTGGATCGTCAACTCCGCTCGGATAAGGTAGTGATTTTCCTGCATCTTTTGGGCCTGGACACGACGGGACATTCATACCGACCGCATTCCCTTGTTAGTTGGAATTTGATCTAGTGTTACTTGACACTGATAAGCTGTACTAGGAGTACATGAACAACATTCGGGTCGTCGATGGAATCGTAAAAGAGACGGAGAAATTGATATCTGACTTCTTTCAAGACAACGAGACAAGCTACATCTTCACTGCAGATCACGGCATGTCTGTGATCGGAAACCATGGGGATGGAAGTTAGTCTGACGTTGCTATTTGCGATCTCTAACAAACTTGACCTTATTCAGATCCTGACAGCACGCGAACGCCCCTCGTTGCTTGGGGAAAAGGAATCCGTGGGCCTCTTCCTGATTCGATTCCTTCTTCGCATGACGATTATTCACGGCCATGGGGCCTTTCTCATCTATACCGAAGGGATGTTGAACAGGCAGATATAGCCGCTCTCATGGCCGCTCTAGTAGGCATTGACTGGCCTGTAAATTCTGTGGGCGTCTTACCCGACGCGGATCCTACCCGGCCTGGTTATTTGCTTCCCAAGAATGGAGATCAATCACTCGCAGTAGCTGCCTTTGTCAACGCAAAGGTTAGTCATACTATTATTTGCTTGTCGATGATATTGAAGAACAACTGCAAGACAATATTGGACAACTATCGAATTCAGCATGGTAAGCGTGAATTTATGTCCAACGGCTTGGCTAATAGACGAGCAGAAATCAAGAAAAGACATAAGAACTTCTATAGACCATTTGCACCATTAGAAGCGGCAACGAAGTCAGGATATTCTCGCCGGATAGAAGCACTTCAAGAAATCGAGCGTTCTATATTTGAAAGTGACTGGTACGGCGCTCGTGTCGCTGCCCTTGATCTCATTACCATCGGCCTTGAAGGCCTTCGTTACCTCCAGACGTATGAACGGACTTTACTGCGAACGATTGCTACAACCGCCTACGCTGGATGGGCAGCATACGCATCGCTGTTTGTTTTCAAACCAGGGGGTCCCGCACGACGATCTCCAACCATCATGGCTACAGCGTTCGTGGTGCTGTTAAGTTTCTGGGGACTTTTCTTCTCAGAGCAAGCATATTGGACGTATTATCTATATATAACCTTTCCGTGTTACTTTTGGCAGCGGTTCCTATCGCAAATTCTTCCTCTGTTGAAGCTTTCGACTTTCAATGTTTCGCGAAGGCATATTTGGACAACTATTTCAAGATTTTGCTTTATATTTTCAGCACTGATAAGTATGGTGGTGAGTGGCGGCAACTGTGTCTCTTTCCATCGCGGGCTTCTCATCTTCTAAGGTCGCTTATACACATCGATCGATTTGGAGCATCGGCTTCATCGTAATTGGTTTTGTGTGGCCTGCTACGTTTTGGTCCTCTGAAGATAGAGTCCAGGTTGCTAGGTCCCAATGGTTGTGGATGGCGTCTTGTCTCGTAACGGCCATTTTCCCGCTACTTAGCGTAGACAAGACGGAGACTCTGTCTTCGATGTGAGTCGGTTTACGCTCTCTGAAATTCCCGATCATGACTGAGATATACTAGATTACTGGGAGGCGGAGGCGTGCTTTTTATTGGAGCCTTTATGATTAAACAAGTTGCCAGATCTGCTTCAAGGTCGCTGCTTTCGATATTTTACACTCAAGTAAATCCTTTCCCACTCCCTTCTAATAATCATTAATTCCGTCAATCAGTGCTTGCTTGTTGTGATCACTATGATCGTCACCGCAAGTTCGGTACGGTGTCTACAAGCCAAGACAGGTTTACCCTTGCTGAATCAAATATCCGGATGGATTGTGTTATGTACGTTGTCATCTCGTCTTCCTCGTTAGTCACTGATCATGTCGATGACGTCCAGCTGTATCTTCACTGCTTCCGTTCTTCTCTTGGGCCAAGCACTCTACCCCTGTGTCGAAGATTCTGATGTACTTCCTCGGGTTTGGGCCGTGTTTCGTTATCCTTTCCATCAGTGTTGAGGGCATATTCTATGTTGCGTACTCTATGACCCTGTTGTGTTGGATTGAAGTGGAGGCATCGCTTCGCAATTCACATTGTTCCAACCCGGGAAAAGCCGGAAGCTACCACTTTCAAGCAGACGATTTGCGTATCGTGCTTTTCTTTTTGTTCTTCGTGCAAGTTGGTTTCTTTGGAACGGGAAAGTAGGTCAAACAGTCTTTCACGTTCGACGTTTTCTCATATGGACATTCCAGTGTGGCATCCGTCTCGTGAGTATTTGCAGTATGTCCTTTTTGAATTCTTGGGCTGACCTTTGTCGTCGACTAGCTCATTCTATTTGTCTCCAGTGTATAGACTGATACCTATATTTAATCCGTTCTATATGTCGGCATTACTGGTGAGCCCGTGGTATTTATTCCCTATTCTCACTTACGTTCCATTCAGTTGTTCAAAATTATTGCACCGTACATCATCTTGTCCGTGGCATTTGCAACTTTGACATACCGGTTGCATCTCCCCCCATTCGCTCTTTTCCTCAATGCTCTGATGATAACAGATGGTCAGTATCACCGACGTCTTTGAATCTAGCAGTGCAACTGAAGTGTGATCTAGGCATGACCGTAATATTCTTTTTCAACGTCACGGATACCGGTAAGTATTTGACCTCTCTCTTCAGTCTACTTCCTTCGTATCTGATGATATCTATACTTTAGGCTCATGGTTGGAGATTGGCCAGACAATCAGTTTCTTCGTGGTTGCATCGCTGTTGCTAGCGTGGTCTGGAGGGATATGTGCTGGTGGAGAATACTTGATGGCCGATGTGCTTATTAGATCCCAAAAATTCCACGTAGAATAGAATAATACATCATATCGAGCAAGGCAGCCGAGAGTGTGGGGTACAGGGATGGTAGCTGCACCCTCGTCCCTCGGTCCGATGTTCCGGCAGTCGCCCAAAGTTTGCTCGTGTTTGAATTACGGGTCCTTAGTTTACTCCCTCATTTCCTCAAATCCAAGATGCAGGACGGTCGTGCACCACGGTACGCGCCTCTTTGAACGCTGAGAGATACTCTGATGCTGTTCATTAGCATAAAAAATCGGGCCCCCGCGGCTATCCAGGTGTGCAAACACGCAAGCTCAACCAACGGTTTTTTGGCTAACACATCCTCAAATAGATTACCGCGGAGCAGCTCTTGCGGGAGGTATGGTATCTAAAATACGGGTTGCTTGATACATTCTTACTTTTTCTAGGCTCAAGAGCGGCAGGAAAGTGCCTTCCGGGCGCCAAAGCAGCGCGTTGAAGATTTCGAAGAACTGCATGAATATCGAGGGCGAAAGCGGAAAGAATTTGAAGAGCGGGTTCGAAGAACGAGAGGCAGTATGTAAGTGCCAACGCATGTATGATATGTCGTTGTATTGACCCTTCATTTAGCAAAGAATGGCTGCAATACGCCAACTGGGAGGCCAGCCAAAACGAATTTGCACGGTCCCGATCTGTGTATGAACGAGCGCTCGACGTCGACCCACGGAGTATCCAGCTATGGCTATCATACACAGAAATGGAACTGCGCTCACGGAACGTCCAGCACTCACGCAACCTTTTTGATCGAGCGGTCACTCTTTTACCTCGCGTTGACCAACTATGGTACAAGTATGTCTATCTAGAAGAGTTGTTGCAAAATGTTCCCGGTGCGCGCCAGGTGTTTGAGCGGTGGATGCAGTGGGAGCCAGACGACAAGGCTTGGCAGGCATACATCAAACTTGAAGAACGGTACAACGAACTGGACAGGGCGAGTGGCATCTATGAGCGATGGGTAGCTGTGCGGCCGGATCCCAGAGTATGGGTCAAATGGGGGAAATTCGAGGAAGAGAGACAGAGGATGGACAAGGCTCGCGAGGTCTTCCAGACTGCACTCGAATTCTACGGTGACGATGAGGAGCAGATTGAAAAAGCACAGGCAGTTTTTAGCGCCTTCGCCAAAATGGAGACCCGAATGAAGGAGTATGATCGTGCCAGGGTGATCTACAAGTTCGCATTAGAACGGATACCTCGGTCCAAATCGAGCGGTCTGTATGCTTCGTATACCAAGTTCGAAAAGCAGCATGGTACCCGCTCGACTCTCGAGAGCACAGTTTTGGGAAAGCGACGTATACAGTATGAGGAGGAGTTGTCACACGACGGTCGTAATTACGATGTCTGGTTTGACTACGCAAGGCTAGAAGAAAACGGTTACCGGGATCTTCGGTCAGAAGGGGGTACGCAAGAGGAGGAGGATGCCGCTGCAGGGAGGGTACGGGAAGTTTACGAGAGAGCCGTGGCACAGGTTCCACCTGGCGGTGAAAAACGGCATTGGCGGCGGTACATATTTTTGTGGATCGATTACGCTCTTTTTGAAGAGATAGAGACTAAAGTACGTTGTCTCGTTATCCCTTTTGGGAAGAGTTACTGACCATGGTTCAGGATTATGAGCGAACGCGGCAAATTTACCAGACGGCACTCAACATAGTCCCTCACAAGGTTTTCACATTTGCAAAGTTATGGGTGATGTTTGCCAAGTTTGAAGTACGGCGTCTCGACCTGCCTGCGGCAAGAAGGATTCTGGGTGCCGCCATTGGCATGTGTCCGAAAAAAGCACTGTTCAAGCAATATATTGAACTTGAGATAGAGGTTAGTGCTGACAGAATTGATATCCTAACTTGCGCCCTTATATCCTATGTAGCTTCGTGAATTTGACCGGGCTCGTCAGCTGTATCAAAAGTACCTAGAGGTCAGTCTTCGATTCAACGATCGTCTTGAACATACCTTTATATCTCACTCCTCAGTTTGACTCCGCAAACTCTACCGCGTGGATCAAGTTCGCCGAGCTCGAAGCACAACTGCATGATTTTGCTCGGGCGAGGGCGATCTTCGAACTCGGGGTGTCACAAAGCCCACTTTCGATGCCAGAAATCCTATGGAAGTCGTATATTGACTTTGAGGTGGAAGAAGGCGAGAGGGAGATAGCCCGTTCATTGTACGAGCGGCTGATCGCTCTGAGCGGGCATGTTAAAGTGTGGATATCGTACGCACTCTTCGAGGCGGAGCCTATTCCTCTACCGCGTGCTATGAGGGAAGAAGAGGAAGAAAATGAAGATGACGAGGCCGAGCAGCGCATGGTGGCTGGAGATCATGACTTGGCCCGGAAAGTGTTCGACCGCGGTTACAAAGATCTCAAGAGCAAGAGCTTGAAGAGCGAGGTACGCTTGACACATTTATTCGTCTTGCATCGTTCTCATCTTTCATAATAGCGTGTTGCATTGCTCGAAGTCTGGAAGAGCTTCGAGGAGACCAATGGAACACCCGATGATGTCGCCAAGGTCCAAGGAATGATGCCGATTGTCAGTAAGAAGCGGCACGTCGACCAAGAAACTGGGCAGACCGTGGAAGGTATGTGGTACTTATATGTCGTCGTTTTAAACATACTTACGGCGGGATATAGACTGGGATCTGGTGTTTGCGGACGACGAACGGGAGTCCAACCCTACGTCTTTCAAGTTCTTGCAGATGGCGCATGCTTGGTCCCGGTCTCGGAATGCCCAAGGGGGTGGATCATCGGCGACATTGTCTGGATTTACCGTTGCACAGAATACGGAGGCAGATGATGCTGCTAGTTCTCACGGTGGAGATGATTGATCTTGTAGCAGATAGGTGTAAATCATATGGTTATGTATGTGTAAAACTAGTCGACTTTTCATTATTGAATGGACATTCTTTATGATTGTGCTAACATTACATATTTCCCTGGACGTTGGTTGTGCGTATATACAACTGTCACCTGACGTATAGGGCGATGGTAAAGTAATATGGCCATGCCATGTCCGACTTCACATAATTCTTCTACATCATGGTTCTTCATTCATGAACATATATAGTACGCGTGACGCCGCAGTTCTGTTCTTCATAGCGCTATAAAAAACCTATTTAGACGGAAGCCTCAATTGTTTCTCAATCGCTCTACCTTCGCAATGACTCGAACGGAAATGAGATCGCATTTGTCGTCTGGTTTTCCACTCGTGCTTAACTGTATCCAGCAAGTCCACAAGATCATATCACCCTATGCAAGGAAACTCGTAGAGATTGTTGGCATCTTGATTGGCTCTAAAGGTTAATGACTGTGCGGTGTCGAGGAACATTGAAGGAGAAAGACGGAGTACAGTGCTACTCGCACTCAGGGTTATGTGGAGGGCACCACCGACAGAGTAGGGGGCTACAAGGACGCCGTCGTTGGCTCTGTTGTCGGAGATGAGTCTAAGTGGGCCGCAGGTAAGATGTGTGTTCTCTTTGAAAGGCTTTCTGCTTATATGCATAATGATTTTTAGGCAATGCGTGCCAAGAGAAGCGACAAGAGTAGGGATTAAATCAACGAACTTGAACGCAAGGCCTTGAATGTTTCGATACACGACCCACTTACTTTTCTTCCTTTGATCTTACGATTCAAGCGTCCCTACAGTGATGTACTCGAATCATAGCAGCGTTGCCCATTATCTTTCGTTTCCCCTGTACCATGCCCATGACGTAAACACGATACCAAAACTGTAACTCCAGACATGATTAAAATCCTTCACCTAGAATATGGGCTATGCAAACAGGTATATAAGCTTTCCGACAAGAGTAAAGAGAATCAAAAAATTTGAGGGAGCCACCAGCCATAGAGTAGTCTGAATCGAGTTTCGTATGTTTGCATACATGCTGCAAAGTGGACTAAAGGACAGACTGATCTTTCAGCATCAAGTTCTAAGGACCAATAGCATCAGGAATGTATCGATTAGTCTGCCCAGGATTCCAAGCAACAGATCTCGGTGTGTCCTCGCCTTTGAGAGAAAGTGTCTTTGGCCATAAAGTGCGATCTATGCGAGTTTCTGATAGATTGCTCGACTCGTAACAAGTCGGACTCAGCGAGAGCCTAGCAAGAGAGATTTTAATACTCAGACCTTTGTCTTGTACGGTACGAGCCTCACAGCTTTATGTCTGGTGGTGGTATGAAACGCTCGAGTGTCCTTCGGGCCGGGGTCCTCATAATATCTTTGCAAAGGTTAAGGTCTCTTTCGACGACTCGAAGGTATGAAAGACAAGCCTGCAGACGCAGACGAGGAGCTTAATGAAATCGGTCCTGCCGTCCAATAAACTGGCTATATCCAAGACTTTAAAGATCATGTCTTTCAGAGTGGCAGCTTGAGCGCAAAGATATTCACGTATCGTGTTCTGAGGCTAGTCGGATGTCTGGCGTTATTGGGTCTGTCTATCGTGAGCATGGTCTTATACGCCTGCTACAGAAGGCCTCATGGCCATAGGTGGCTGAAGCCGGAGAGTCACTGCAAGTCTATGTATGACTTTCGTATGTTCTTCAGTGATCGCCTTTCTTATCAGAAACTATCTAACATAGCTATGTCAGCCGTATACGTTCCTAATAGCTGTCATCTCTGTTACTGCAAAGAAACAGTGAAGTTGTGTCGCTGTAAGCCACTTGAATACCGTCCTAATCCTCACACCAGACATTTACGTCTATCTGGCCACATTAACTGACATGCCATTGGACACATCTGAGAGATACATCTGATGGACCAAAAATGGGCTGCTTCTTTTATGGGGGTCGTGATTCCCCTCTTCGTTCCAAGGGAGTATACCCCAGCCGATCCCGATAGCCTTATGTCGATACCCAATGGTGAGTATTGAGCTGCTCGCATCATCTCATTGACCTTGTACTTCTGGCTGGATCCAGGGGTCGTCAAAGGCGGCATACCGTCCGGCCCACTTGCCGTACGACCAAAAGTTTCTCCCCTTACTGATTTCGACGCGTCCAGGTAACTCAAAGCTCGATCATTCAAGCATCTCGACGTTTTCACGGGAGTAAAGAAGCGACACTTGTTCATACGTGTCTTCTCTTGGGATTATATCGCTCGGCTTTGGTTCTCGTCATACAACTCTGCGCGGAATTTGTTGCGCCTGTTGGCATTAATCGTCTTTTACAGTACCCGTCTACCGAGTCAGATTTCGCTTGCCGTTCACACCCATACAGTTTTATCTTGAGACTGGGGGATAGGACTCACTGTACCATTCATGGTTATGGACTAATTGGTTACTTATAGGACCTGTGGCCACTTCAATTTCATCTGATTGGTATATCTCCATTTCTGTGAGTTTTGTCTTCTCATCTACTACCACTTTCCCTATCAGATTCGCCGTTTTTCTAAACGATCCGCTGTCTTGTTTGCGTTGAAAGTATAATTACACAGCTCATCTTTGAACCCTCTCTTCGCATTCGCGCGAACGCGCAGAGACCGGTAGTCCCGAGAGTGGCAAACGTCAGTCAAGGGATCTGCTAGATACTTATAGATCGGCTGAAACCGAGCTCGACCAACCCTTTGAAGGGAATTTGAAGAGAACAATCTCTGTGGGAAAATCAATAACTTGGTAACTACAGATCTAAAGGACATCACTGATGCTTGGGAATTTGTGCAGCTGCTGGTGTAGACGCCGCTGAAGTTCATGTTATGTGTCGCATTTTTCTACACGATATTGGGTTGGAGGTGAGCCGCATTGAAGATTAACATCGCACGGTGCATTCGTTGGACCATTCTTATGTTGCCCATACCTGGTTCCTTGCTAAACTGATATAGGACGTACAAGCAACTGCTCTCGATAAACCTGACGGGCGAGTTCAGGCTGTAACCGAAAGTAAGTGAGCCCTCTCTTGCTGTTATCGAGTTCTCCAATACAATACAGTTTATAAATGTTTTCCGTATGGTCCAATTGTTTGGTTGGGAACGGAGGGTGAAGCGCGTTGTAAGAAAATGGGAGAGAGAGCTCTTGTGGATTCGGTATGGTAGACCGACCCGAGTGTTCGACCGAGACTTGCCCGAGTCTATTGACAAAATCAAGGAGACAAAGTCGATATTACCTCACAACAATGAAATCGAATGAACCTTCATTCAAGAACTTTTTGTATCATGGATGATATGATACCACGGGTGGAATCAATGGAGAACATGCGGCGGTAAAATATTCGAGGCAGAACTAAGTTGTTGATGTTGTTCTTAAGAGGTCACAGCTCACAGAGGATGTCGGCAAATTGGGCGAATGATATTGACTGTCACGCTCACCAGTCGATGTGGAGAGTGGTTGGATCATAGAATAACGCTCTACATGAATAAACGTCGGCTGTTCACCCAATCAACCACGAGTGGCAGTTCTCCTTGCGACATGCAGTCACGGTACCGACCCCTCCGAAATCTCTCAGCCGATAGACAGCCAGAGTTATTCCGGACCGCCAGCAAAATCAGATCTGCGCCGTATGGAATATCCGGGACGCGTCCTCATTGGTCGACCATGCCGGCTGCAACCAAAGGATAAACGGAAATCGTTTACAGGGCACATTCCTGGATGTTAAGAAAGTAGTATACAAGAGAATGTTTTGCAGAATGATTCCCGAATTTTTAGATTCTTACCCACTGAGAATGAAAAATAGAAAATAAAAATAGAAAATGGGTTTGAAAAATATGTGTACAAACAATTACATCAAGATTCGGGTTACCCCTCACCAGCCTTCCTCTCTATCATCATTACCGTCACTGCCAGGCCATCCTTGACCACGTCGCCATGCTTTCAAAGCGCATCATCGCTGTCGCGCAACGTCACGGGTTGTTCGATGCAACCTCTTTTCAGTGCATGAAGGGACTGTTCGTAGTCTATGTAACATCGTTGCTTGTCGTCGTCGTTCTCACAGCTCGTGTCTTTCAGAGGAGCTACAGCTGCACGTACACGTCGTGCACGTTTCCATTCGTCAAGATTGCTGCAGGGTGCGTTTGCCTCACTCCTGACGTCACGTACCCGCTGACGTGCAGCCAGCGGAGACTGTCAGAGTGCCCCAGATGGCGGAATCCATTACCGAGGGAACGCTTAAGGTGTGGACGAAACAAGTTGGCGATACTGTAGAGGCCGACGAGGAAGTAGCAACGATTGAAACCGATAAGGTGACCACCTGTTTTTCTGCAGAGGCGCATTTATTCAGTTTCACACAGATTGATGTGTCTGTGAATGCTCCTCAATCCGGGAAGATTGTTGAACTCTTGGCTGCTGAGGAGGACACCGTGACTGTTGGTCAAGACCTGTTTGTACTTGAACCTGGGGAGGCAGGTGGTGGTGAGTGATATATTGCCATCCTACGATGAATCCTCGATGCGAACTGCGGATCTTCAGCCGTTGCACCTCCGCCACCACCAAAGGAGGACACACCTAAAGCCCCTACAGAACCTAAAGGGCAACAGGCGGCGAAGCCTGCAGCCCCCGCACCCGAGAAGAAACCATCAGAGCCCAAACAAGAACCTAAGAAGGAGCTCAAAAAGGGACCAGAACCACCCAAGCCTGCACCTACCGCAGGCAGCAGGAATGAGACGAGGGTGGGTCAAATCTTCTCATTATCTCAAATTCATCCTGACGTCATCTGCAGGTCAAAATGAATCGCATGCGTCTGAGAATCTCAGAGCGACTCAAGGAGTCGCAGAACACTGCGGCTTCGTTGACGACGTTCAACGAAATTGATATGTCCTCGCTTATCTCCATGCGGGCCAAATACAAGGAATCTGTCTTGAAGGAGCATGATGTCAAGCTTGGGTTCATGAGCGCGTTTGCAAAGGCGTCTGCATTGGCACTGAAAGAAGTTCCGGTGGCAAACGCGTCTATCGAGGGTGACGAGATTGTATACCGGGATTACGTTGATCTCAGTGTCGCCGTCGCTACACCAAAGGGTCTCGTTACACCTGTGGTCAGGAACGTGGAAACAATGAACTTCTTGCAGATTGAGAAGGAGATTGCTGCACTGGGTAAGAAGGCGAGAGATGGAAAGCTGACGCTTGAGGACATGGCTGGAGGGACCTTCACGATGTACGTGTGTGCCTACCATAATGGCCTGTACTGATGACGTGGTTATCTAGATCTAACGGAGGTGTTTTCGGATCCCTCTTTGGAACTCCCATTATTAATCTTCCCCAGTCGGCTGTGCTTGGTACGTTACTGCAATTGCCCTGGCTAACTTGTTTTTTTTACGTGTTTGCCTTAGGTATGTACGCCGTGAAAGAGAAGCCCGTGGTCGTCGATGGCCAGATCGTTATTCGCCCCATTATGGTCGTTGCATTGACATATGACCATCGTTTATTGGATGGTCGCGAAGCCGTTACATTCCTTGGTACGACTCACTCTCTCGGTGAGGCTCTTTATCATGCTGACGCATCCCTCCCGCAGTTAAAGTCCGTGACTACATCGAAGACCCTAGGAAAATGCTACTTGCCCCGTAAACGACGCCACTAATGTACATTCGGGACAGAAAAAGTGCGATCTAATGTTCTAATGCATTGTATCTTTCCATCCGAAAGCAGCACTTGGTCTGAAATCGTATTGAATACCCATTGGAATTTTTGACTTTGCACCTTCTCTGTAACCCCATAATACTATATAATGTTCTATACGCCTACTGATGAAAATCAGAGGAAAACCAGAACTGCCTCTGATGCTGCGACCGCGATTACTCCCCCGTCAATCTTCTCTTCTATCAACTCTCCTTCCGCAACGCCATTCGCATATGTCTGTCCTGCCCACGTGGTGACATTCCCTCCCTTTACATTGGCTCCTGGGGCCTGCAACCTCCGAAGAATGACCGAGCCCTGAACTTCTTCGGAGAGGTACTCCGAAATGTCGAATGCGGTGCTCGGTCTTATCCCGTCTGTTGTCTCGTTATAACTCTGCAAGTTGAGTAAAGCCAATTTCACAGGGTAATCGGCATTTGACTCATCCCATAATCCGTATGCTACCAGCTGTCCTTGGGATGTATCTCCCATCCCCGTAGTGATGCTTGACCCGTTGGCCTGTCGGCCCGGGTAGATATTCCCTATTCGAAGGCCTCGAGAGGTACCGATCGCTTCAGCCACGAACAGGTAGGCGGAGTAGGATGGGAATACTTGAACTGGTCCGTTCAGATTTTCGATGGGATACCTATGGTAGATTTGTCTGAGATGAGATTAAGAACAATAATCCTGTGGGAGCTGCGCACCACAGGTCGTAGAGACTTAGTCCTCCGTGGTTGAGTTGGGTTGAGCTTTGCAAAGCCAGCGGACCGCCCTGATGGATGAACAGTCTAGATGAGATGCTTGAGCACGATTACTACGCAAAGAAGAAGTGATCGCGCACCGAGATACGTTGATAGATGCAGCATACAGAGTGGTATCGACGAGCCACAGAGCTTGACCAAAAGTGTTGCTGACCCCGTCTCTCCCAGAGCATGATACTGAATTATATTCCCCTGGTTTTTGAAAGGGGGTATGAACGGTTTGTAACGTCGAAATGGACACGACCACGCACCAATGACAAATGAATCTGAACCCAATTGTTCGCGAACGCTTTGGATGCGAGGCTGCCACAAGTCAAGATACCTAATGAGCGTGTCATCAGCCCTAACATTTGGCAGGATGAGAGAGAAGGTTGGCTTGGCTTACTGAGCCAGACGAGTATGATTAACCTAAACGCGTATCAAGTCGAGTACGAGTATGAACATCTACACAACTCACCAGGTTTTCCAGTGTAGCCTGTTGCAGACGGACGGGATCGCATACCTGAGATTGCAGTCAGTACATAAAGGCATCACCTCGGAAAAATAGAAGCCTTTACACTATATTGATACGTGTGCTCACTACATGTTTTCACCGTGCTGTCATTATTTGCACCTGCTGCCAATGCACTCACACAATCCAATTGCGCATCAGCTGCTGCCGTCCCGTAAGGCCAAAGCGGATCGTCAGCAGTGGCAGCAATCTGGAAGAATGGCTTCTTAATGTTCAGCGCGTCTGATATGTTCCTAGTCCAAGGCTAAAAACGGCATAAGTGACATTGTGGAAAAAGCAGCGATCCTATCAATTTACCATCCAAAGATTGGTGTAGCTTTGCGGCGTGAAGCTGAGGTAATGATCGGGTTCGTTTCCGACTGTTCAAGAATGTGTCAAGGCGCTCGTCAAATACTAGAAGGGAAGCAGCGTGCTTTCCATTCCAATCAGCTGCCCGGACTTCATATTCTCTACGGCAACTGTCGCCATTTCTAATGTGCCCTCGAAATTGAGGTTTTCGAGATCCTATTCGATGTTGGATAGACTCTAGGGAATCCAATGCGAAAAGGTGACCCACCAAGGTGAAGACTATTCTCGTTCCCTCAGGTAGCAAATCCATGGTTTTCCAGAACTCGGGGCCAACTGTCGTGTTATGTAGAGTTCCACTGGAAACGATCAGGTCCATCCAGGCAGAGATTAAAACAAACCACAAGCCGCACTCATTAGTGATAAAGTTGAACAAGGCCACATCCAAACTTGAGTTCCAGTATGTTGAGTCGGCAGTGATGCCACCAATTCGGATTTCTGCAGGTACACCGGTTCTGCTTTTAAGATTCTCCAGCAGGTTTTGGGTTAATATGTTAGGACTAGACACATTCCCGACATATGAGGTCCAGAAGGCGGTCTCAATGCTGAAACTGGCTAATGCTGGGTTAAGATATTTAGATGCATCTGGAGGGAGTGTAGAAGGACCGGACAAGCGGATGTTGGAGAGGTTTTCTGCCACAACACAGGTGGAGAAGGCCAGAAGGAGGAGAACAGGTCGCATTGCGATTTTTGATCAGTCCACTGTCAGCTCGACCTTTATATGCCCTCCGGTCCGTAGCCAAATGACACTAGTATCCGGTCCGATAGAAGAGTTACGGCCTCGACGGTTCTCCAATCTAAGGCGCCACATTTTTGGGCATGCGAAGACCGACAGATCCGTATTCCGCCCTCATGTGATAACAAACCCGTGAGGGTCCACTGCAAGTCCAGCACAGGGCGTAGGTAATAAATTGATATTCTTTTAACCTCAGCAAATGTTTTCGGACCGGCAACATCACAAGAATGCGATTGTCATATCCCGTGAACAGTATTCGCACGGGTTCCAAAAACAAGTCATCGCAAATTGGACGTATCACCGAAAGTAACGTTTACAGAGTAACCACCCCAAGCAGAGCCTTGAATTTCAGAGCGGTAAACGCGTGGTGCAATAGTCGGTTGACTTAGTACAGCGTACCACATTTCCAGTTTTGGCTGTAGGCCATTCAGGACACACAAAAATTCAGCGGATGTCCGACAGGGTGAAAGATCATAATGCCAATGAAATAAACAACACATCTACGAGAAGAGGACTATCCCGGGGTCAATTTCGAGAATTCAAGCATAAGTGGACATACCAATCTAGAACTGCGCCATCCGTTGGGCCATTTTATCTTTCACAGTCTGGTACGCATTCATGATCGTTTGCTCATTGATGACGATATCTGTCGTGTCGGGACGCGGCCGACTGACTCTCGACGAAATAGCAGCAGCATCCGTATCCATGATGATTCTGAAAAGTGAGCAATGAGCAGTACAGCAAAGACAAGAGCATCTCGGACGCACCCATCGTCAATTGTCTCGTCCAGACACAGCAATACCATATCCAAGTTCTCCAGCACGGCCCTCTTTTCAAGCTGATTCCTCAGCAGGAGCGACAGCGCGTCGATTAGCGAATTCAGGGCTGCCGAAAGCATGAGCTCGTTCTCCGTAGGCCCGGCAATAAAGTAAATAATGAGGTCGAGGGAGTGCTTGTACACAGCGAGCTTGGATTCGAATAGGATGATGTCTCCTGAGCACAACGTTAGCACACTGTTCCACCCGGCGAATCGAAGCAATTTCACCTCCAGCCTTCTTCGTCTTTTGCCAGAGCCCCTTCTCGAATGCCTTCTGGTCCTTCAAAGTGAGTAGCTCTTTGGATTCGCCCTGAGGATGGCCTTTGGGCCTGTAGTATTTTGCGAGGACGCGATGACCTTCAGTGTCGAGGACTATGAAGGCATTGATGCTATAAAGGGAGAGATTCATTGGACGTGGTGGGAGGGTTCAAGCAACGTGTACCGAATTGGGCAATCATCTTCCGGAATAAGTATGTTAGCAATAAAAGCACTATGTAACATATCTGAATTTCTGATAGAAGAATTATCATACTTTTATTATTGACACGATAAATTAGATACTTCTTGCAAAAACTCCTGCAGATAAGTACCACAAAACAAACCGCAATGAATGTCAGCTACCAGGCCAAAACGCAGGCTGCTTGCGACATGATGCAGATGAAAATGCTCCGAAGTGCGGATAGTTTATCAAAAGATTAATGCCGTGGACCCAGTCGGCTCATACACGTCCATATCGGAGAACCGATGAGCCGCAATGTGCACTGAATAACCGTCATACTGCAGCAACCGCAGACCTCGTACGTACAAGAATCGAACAACATCGACTGACATAATATTCGATAAGGAAACTATTGTCGCCGCATTGATATCGATTACAGACAAGGAATCATGCAATCTCAACGAACACCGAGTTCGTCAGTATTAGACACACGTCGCGCATCGTATCCTTCTTCTCTATGAAAGGGTTGCCAGTCTCTACAATGAAACTCAAACATACCTATAGACAGCTCAGTCCTCGCTCCAAGATGAAGTTTCTTCGAGCATTCAAAGACAATATCCACCCATATTTATGGTACATCCTTTGGCCACACCCAAGAGAGACAAAAGCTCAGTAGGACAAAAATTGGCAAGTATGTATTCCGGTTACCATTCAAGTTCCCAGTCCTAGATCGGCTTCAAGTTAGTTATGATAGTGTTCTACATATTTTCTAAGAGTCCTCAACGCGGTGATCATTAGGATCCACTGCTCTATTTCTGTAAGGTATGAATAACAGCTGTGATAAACTAATTAGACTTTACTAACATACATTCGAAGCTCATATAGTATTTGCTACATTCACAACTCGTCTCGTTCCGGAGACATCTTGAACATCTCTGGCTCATTCTGTCCAGTTTGTACATAGACCTCCAATGGATCTTGCACCAACGATGACTGAGGGGATCCTGGATAGTATTCAGTAAACGGTATCCTCAGAAAGAGGAGCCAACGTGGCAACATCGCACATACCGTACCACCACAAAGTTGTGACTCCGACAGGAAAGGTATACTGGGCCTGTTCCTAACGTTACCTTTATTCCCAGACAAAACTATCTAGATACATACCTGCATGCCTCTGAATTCTATGGTGGTCTTGACAGGTTGAGGACTCCACGAGCCATTAGGGTGATCATACCCTAAGAAGGGTTAACCGCTGACACGAGTTGAGTATAGATCACCCACAATTCAACACAACTAGGGAATATCTCAACCAGTCTGATGACGAGGCTCTTCCTGTAACGTACGCGCCAACACGAAGAGTCCAGCTCAAATCGCCACCAACGCTCACTTTGACACGTTTACCGAACGGGCCACCTTTGTCCTTGGGGACAATGGCTTTAGACGCTTGGGCCATCGCGTAGACTGACAATACGATGATGAGTTGAAACGGAAAACAGTATGGTTAGCCCTTACATTCCTGATTAACACTGTATGTTCCATCGGAATTGACTTGAACGATAGCCCGACAACCTTCGCTGCAGCTGGTCGTCCCAGGGTATCTAGGTTCGCCGTTACCATCCAAAGCGATATTCCACATGAGGCCGGAGTGAGAGTTGTGCTCTATTGCACCTGTACCGCCACGAGGTAAGTGGTGGAAATGAAGAGCGCAGCAAAGAAAGGTACCTATGAAACTGAAAAGAAGTTGGATGTCATTTAATATCTGGGCCATAAAGGAACGTAGGAGACGAGACATACATGTTGTCCATGTACCACTGCGCGTGAAATGTACTGTGTAAGCACCGTCATCAGACCACGGATATAAGCAAACACTTGCTTTGATATCGCTCCACCAGTCACTGCCTTAAAACGTCCATGAGGATTGACAACGGCGCACGAAATTAAAAAAAACTCTACCAAGACTTCCGGTACATTCTAAATTTATGACAACGTGTACTGAGCTCAATAACGCCACACATTATAAAACACATTACCTACCGGTGAAATAGATCTGATGGATGCTGTTAGTTGGAGTCCTTTCGAGTTCCAAATTCCAAACTTACCTCTTTGTCAGGGTATTGAGTGTGGAACGTGTCCTGTTCCGTAACATTTCCCTGAACCCAGGCTTGTGAGCTTCAGATATTCAGACACAGAAGGATCACTTACCGCATAACAGTGGAAAGCAACACCATCGAAGGCGTCACCTGCTGCTTCCATAAGATCGATAGCATAGCCTCCAGCGCCGTCCCAGTTATGATCCCACCCGATGAGCTTCACCGCTTCGAAGCCAAAGTTATCCATCAGCGCCCTCAAAGCCGTCCCGATTCGTCCCTCGGTAACCGCAGGTAAAGTAGCCGTTGGAGATGCGTTTAAATTGTTTTCGGGCTCATTCTGTATCGATATGGCGTAAACCGGTAGGCCTTTGGACTGGAATCCTTGCAGACATTTGAGAAGGTAAGTCGCATCTGTAATCCATCTTCGTGAAGTACACGACAGAAGAGGAGACGAGACGTACACTTAGTAACCAGAGTCGAATTGAGGGTTCCCCCGTTCATCGTTCCACTATCTTTCATCCATCCTGGCGGAGACCAAGGAAGGACATGCACCTTTACGACTATGAAAGTGTGTCTTGGCCAATCACAATGCAAGGGGAGGGAGGTAGACTTACGGCTATTAATGGAGATTATATCTTTGAGGACAGAGAACAAATATGATGGCGCTGCATCAATGTTGAATTTGGCGAAGGAGGTGTCACCGCTCGAATCATCGAAGCTGTATTCTAATCATGTTTGAGCCGTATGCATGGATCACTGTTCACTGTAAGTAACTCACGGCTTGCAGAGAAATCGGATGCACCCAGAGGAACACGAATATAATTCAAACCTGCAGCGTTTGCACCGTCCGTGGCGTCAAAGAGATATTTCATAAGTGTCCAGTAATTGGTGGAATTTGTAGACTAGTAAAGGCGAATACAATAAGCTCCCAATCTTCAAGCATGACAGGAATACCGCGTACCTTCAAGTTATTCAGTATCAGCGCAGATGAATCAGCTATAATACCCCATCAGATTCAAAGCACTGGACATGTTTATGTTGAGCTTACTGAGTGATCCACCGAACCCCCAGACGGACTGGTATGTGGATGTGTCATTTACGACAATATCTGCGCTTCCGATGCTACCGGGAGACTGAAAGTTTATCGGTGTGGAAAGTGCAAGCGATGTGAAGAGCTTAGATCTGTCCCAAGTTGTTTGCCACTAGTACAAGTCAGATAAGAACTTAAGAAGCGTGCAGTGTCTGACAACTTACGATGTCCCAAATCTGCTGGCAAAAGACGGTTGTACTTAAAAGAAGAGGTACTGCAAATGCTTGACGCATCTCTGGAAACGCAGGGAGGTTTGAACGTTGAAAATTCAAGTAAACGCTTTTAAATACGGAATGGAGCATGTACCTCTCGAAGTACAGGGGCCCACGTACTTGCAGGGAGTTCAAAAGTAGTCAAATTATTCTGCTCTCCGCACATTGGCAGATCGGCGTTAGTGTGAACTCGTATCGAGAAACCATACGACACAGTGTGGGTCAGAGGGAGGGACGGACGCACAGCCTGGAAAGGCGGCGTTCAAGCTGATTTAACTGCATAAGTCCCCAAAAGGGCACGAGGGGGCGGTCGGCAGGCCAATTCAAGGGAGAACGCTGCATCAAGTCTCAAATGCACATCATCATTCATTCTGTGGCAGAGACGTCGACGTCGTGTTTCTCAGAGTCTGGGACAGCTGGCGTTACAGCAGGCGATGTTTCCCTATGTTTCCGCGAGCGAGGGATCGCCCATCCACGAGCTTGATGTAGGACATGTATCAAGTCGCTCGCTTCCGAGCTCCGAGCTCATGATTGACTAGGCAAGGCTCAGGCGTCCTAAGTCTGACAGAGAACCACTTAGAGATATCGCCAGGCTGTTGAAGTTTGGCCAAGTCCCCATTGACAGCAGTGAAGACGAATGAAGTGTAAGCTCCGAGTTAACTACGAGTCTCAAAAGCAGACCTTATACTTTTTAGTCGCCTTTGAAGAGGAGGTTTAAGCACAGCAGAAAGGACTCGATTATCTAACGGAAACTTGGAGGCTAAGTATCAGTTGCCTGATGCCGGTTAGTATCAGCAACAGCCCGATCAGTTTAGGGCAGGCAGCGCTAGCAACTGGTCTAATCGTAATACCTGTAGTACATAAATTTATTGGCAGTCTGCTCCTGTAGTATCCTCACCGGTGATATTCTAATCCCTGTAACAGTATCAAACCCGTGAGACATTCCAGCTGGCACCTGGTGGATATCACAGCGGCACGGTATTGTTATGGTCTGTGGCACTTTTTGGCTGTGGCACAGAACCTCCGCGTTCCTTATTGGGACCATATGCCGGTCATCTAAACTCTAAACTTGAAATTAAAGAAATTAAATGATAAGATGCTCTGTAACAAATCTCGCTAGATGCAAAGTCAGGCTTCCCAGGCTGCTGGTGTTGGCCACTTGGAAGCGAACCAATCCTGCAGTATTTTATCAACGGCCGACACATCGTTTTGGTTCGTGACATCGTCATTGATGCATACTAATCTCAAAGCCTCATTTCCAAGACCTTTGACGCCACTACGAGCTGTGGCCGGGGTGTTGATTGAGAGGAATCTCGTTGGTAATTCGCCTGTAGAGGTTTATTAACTAAACAAGGCTCTTAGGGGGGATAGAAGAGCGTACCGACGACGTAGCGATACCTCTGAATGGCCATCATTGTCCATTCTCTGACACTCAGCCCCGCTGCTCCTTTCTCCAGTCCTCGCCTCTGAGTGGCCTCTTCAATCCATGGCGCCATCACAGTATCTAAAGAAAAATCGATGTCACGATAGTCAGGCGCTAGTGGAAGATGTGGAGGTCCGACTGGGGGGAGCTCGTCAACATGGTTTTGCGGTCGGCGAAGTGGAACAGTCCTGTTTGGCGACGGAAGGAATTCGGATAGACCGAGAGGCCCTGAAGCAATCATTAAGGCTCTGATTACTTTGGGCAGAATATTATAAACGCGGCCATGAGTTAATAGTCAAGGGGGCTTACTGCAATCTCCACAGTTGACGTTCTCAAATGCCACATGAACGAAAATCTCGCTAGCACTCTCAATAGGCCTATCGTCCTTCTCAAAACACTGATTCCATGAGATTTCACAGAGAGCCGCTGTCCTCCACCCGAAATTTTTGTAATGCGGATTCGATGCCAATCTTGGTGGGTGCCCAGGCGTATTGGGTTTCGTATATTGCAGGGGGCATCCATCCTGAGACGAAAAAGAGTACTGACTTTGCATCTCCGGTCTCCGTTTGTTCACCAGATTTTCGACACGATCGTGGTCAAGAGTTTCTCGTTGGGGTACTCTTACTACGATCTTGGCCTTACCGACGAGCCCTCCAAGTTCCTTCCAGGCGCGTGCGCCATGCATTTCTGGTTCCCATCGATCATCGTTATCTGAGCGTTGGGTATTTTCTCGATCTACATGCATCGTTCCATTACCGCCAATACGGCCGACCACCCATGACCATAAGAGTGCCTCTCGCGCACGATCGATGAGATAATTACTGAACATGAACCCAGGGTGAACGTCGTCTCCGTCAGGTACATGTTTGGGAGCTAGATTATTGAGTCAGTATTCAAATTTGTTCTTCGAGTTTTCAAGAAGAGTACCTGGGTCAGTCTCCGTTGGTTGTCCGTTCATTCCTCGGAATGGTCGATGCGCTGTAGCGCGAAACTCCTTCGACCACATTCCTGCCGACATCTCGTGCATGATAGGCATATTAATGAGCTTATGAGCATGTACGATGTACAAGCGTGGTCTTAGTCCAAACCGTTTCGACAGTAAATGGCTGCTATAGTCTAAGGGCCGCCACTCCCCGTCCGGATCCGCACCAGAGGGATTGTGCGGGTCGACGCCCATTCCGTAATCGAATCGAAGAACAGGTCCAAAGAATGGGGTGTAGAAATCTTCAGTCTCGACGTCGCCATTGAACAAAAAGTCATCATTCATATAAATGAAGTTCTCAGAAACGCCGCAAAGACTTCCGAGCTGCGACTCTATTGCGAAGCTGTTGAATGTAGGACCGGTATATGCGCTAGGGACAAAAAACTGGGAATGGTGTTGAATGTCCAAGTAGGCAGACCCATCTGTCCATTGAGAGCCTGAAAGCCACTGAGGGATTTGGCCGTACCGGACTTCGCTACTAATCGTGGAATCGGAGGCGGGATTGTCAGAAGTGAGTAGGTGAAACGAGCCGACGCCGTGTCGAAAATGTGCCAGTGCGGAGCGCATAGAATATTTGAGTTCATTATGATCACTTTCATTCCGATAAGATAGGTTCTGACATCAGCGGAACATGAGTACGCACCGATAAAGTTTGGGTTTCGAACTGCCGTATCCATAGGCGTGCTCTGTGTCATTCAGAGCTGCAATATGCAGGGGGTCGCTGCCATTAACCCATGACCACACGATATCTATGAGTGCTCGGGAATTAAATTCAGAATCAGTGACAGAGCGAGAGCAGGACTGTCCGGAAAAGTAGTCTTCCAGACAGGCTACTGGGATAGAGGTCACAGGAAGTAAACTGAAAGCTTTCGGACTCCCGTCACTGTGGCCTACAAATTGATCGTAGGAGACGGAATTTATGGACGTCAGGTGAGGACTATCGTGTCGGTTTGTGGGCGTGCAAAGAGCAGAAGGAGAGTATTTTTTGGACTGCCAAAAATAAAGGTCGGGTGAAGGCTGCCAAAAATATGGGTTGGAAGGAAAGGCATTGGTAGAGGCTGCATTTAGAAGGAATGGTAGTGAAGGGTAGGTAGAAAAACGATGCATGGCATAGACCGTGCCAAGAATAGAGAGCGAACCGATGACTGACCATAATACAGCCTGGGGGAGTCTATGGGATCGTTTTGAGGCCGCAGAAGGTGGCACCTCGGGGAGAAGAGCGTAGTTCGATTTCCGCAAAATACGATGCCATGTCAATGCTGACGGACAAGAAGTCGATACAGGTTCACCATCCTTACTGCAGGTGGACTGTCGAGATGAAAAATGGAACTGCTTGTAGGAGCCAACAGACATGAAAAATTCGGAAAATGACGAGGTTAACTGACCTAAAAAGCGTTGGAGTCTCTATCCTGATGGCCATCGGTCGTAGTTCGGAGTGGTCGTGTGCACAGTTTGCGCAGTTAAACCCATCAAATTGATACTGCTTCGACCACACTCCATTAAAGATGGAAGGCTTCCGATGCATCAGTCTCCGTGCACGAATGATGCACATTGTCAAAAGCATCCTTGTGAGAAAATATACGCTGCCTCGTAGGACCATGCACCATTGTGGCAGCCACCTAGAGCTTATTAAATAAGAACGCCCAAGACACCAGAACGCCCAAGCCGCCAGAACGTCCAAGACACCAGAGATGCCATCGTATTTGCAAAAAAAACATGCAATTTCATAAGGCTTGGCAAGTTTTGACAGCCAGGAATTATGACGAATGACGTATGCCTGCGCGGGCGCCCTGGCTCATTGCAACCAAGTTTAAGCGAGTTGAATACTTATTAAGATTGGTGAACCTGGATAATCCGGGTAAAAGGCGAAAATGCCATAATACTTACTGAGTAATGTAAATCTAGAAGGTCAGAAAGACCATTTTCCGTAGTCATTTCCTAGCAACATAGATGCGAAGGTCGCGCGATATGGTTCAAACTTCAGCAACAAAAACTTTCTCCTTATAGTAGGAGGTCGGGCCGACTCACCTCATTGCCCCACTGAGTGTTGTGGTTAAGGTATTAAGCTTAGCTTAATTGAAGCCTTAAATTTGATTTAAGCTAAGGCTTAACCAGCAGGCCATTTTTTCATATTCTTAATTAACCTTAATGCAGTCACATGATCTTTTGACAGCCCAAGAAAGTTTTCAGTCCTTTAGTTCCAAATTTCCTTCATAACACCTCTACTCTGAGATGGATGGTAAAAGCCAACTATGGAATCAGTTCTATGACTCTGGGGAACTTTAGAATAAGTCATCACAAGGCCTACTATTATAGATATATTAATCACCACTGACTAGCATATTAGCACACATTTTAATTGACTTGGATCAGAAACTGCTCACATACAAGGATGAGGTATGGTTCAAGACTGGTGTGTCATTTTCTATATAGAATATATCTAATCTGATGGCTGCACCTTAAACACAGTATGTAATGCAGCTGGAAGCTACTAAGAGAAGAAGACAGTGATGATCAATCACCTCATAGGCAAGTATTTCTGTTCTTATGCATCTGAATTGGCAAGAGTGACTGCCAAGCAATTATGGGAAGATAATGACAAAGAAGTAGAGGATGATGATGAAGAACCTACACAAACCAAAAAGCAGAAGACAGCATTTACATTTACATTTACTCAAACTTGACTGAAGTCCATCAAAGATGTTGATATTGTGAGGCAACTACCAAATATTAGACTCAAGTTGCACATGATCAAAACATGTGATAAACTAGTGTGGTTTCACATTCAAACCTTTTACACTATTATGGCCTTCTGCATTATGATACTATGGTGTCTGGTTATTGAATGTGAGATAAATGAGTGTTGTCCATTATCAAAGCATTCTTAACATTATTGTTGTAGCTCATCTATTATGCCCATCTTCATTGCATGATGATCATCCCATAATCATAAGCACCCTATGATGAGATAGACATCAGATAAGATAAAATAAAATAAGATAAGAAAAATAGAAAAAATTATAATATTACTCTCTCTTTAAGACCATCATTCTGATGGCTCAATTAAGAGATAATCTGTAGTTATAAATTATGGTATCAGCATCTATATTGCATTTGTGCACCCACTAGTTTGATTTCAGTTTATACTCCTTCCACTTGATAAGATATTTGATATGAGAGCTGGAACTGGCACTATGGTGGCCATGGGTTTTGCAAAAGCAGTGGTCAAGAATTTGCTCAATTTCATAATGTTCCTCTTCTTCAATCAAGTCTGGTTCTGGAGGTGGCAGGACTTTCTGGTTGAGAAAGACAGATGATATATATGGAAATAGAAGTATCTTATTAAAAATGGGGTGTATCTTCCATGTAGAGGGCAGTATGAGTTGATAGATGGACACATCAATCTTTTTTATAATGAGAAAGGAATCAGTATACTTATTAGAGAGTTTTCTTTTTGAGCATGGAGGATAGAGATTGGAGATGTTGAGCTATACTCAATTTTCAATGCTATACTGAACAGCTGGATGATAAGACTTGTCATATTGTCATTTTATAGTATCAGCAGTTTTTTGAGAGTGATCTTTATCTCTTTATAGATGTTTGATATTTGTTCTATAAATGTCATAAAGATGGAGGTTGTAGCAGAATGGCAGAATGAGGTGGAAACATGAGAGTGTCATCTGTAATTAACAAAGAATAGAGTTTTGCTAGTGGTGGAATGAATGTGATTATTATGTTGAAAAGCTGCAAGCAGCAGCCAATCAGCTCAATCATCTTGCTGATGGTTGATGAACATGTGAAGGTACTTTTCCACTTCTTAATTGATCCACTCTATCTGTCTATCAGTTTGAGAATGATAGATGGTGGAGACATTACTCTAGATCTAAAGTAGATGATATAGGTCTGTCATGAACTTAGAGACAAGCTGTGGTCCATGATCTGAGATCACTATCTGTGGCATGCCATATTTGGCATAGACTTCATCTCATAAAATCTTTGCTCACCCTTCTGATGATAGCTCTGTTGAGAATGTGACTGAGATAATCACTTTAAAGAAGTGATTGACTATGATGATGATAGCATTATAGCTATAATACTTTGGTAGTCCAGTTACTATATCCACAGAGATATGGATCCATGGTATTATTGAGACTTTGTTTGGGTATAGCAGAGCTGTTCTTGTCTATGTGCTGGACTTAGTGTGTTGATAGATTTTTCAGGCCTTAATATACTTTTTCACATCTATTTTTAGTTTTAGCTACTAATAATCCTGCAGTACTAGCTCTGCCATTTTTGCAATTTCTGAATATCTGATTGTGGTTAATTGAGGAGGCCACCTTCTGGTCTTATAGTTCAGGTCATTGAGTAGCACTCTTGATGCACTCATATGCTTTCTCCTCCATCAGCATGATTATCAGCCTGAAGTGCTTCATTTTAAGCATCACCATCTCTCTGTTATTATTTTTCTCCTGGTCATAATCTGCATGGCAGCTGAGAAGGTCCACTTTTTTGTTGGTGGTCTCTACCTTATGCTGTAGAATGAAGTCATACTTGGCTAATTCAGTGACCTATCATGTCTGTCATTGATTCAGTTTTTGTGAGAGTCAGAAGTATTAGAGGTTCTGATAATCAGTTCAGATCTGAAATTTCTGAGTTGCCTCTATCAGATAGTGTTGCTATTTGGTCAGAGCAAGCATGATTGTGAGCAATTCCTTGTCATAGATTTCATAATTCCTCTCAGTGGTTATGAGAGCCTTAGAGAGAAACATGACTGGATGCTATTTGCTCTCTTACTCCTGGAAGAGCACAGCTCTGATGGCTTATCACTGGAGTTGGCTTCCATCTGGAATTTCTTTTCTTTTGTTAGTATTATGAACACTATATCTTTAGCCAGCTGCTTTTTCAGCTTTTGAAATGCATCTTCCTGTGTGAGCTCCTATGTCTATAGCATATTGCCTATCAGCTGTGTTATGGAATGAACTATTTGGCTGTAGTCCTTGATGAACTGTTGGTAGAAGTTAATGAATCTCAGAAACAACTGGAGTTCTTTCTTTTTGATCAGAGTCAGCCATTCTATCACTCCTGTAATTTTGATTGGATTTATCCAGATACTTCCTTCACTGATGATGACATTCAGATATTCTGTCTTCAGCATCTCAAAGTTGCACTTCTCTGCTTTGAGAAATAATTTGTGCTCCCTCATAAGTGCAAAGACCTGCTGCACCAGCCATCAATGTTCTCTTTATCATCAGACATGATCAAAATGTCATCAAGATAGATTGTAACTTTTTCTGTAGTGATAAGATCTTTAAAAATATCATTCATCATCTATTGGAAGGTTGTGAGAGAACTGATAAGTCCAAAGAACATTAGTGTGGGTTTGAACAGTCTCTGATTTGTTCAGAAGACAGTCTTCCATTTGTTGCTCTTTTTGATCTGAATGTTGTTGTAGCCTCAGCATATATTTAGTTTGATATAGTATCAGGTACCATATAGTTTGTTCATTAGTTCAGAGATGAGTGGCAAGAGATAGCAGTTCTTAATAGTCATCTTATTCAGCTTTCAATAATCTTAAACTGGCTGTAGCTTGCCATCCTTCTTTTTTACAAAGAAGAAGAGAGATGCTATGAGTGACTGAGAGTCTAATTCTGCCACTGAATAAATTCTCATTCAAGAATTTATTGAGCTCCTGCTGTTCTGTATAATTAAGAGGGTAAATCTTGCAGTTGAGATTGGCATTAGCATTAGGGATTAACTTGATGGCATGGTCTCAGGGCTTTGGATCCAGAAGCTTATTGAAGTTTTCTTTAGCAAATAGATCCTGGAAGTCACATGTCTATTCAAGCACTATTTCTTCAAATGTCTTAGCTTATTTCTGTGTATTGGTCTTTGCTGTTATTGGGATAGCAATCCTGAGTGAGTATGAGAATGTACTTGAAGATACTATATCAATCAGTAACAGCTGACTTGGACCATAATCCAGTGATGAGTCTCTAGACTCTGTGCACTCTGAAATTGCAGGCCCCAATAATTATTTTTGACTTCTGTCCTTAAGTGGACTTTTAGTAAACTAATCATTTCAGATTTAACAGTAGTAATTTTGTCAAAAACTATCCATTATGTTAGACTCAAGCTGCATATGATCAGAAACACATAATAAACTAGTGTGCTTTCACATTCAAGACTTCCACTAGAGTTCATTTATTGTGCTTTATTGACTAATATGCTTCAAAGCCCTTTTTAGAGATAGCTCGAGAGTAAAATAAGATAGAATAAACTTTAACTTGAAGCTGGGGATTACCAGTGAGAGCAAGCTATCTTATATACTGTGCAGGCTATTACTAATTATACTA